GCGGTTACAGCAGGCGCTGTTGTCCTGGTGTCTGTCTGCAACACTAGTCGTCGACTTGCCGGGTTAGCGCACTGGGTGCTTTGTCCTGCGTTGCGCACTCGCTTGTTGTTGTTTCACTTTGTTCCTGGTGCGGTAGCGAACGATGAATGGTGGAGAGAAGAACCGGAGAGGGATTCGTCTGTAGAGGATCCGTTCATTGGAAAGGGGAAAGTTGGGGAAGAGCCTAGAGCGGAGGAGGGTGCATTTCTCTTGGGGCTTTGATCTGAACCTAAAACAATTGGTCTCGTTGTTGGTCAATACCCACAGAGGTTCAACTACGTCTTCTGTATCCGGTCACGTTCATTCTTGTGGAGAGCTCCGTGCGTCGTTTCAGTGCGCGATGTATCCATGAGGGATACAACAAGCTGCCATATTGAGAGTTTGTTCAGGAGGGATCAAGACGTTCGATAGAGGAAGACGTGATCAAGTTTGGCTTCTCTTTCTTCCTCATACTTCTGAGAGCGACTTGGTGTTGTTGGTGGCACTTCGACAGGCGGTAACGTGGTGCACGGTGCAGGAAGGAGGAGCTTGACGAAATGAAGGAGAATCTGAATTGAAACTCCCAAAATGCGTATAGAAGCAATTAAGGTAACGAGCACTTACCAATCCGCTGGAGATCTCCATTTGTCCTCTAGCATCACATTAATCATTATATAATGTCTTCTCAGTTGGGATGTTCACTGCGATCCGCGCCGGCATCAGTTTTCTACTACCTCAATCGAGCATACCACTGTATACCCTACTCTGCTTCGCCCGCCCCACCACCGTCAGCATGAATCTGAGGGAATATTGTGGTACTTGTTGGCGGCTGGACGAAGCGAAATGATGAATTTATCGCCTAGTCGTGGCTGAGGGGATGAAGGTGGAAGAAGTGAAGAAGGCAGTGATGAACCCTGCGATGCTTGACTGGGAGTTGGGGAGTTGAAGGAAGGGTATTAGGGATGCGGTGACATATAATTATTTGTTTTTTTTTTTCAGGTGGATGGCAACCGGGGTGGTCGAGTAGTGACGACCAACTCGCTCGTGTTCAAGTCAACAGTATATCCTGAATGGTGTGTTTCTCCTTCTCTTGTCTGAGTATAATTCAAGCTCACTACTTTGTATGCTCCCGCTCCTCTCGTATTCCTACTCTCGTGGCATCCGCTCTTCGTGGAACGTCTCAAACGAACGGATGACTTTGCTCAAATCCTTGAGCCAGGGAAAGTGCCTCTTCTGACCCTGGACTGAGTCATTTTGATCAGATGCAGCAAGGTTAGAGGATAGGTCGAAGAGAATAGCAGACGTGGGAGAACGAACTTGGGAAAGAGGACAGCTGTGCGTGTCACAACACGGGTCATCGATAACGACGAGCGCTCGAGCTGCCGGATGAGCTGTGCTGATCGGCTCCATGACATTTTTATCCCATGCGAAGTACTTGCTGTTGCTGTTGACCCATCTTTTCCCTGACCTTGCTTTCGCAATTCGAAAATCGTCGCGAGTGATACTGACGCTACTGTCGAGACCAACGGTGCTGGACCCTCGCGCACGACGGATATACTCTTTCACCTTGATTGTCCCCAGCTACCGGAGTCGCGCTTTTAAATCCTTCCTGCCATTCCTTGTATCAGCTATTTAAGGTCTGTTGGCATCATCATCTAGGCCTCCGAGGCAGGTCAGCATATCCAGTGACGCCTAGGGTATAGCACGGGTATGGGACACACCGCGGGTACGGGTACGACGGGTACAGGTACGGTGTAGAGATCTGGTACCCGTGGCCACACCGTACCCGTTAGCACGGTATACGGGTATGTTCACGGGTACGCGCTATCTCCGAGTCTACTCCGCGGTGTTATATTTTGCAAGGGATTCACCACTTACGATCCTTATTTTTCGGAAGTCATTGACTGCAACAGCGACCCAATGCTTCGATCCTATTTCTCGCTGCTTCAGTACGCCTAAAATTGGTGTTCTTCCGCCTCGGCGACACATTACTGGTACTGATTACAACTCAGTGATTCGACAGTATAAAGTTATGGTGGATCTTTGGTGACGGTTCGATTTGCCGTCATGCCGCATACATTTTTCATAGTCCGCTGTATTTATCGTTGTATATACCAGACCGCACGCAACAATAATATGAATCATGTGTCACAGTGGGTGAGAAGACCTACCAGTAGGCGTGGATAATTCAATCCGTAGGGCGTTCCACTTCCCTCTACGCTCGAAATCGAGCGTAGTTCCACTCCCAACCAAAGGTCTAAGAATCTGAGCTACCGCGCTCATACAACCCATGGGTCACAGCGGTGAGCCACCTTCTTTTTTTTCTTCTCTGTGCCTCGCGCTCCCACTGCGCTGTGGCCTCGAGCACCCATGACGCTTGATATGGCCCGACCCCGCCCCAAGCTGAGTGAGCGTGCCTCGAGCGCCCCTGCCCGCCATGAGCAAGCGCGCAGAGAAGGAGGGCTTACCTTCAACCTTGCACTTACTGATTTTTTTAAAAATCACTCGCCTCAAGGTCACTGAATATCATGCCAATGATCACGGGTCTTCCCCCGCATTTGGAGCTAGTATGAATTACCCCATGCTTCAAGCATCAGCACAGGTGGTGCACATCGGGCGTCTGAGGACCCATCCTCCTCCCGACCTTCTTTCTCATGTTCATTTAATGTCTGCCCATCACATTCGCCGCCGCCCTCTCCCTCGTGCCGCTTCCGACCGTCATCCACTGCTGGCAATTTCCAGCCTGTCTCCCGAGCACCCGATGATGATGGCAGAGAACCAAGCCAAAGCGCGTTTTATCTTGATCATTCGGCCAACTTCCCTTCCCCTCACAACACACCGCACATCTCGCTTCCCCCTCCCACGCAGCTTTTGCGATCAGATCCTCCCCCACAATTAGAAGTGGCATCTCCTGCGGACCCAATCAGCATTGGACCACAGCGCGTTGGTCTCAGCCCATCTCAAGTGTTTCCCTCCCGGCTTTCCCTCCAGCATGCTGGTTTCGTACTGTCGCAACATCTGGGTCTCGAGCCAATCGAGAATTTCCAGAACTATGGCGAGATGCTAAGAGAGCACGAGTTTGTCGCGCAAGGGACTTTCAACGTGTTATTTCTATTGGTAGACGATGCCAATTTACAGGGTTTGTTTCCTCCACTCCAGGAGCAAGTGCGGTGAAAATTGACAAATTGCGCTTCAGATATCATTCCTCCTTTCATGAGCTCAATTGCAGGGGCACCCACTAATTCCCTCACTTCCTTTGTGTCCTCATACCTGGATCGCGCCACTCACGCATACTCCCTCATCTACTCCGACCTAGCCATTCCTTCAGAAGGCACAAATGAAGCTTTTCTCGCCGAAATATCAATACTTTTCAAATTCGCTGAGCCCACTGCAGATATCCACGATGCGCACATCCCAATTTATTCTCCCATGGTACCTTCTCACCTGTCTGGCTCAGTAGTGCCACTTGCTGATGGACCCATTGTGGATAGAACCAGGTCACCCCTCCAGTCGTCTGAACAAGACATATTTACTTCAAGGATACACGTGCAAAATAGTGGTATATACAAATATCATGCTGCCTGGAGCCTAGTCTGCAGCGAGATATCAGTAACCGATGAATAGATAGGAAATTGTACGAACCTTGCTTGGCTATGATGAAGGGCTGCAAACCAAATGCTCGACAAAAGACATTGCATTTATGAGTTGTTTTGAATGCGCGAAATGCCTCGGTGCAATTTCCTTCACCGAAGTTACTCATGTAGTCACTGCAACCAACTTAGCATTACTCAAAGACGAAGGAAATACAACAAACGGTCCTGTCATAACTTGGCAGTCGGTAAGGAGGTCTCCAGAACCTGAATAGTTGGTTAGAATATGATGAATGCGAGTGCGCAGGAAGATTACCTTGGAAATCAGACAGATACACGACTTCATTTGTGAGCTGATATTGTACATGCTGGGCGAAGCATAGAAACAACCCTATTTTTTCCTCTTCGCCCCGTAGATGATGAGCAGGAGCTGCGGAATTGTTGTTAATATACTTGATAAACTTGCCCTCGATGCTTTCTTCTAATAGGTATGCTGCTCCAGTGTGGTCCGAAACGTCTTCAGGGATAGCAACTGCAGCATAGACGAGTCGGAGGCGAGGGACCTCGTTTGCAACAGTCTGCTTTACAGTCTGCATCTGAAGCATTTCGTCAACAAAAATATAGACGAGGGACATCAAACAGGTAGCCCAGTATAGGCAGTTGGCCTCATCGAGTGTCCTCCCAAGTTCATCTTCTTTGGAAAACCTTTGACGCTTGGAGTTCCCGTCACGTTTTCGGAAAAAGACACGCTTGGCTACGACATGCGTTGCTGTGAAAATGGAAGATTGCGAAGTTGATGGTCCTGGTGTAGCGCTCAATGAAGTAGTAGTATGCAAAAGAGCTGGATGGCATGTTTTGAAGCTTCCGGCAGTACCTATCATTGACTTTGCATCGGAGTCTATGGAGATTGAGACAAGGTCGAAAGGGGAGGACATGACGTCGAGTGGAGTTGTGATAATGTCTTGAAACTTGACGGAGCGAATTTAGTACACTCGGAACGTGTTCGAGTTGTACTTGCCTGAATAAATCATGTATTAGTGAAATACCACGTTGAAATGCTGCAAAACCGTACAAACAGCTGAAGCTTGTTTTCGGATGCTTCCCTGAGTTTTCATGGCAGCCTCGAGTTGTCGTTGACTGGGTAGGAAAAGCCGTGGAGTTGCAGGTAACAGGCTACTTATGCGACTGGGGAGATGTGTCTCTACCACCGACATCGACATCGACAACAGAGATCGAGAGGTGGTAGACTGTTCTGGATCCTGCTCCGAGTCATTAATCTCAATGCCCTGTGTTTGGTAAGTAGTACTATGATCATTCTTTTCAAATTAACAAAATAAATACGTGTTCAATGCAGGAGTACGGTGAACATACCTCCTTAACACGTTTATGGGCTCGGCTGCTAGTCGGGCTACTAGTAGTGTGACTGGGGCTGCGTGGCTTCTTCAAGTGTCGACTCTTCAATTCTTGTTAGTTAATTTGGTGCAACATCATAGTAGGAATGGACGGACTGGTAACTCAGAGTGCGTAGTGTTGCTTGCCTCATCAGTTGCATAGACAGGCCCGGGTGGTGATGTGTGCAAGTTTGTCTGTACGTCCTTCATCTCAGTGGCATCATGGCGCTAAAATCACTGCATTTAGCAAGACGTAAGTATTAATGACGAAGACCCACCAACTCATCAATTTGCTCCCTCCAGAGTTGGACACTTTCATACTGTGTGTGCGTCATAATGAGAAGAATAGCAACCTTTGTGCTGGCATAGAATTTTGGGACCAAATCTTTGGTTGTAGAGCGAAGGAAGAAATCATGAAGTACCACTGCGTCAGGATCATACAATGGCTGCCTCGGGTCAAAGAGAAGCATCATGGGTGATTTATGCATCTCGAGACTCTCAAGGGTGAGAGAATGTTTGCGTGACCATTCTGTCCATGGTGCCTGGAGATGCCGGATTATATCCAAGCGAAGTTCTGTTCATGTGGTAGACAACGATACACGCATGTCTCATTCGATGTTCTTCACGTTGAATCAGTAAAAGCAACAAGTGCGTCATATTACAAGCCAAGACCTACCCCAACGAGCAAAGTGCCTGACTTGCCTTCTGGCTTTAAGTGATGAAGGGCAGCTCGGATTGTGACGATTTGGACACGACTGGATGATGCTGCATGAAGCATCTTGCTACAGTGTTGGTGGTGGAATTGATGGTTGGCTGTATAGCCATTTGAATGACCTAGTGAGTTATCTTGGTACACGTCAGAAATGCAACAATCAATTTGGAGTCATAAGTACACTTACAGGATGAAACTGGAGCAGGAGGTGGAAGCATTTGTCCTGGATTGCTGAGCATCTGTGGTGACTCAGAACTGAAGCGCTGGCTTGGGAACAATCATTCTGCAATCATGTCAGTGCAGATTTAACAAACAGAGACTATCAATGCTACTCACCGCCCCGTTGTGCCGCTGATGTAGCTTTAACGAGGGCCTCCCTCGATGCTCCCATGCTTGTAAAATCTGAGATAAATGGTGAAGCTGATAAGGGCTGCCAATACTAGCAAGTGAAGTTGAAATTCTTACCTATGCCTGAGTGCTGGTTATTACCCATACCACGCACAGCATTGTTTTGCGCCAGCTCCGCAGCTTTGTGATCAATATAATGTTTTGCACAGGGAGGACAGCATGCTCGACCTGAACCGTCCTTGCCGCGAATATATTCAAAAATCACTGACAGATCAAATTGGACATTACAACGTTGACACAACCTTGGACCATATTCGTTGACTGGGGTGAAGTCCATGTTAAGACTTCAGAGCAGCAGAAAAGACTTTGGAGCAGTGAAAAAGACTTTGGAGCAGCAGAGCCTTGGACTCGGTGATGATGGAACATCATTTTTCTGGCTCTATATACTGCCAGTTGGCACTTGCAGATCAGCCAATGAATTGAAGGATTGCAATGTTCCATCGAAGTGCATGTCAAATCATTGGATCCGGAGTCAATCATCAATCACGGCGTTCAAAGTCACGGTGAAAAGTCCTTCATGACACAAATAGTATTTGCAACCACTGGCTATGATAGTTTATACACATATAGTCATAGTAACATACAAAATTATATCAAGGTTCATCGTCCGTCCAGTCAAACTCATAGAAATCAGACGACACATCATCTGACTGCTCCTCCTCAGCATCTGAGTTATTCTCACCACCAGGGCCGCTGCCTTCGACAAATGGTGGCAAATCCACAATAGGCAAGTCCTCGCTCCCGAGCATCTTATCACCGTCACAAGGAAGTGGAGGTTGCGCAGCGAGAAGCTTGCGAATCTGTTCCTCCTCCTCGATCAAACGGAAACACATCAGTAGATCAGCATAGATGTTCCAGACGTTGTCCCGAGTCACCGGACGTGTGCCCAGCTCCGCCATGAAAGCAGAAGCCTGCTGAGAAAAGTCGTGCGGTACCAAACAAAAGACAGGATGGTCAGGGACAGTATATGTCTGTCGTACAGCATCAAGCATAGTGCAGTCAACTTTCACCTAGTAGAAGGATGATGTCTTTGAGTATTACAAATTGACGAGATCCACAATAGCCAATACTCACCGAGAAGTCACAAGACTCAAAATCTTCGGTGTGATAGAAGATGTCGTTGGGACGGCCATGTGGGAGGATCTTGTGAATATTGTGACGAGGTTTGACATTATTAAACTTTTCGGCAAAGAGGTCAAGTTCGTGCTGTAGCCACGGAATGAAGACGTAATGAAAAACAAGCCTTTCAGATGTGTTCAGCACTCAGTGAGAAGAGAAGTAGTCAATGGGGTACTGCTACCTTTCCAAGGCATCATCGGGATTATAGATTCCATTATTAATACCATAATCAAGAATATCTTCAAATCCTGGGGTCCAGCGTCGTCGGAGCTGACTCCAAAATATCTTGGGCTTGATGTTGCGATGTTGACCCTTGAATTTGTGCTGCAACGTACGGGCCAGTGTTGGATCTTGCATGTGACGAAGTAAGGTATGACCATTGGCAATGCCGTTGTTTTCGCTTCCAGGGTCGCTCTGCGTTACGAGGGGCATAGCTAGAGAAACCAGGTCACAGTTTACAAGTCATATATACAGTGAGAGGGCCATGCTCACCGCCAAGAGTTTCTACAGTATCACAATACCACCCACAAATAAGGCGGGGGTTACGGTTCGTCCACCAAATCTTGAGCCAGAGTACACATCCTGAAAACGGCTCGATTGCAACGTGAAGATATAACTGAAAGCGTCGCCACTTGTCGTGCTGATCGAATACCCAAATATCATTGACACCCGCTGTCCAGTATATACTTCTCTTCAGGCGCCGACTCTTGCGAGCTTGAATATCTTCCGGATGATAAAGATTCATGTAGCGAAGAATTAACTTTCTGTTGGCAAAACCTCCACGTCATAATGCAGAAATATGACCAAAAAGACTGCGCACCTTGAAACAATGATCTTCTCTTCATGTATGAGGGTCTGTCTCATGTCATGCGAACCTTGCTTTGGGAAGCGTGCTCATACACGCTCAATAGCCGGACCTATGCTTGTAATGGTGTGGGCTTGTCCACGCGCAGATTTCAGTCCCCACTGAGAGCGCCGCTTTTTCAGGAGGTCAATCCTATAAACGGAGAAGATATGTAAGGTGTGCTTTCGACTGGAAGAAAATAAACAACTCACTGAAACATTATATGCATCAGTATCATAATACCTACGAAGCCGAGTTACAATCTCGGGGTTATTGTACCCTTTTGCAACAAAATCCTCAATTATCAGTCTGATGAGGGCATCAGGAGCTGTTGAATGAGAGATATCAGTTTCACATGAAGTACTAGCACATACGTGCTACTCATGAGCAGGAACTCAACCATTGTGTCCAAACGTATTCAGCATCTGTCTGAAGCGTGAAAGCAACTTGAATATGATAAGAGAAGAGTTTTATCCACCTTTTGAAAGCACGCGAGACTCTGTCCGAGGGTTTGGATGAGTCCTTGGCCAAGACCAGTGTCCCTTTGGCAGGCAATGCACTCACCTCAACTCCATAGTATGTTCCGTGAACAACACACCACGGATTAAAGTTGCCGTGGTGTGGTTCAGGACCGGTTCGAGATACAACTGCCCGAACCTGCACCCAAACCTGTTCATGATATCTTAAGACTGTCGAACCCGAACATTAGCCAATGGTTCGGTCAAGAACCAGTTCTATATGGTGCTGTTCAGGTGTGAACCGGTTCGAACTTTTTTTACTACCAAAAAATGAAAAAAATAGGAATTATAGCTATTTTGCACCCAACCGCACTTCATCTACAGCGTCATCGAGCCAACATTGTCTCCGTGCAGCTTCTTTGGCTCCCATTTCAGCTTCATGGTGTCTCCTCTCCTTCTTGTACTTATTCTTTACAATTTGAATATCACCGAAGTTTTCTGGAAGTAAACGTGCACGACTGTTTACTATCTGTCAGCCCAGCATCCGAAAATGCACGCTCGCAAGGCACAGAAGAGCCTTGGATAGGAAGGTAGTCGAGGGCCATATGGCTGAGGATCAGGTATCACATAGCATTGGCCTTCCACCACTTGAAGATATGCTCCGCCTGGCGCTCTGGAGATGCCTGTTCATCATTGACGATGAGTGGCTCCTCGATGTACAGTTTGAGCCCTGCACGGAAATCCTTAGTGACGAGCTTTTCACGGGCACGCCGACCTTCAGTAACCCTACTCATCAAACTGCCGAAACTGTTGCTCGAGCTACTGAGCTCTGGTGTTGGTATAGGATCCTTGCAAGTAGCAATTTCCGTGGCATGTTTTCGGCAGTACTTATCAAACTAAAAGTATGATGAGATTCTGAGTCGAGTGCAAATTTTTCACAGAAGCTGACACGTACCACTTTTTCCATAACAGCGAGGGCTTGTTGTTGGCCGTCTTCGGTCCACGCGACATTGAAATACTCATCCTTGATACAGGGATTGAGATCTGAGATAAAATTTAGCTTTCAAGTCAAAATGAGGGGTGTTTGAACGAACACATAGAAACAATGTGCGCAGGGGAATTGTCAGTCTTATTGTAGTACTTTTCAAGGTTCGCGATACCTGCCTGGATTGCATGTCGAAGCACAGCCATCCCGGGGTCTTCAGAGAAAATTTGCCACTGCGCAATGAAGTCTTCGTAAAGAGGAAGAATTCGCCAGATTGTTGGATAGTATTCAGCCAAAAAGGCTTCTTGTACATTAGCTGCTGCCTGAAAGATATGTCAATGTGCCCTCCCAGTCCTCGATACATGAAATACATACAGCTAAAACCTTCCGGATCATAGCAAGTAGATCCCATTCAGTCTCCGAAACATGATAACTTGCATACTTCCGCTGGTGTTTGTCAACGTTAGGTACATCATCTGAGTCATCTGTGGTGTTGATAAATATCTTAACAGCCTGAAACAATTGAACATGAATGTAACATCTGAATGAAAAGAAGTTCAACTTACTTTCTTGAGTAATAACATTTGGGCTATAACACCATTCCATGAGCCCCATCGAGTTTTGCAGTACGGGAGAAGCTCGAGCTCTTGCTGAAGTGCATCTTCACAGCACTTCTTGAAGTACTTCGTCCATGTCAATGTCTTGCTGCACGCACTTCTCACAGTATCGACAGTAGTGAGACATGCCCATACGTTGGATGTGAGTGCGCATAGCAGTGTTGTTGCCTTTGAAGATAGTTTGCAGTTTGCCATGCTTTTTCGGATTGGCTTCACGAAGCTCGCTAGTACAAGCCAAGTGAGTCTCCAACAAACATGAAACATAAGTTTGGTACTCACACACAAGGCTCGCAGACATAACCTTGTGAAGGATCCTCGTCGTCGACCAGCTTGAAGATTGTCAGAATGTCCATGGCACCATCACCTCTTTTGTGTTTTTTCTTGACCAGCTTGGATGCTGTATCATCAGCAGTCTCATCTTCGACTGACGTAGATGACCCTGTACAATGAAGCCCGTTTTGCTTTATATGTGTGATCGCTGGTGTTACAGTCTTCTTTGACTTTGTGTTGGTACCAGCCTGCCCTTTTGGGCGAGTTAATGCCATTAGCGTTGGATCGGAAGTTACTGCAGGTGCAGAATTGTCAGCTGTTTTTCATTTGTGAGGATTCGTGAAGTCAGCGGGGGTTGAAGATATAATTTTTAATGGGGTTGGTGAAGACAGGCCTATTCATTGCAGGTATTTTGAGGGTCAAAGGTGTGTGTTGACTAGTAGGAGATTGAACCCATTCCATCTCTTCAGCATTTTTTAGGGAGCCGTCGGGATTGAGTGCTGGAGCATCGAATTGCGGAGGCATTTTGACGTACTTGCTGCTCGCAGTTGAATAGGTAGATCAGTGTTTTTAGAATTTCTGCCGGCTGCATGACCAAAACAAAAATTGAGCTTCCTCTTTCTCAAAATGATTATTCAACACTTGTAGTACATATGGTGTGGTTACGGTTTGAACACGTTCGCTACGGTTCACACAAAAAGCCCAGCGCCTGAACCACAAACCTCTCCCAGTGCGTATCAGTCGAACCCAACCGTAACCGCACCGCACTGTCGGTGCAGTTCGCGGTGCAGAACCGGTTCGGGCAGTTCAGAACCGCACCACGGCAACTTTACCACGGATGCATCAATGAGGATCCACTGGCAGCCCAGTTAAGGAAGTACAATCAGTCGATCAGGACTACAGTTGCGGTACATTTGTGCGTCACTCGACTGTGACAGATTGCAATTAATATTCTGGATATACAACAATATGAACAGTGGACTATGAAAAATGTATGCGGCATGATGACAAATCGAACCATCACCAAAGATCCACCATATAAAGTGAGGTATTGTAGAGTCAAAAATTATTCAGTTGTACTCAATTTTCGTCATGTCTACTGACTCGGACTCATTTACTGAGTCTACCTTGATGCACTCATCTGTATCATCGTCTCTACGGTCCATGGCGGGTATGATAAAGGCTAACGTTGTCAAGCGTATCAAGCTTATCCTTCCTCATATGGAAAGGGCCAAAGCAACCCCCTCCGAGTTGCCCTCCACCATCCCGGAAGTGATCGACGTCGATGAAGATGTTGACGTTGCTCTAGTTAGTACCGGCTTGAATGCGAACAACAGTCCTGCCGCCAAACAGGACAATGAGACTGATTTAAGTAACTGAAGTGGCCTACATATGCATGGACCTTGATTGATGTGTGTGCAACTTATAGATGCACTCAAGAAAACATGGTGTTCGGCAGTCTATTCATTTTTCAAGCTTGATGCTGTCACTGTTCAGTATCACAATGGCCATCTAGCGCATTTCTTCCCTTGCATTCTTACTCGATGTCATTGAGGGAGTCCATAATGCTATATTGATACATCCAAACTGGACTATAAGCCTAAAACTAGGATACATCATCCAGTAAGATTATCCATTATCCATTGGATGTATCCCATGGTGGATCCCATCTGTTGCATACACAGCCGCATTTTTCGCATTTTTGAAACTCAGCTGTTTGTCATTCCAGGATATATTTATTATTCACAAAACATATCCCATTTTGGTCACCTCCTCATGTCAGGTCTTCCCACATTATTCCCACACATCACATGTTCGCCCCCACAACACCAAAAACATCGCCCATTTTGGGAATCTCCACAATATCAATTGTTCCCACACCCTCCCCATATCACTGCAGCTTCACCACCACACCACAATTGCTCCCCTTTCATATATAAGTAGTAGTTTGGTTTATATATGTATAATATAATATAATAGACCGCTTTTTTTGTCTATTTGTGTACCTGCTCCTCCTCTAGGACCCTTTCAAAATGATGTAGGATATAAAACATTTTCGCACTTTTGCCCCTTTGACAAGGAAGTGTCCTAGGGTATTCATAACATGATTATGAGTATATATGAAGATATTCCCAACTTTATTTGACCCTCTGAAGTGTCCTACATCAATAAATCTAACACATATATAGACAAACACAAAATATTTTCCCATTTAATTATTTGTAGATGGATGGACTTGGAAAAATAATTCCCAGCACCTATTCAGTAATATGAACAATGTATCAGGAGCCTAGGACCATAGGATAATCCCCTGTTGCATGGTGTGCCCCCCTTCTCCTAGTGGTTTACCCCCTGTGAATTTTTTTCCTGAAGGACCGGACCTCAATTGAGGTGGGGGGTCTATTTCTATGTATATTTGAGGTAGGTCTATCATATAGCTGGCCCAGGACACACATAGGATCCTGCTACAGGAACAAAAACATAGAAAATCGCATTTTTGACATTTTTGATGTGTTTCAGTATCTTACCATTGCATCTATGATACAACCTGTTCATATATAATGAGCATAGCATATATACTTGCTTTTTTATGACCAAGATCGGCTCACAATAGGCTGGAGCTGTGAGCTAGTGTATATGCTTGCTATTTCTACTGATAAGGGGCCCATGCCTTCAAAACATCAAATATTAATGATCAGAAACCTGGAGTACATTTGGAATATATACAGCATCATATATATAAATGTATAGAATAATCCAACAATGATTGAGTGCTGAGGAAGTGAAATAGATAAGAAATTAAGTGTGGGAAACTTCACAAACCCAAAACATCGAAAATGGTCAGTTGAGCAGTAGTCAGACTTTAATGCTGGGTCAACTCATGTTTACACTACATCCCTTCCCTCCACCCTTTACCCTCAGGGCAGTAGGTAGTATAGGTTCCTTAGGTAGTTTACAATCTATCCTACATATTTTAAATGAAATCTTTGACATTTATCATATATAAATGAGACTTTGTGCAAAAAGATATCAATTGTCACTTTTCACACATATGTCATTTTGCCTGTCATTACATCAATCCTTCATGAATCTTTCTAAGCCTTTAGGGACATCATAAGGGATATATATTGGGGGTATCACAGGTCTCTGATTACTTATCACAGGCTTGATTACCATGTAGGCTTCTGATCAGTGATGAAGATTTGTTTTCAGACATAGATGAAGACAACATACCTTCAATTAGTGATTTGGAAACTGATTTTGCAGCCCCCAGTAGAGGAAGTGATACTGAACTTGCTGCTGAGGTTGTTAATAGGCATGAAAATGACACCATCATCGAACTCTACGACTCTGGTACAATGAGGCACATCTCCCCATATCAAGAGCAGTTTAAGACTCTCACCTCCATCCCACCTAAAACATTCTCAGCTGCAAACCAGCAACGTTTTGATGCCACTGGCATCAGAGAACTTGTTATTGAAGTACCAAATAGAGTAGACATTTCGAAGCTGACACTCACCGAAGTGCTCTATTCTCCTGCCGTTGGTTACACCCTCATATTGATTGGCCGCCTAGCTGAGCTCGGATACTCCATTACCTTTGTGGATGGTACCTGCGTCATCTGAGACCCCAGCAAGGAAGTCGTCAGACAGATCCCCAAGTCTGGGTGTGGACTGTATTGTGTTGTCCATCAGACAGATGGCAACAGTGCAAATGCTACCATTGAAACCATTACCATCATGGAGCTTCACAAATGCATGGGCATATCGCCCCATCAGTCGCACGACAACTAGCAGAGAACAGACTTGTCTCTGGTGTCAAAGTTGACCTGTCCTCTGGAGAGACTACCTTCTGTGAGTCTTGCATATATGCTAAAGCAACACGAAAGCCAAAGAGTTTGCAGGGGAGATCCACACAGATCTATGGGGCCCCTGCACCCGTCACAACCCTAGGAGGCCGGAGCTACTATATTAGCTTCACAGATGATAAGACAAGACTCACTTATCTTCACCTCTTGCGCTGCAAGAGCAAAGCTTTTACTGCCCATCAAGACTTTGAGGCTTGGTGCTGCACTCAGACTGCGGCGGCGAATATCTAAGCAAGGAGTTTGTAAATCATCTCAAGGCCGCTGGCATGCAGCAGAAACTTACCGTGCCCGATACCCCACAACACAATGGGGTAGCCAAAAGACTCAACCGCACCCTATTGGAAGAGGTCCATGCAATGTTGCATGACAGTGGTCTCCCACACACTTTGTGGGGAGAAGCCATACATCATGTCGTTTGGTTGAAAAATTGCACACCGACCAAAGCACTCAATGGTGGCACCCCACTTGAAGCTGCCACCGAAATGAAGCCTGACCTTAGTTGTGCTTGAACCTGGGGCTCCAAGGTGTGGATCCATGTCGAAGATGGCGACAAGCTGGGTGGACGAGTGGAGGAAGGCTGATGGGTCGGCATAGATGATGCCAGCGAGAACAGCTGTCAAGTATTCTAGCCTGCAAAACACAGAGTCACAGTTGAGCGCAATGTCTACTGGAACGCTGCTGATAGCATGTTGTTCCCTCGCGAGGGGGAGGAAGATTTGATTCCAAACACGATGATAACAACCCAAACTCACTTACCTCCTGTGCAGACCCCCACAACAACATCCAGCAAACCAGCACCAGCTCCACAGACACCCAAACTCCAACCCCCTTCCAAGATCCCCATCCTATCAACCTCACCAGTACTTGAAATGATCACTAAATGAGTCAGGAAACCAAGTCAGTGAGTACTCAACATCATCGATGGAACAGGCACTATACCAAAAGGCATTCAGCCGCCGAGTGTCCAGCCACATGTTGTCGTTGAAAATCTTGAGGGGGAGTGCACTACCGAGCAATTGATGGCTTTGCTTGAGGATGATGATCCAGCTGAGCTTGCTCTATCATTAGTCCAATTCACAGCTGATGCAGAGGCACTTGAACCTACCTCATTAGCTGAAGCAAAGCGGCGCCCTGACTGGGCACAATGGGAAGGAGGCATCCTTGAGGAATTGGCAACTCTGCAGATGGCTGGCACATGGGAACTTGCCGATCTCCCCGCAGGAGAAAACCTGGTAGGATCAAAGTGGGTTTTCTGCGCCAAGAAAGATGCTGCTGGAAATATAGTCTGTCATAAAGCAAGACTTGTCGCGCAAGGATACTCACAAGTCCCTGGTGTTGATTGTTTCGACACCTATGCCCCAGTAGCCAACCTCTCTTCCATCTGAATGACTCTCGCACTCGCTGCTTGACTGGACCTAGAACTTCATCAAATTGATATCAAGGGCACATACTTGAATGGAGAACTTACCGGAGATGAAGTCATATACATGCACCAGCCCCCTGGATTTGAGTCAAAGGAACATCTGATGAAGGTCTGCCGACTGCAAAAAACATTGTATGGATTAAAGCAAAGTGGGAGGAAGATGGTATCAGAAGTTGGTGGAGATATCAGTGGATAAGATTGGACTTACCCAATGCAATGTCGACCAAGCTGTGTTCTTCTCATGCTCTGCATCTGACGAACTCACAGTTGTTGTTGTCCATGTTGACGACTGCACCCTTGCAGCCTCTTTGATGGACCTCATCAAGCAGCTGAAGGACAAGATACACACTTATGTAGAAGTCACTGACTTAGGAGAACTCCACTGGCTGTTAGGAATCGAAGTCACCCGCAACTGCAACAATTGCACACTTTCTCTATCACAGAAAGCATATCTTGACTCTATCATACGCCGTTTCAACTTTGAGTTAAAGCTGGTCTCAAACCCCATGGAACCCAGCACAAAGCTCCACTCCGGACAGTCACCATCTACCAGCACAGAACATGCCGCAATGCATCATGTTCCTTACCGCGAGGCTGTTGGATCACTCATGTACACCTCTCTTGGTACACGTCCTGATATTTCCTATGCCGTGACTACTGTATCTCATTTCTTGAGAAACCCAGGACAAGTGTATTGGGATGCTGTGCATTGAATCTACCATTACCTTCTGGGTACAATGAATCTGAGGCTGACTTACAGGGGAGTGGCAAATATGTTAACTGGATATGCAGATGCTGATGGGAGTATGGCAGAGGATAGAAGAGCTGTTTCTGGGTACACTTTTCTGATTGATGGAGGCGCAGTTTTGTGGTCGTCAAAACACCAGGACATTGTCTCACTCTCAATGATGGAGAGTGAGTATGTGGTGGCGACACATGCTGCAAAGGAAGCATTGTGGCTCTGCTCCTTTATTGGCCAAATCTTCGAACCCTTCACGGAACCTATCATGCTCTTTTCCGACAATCAGTCAGCTATCGCACTTACTAAAGATTATCAGTACCACACTAGGACCAAACACATCAATATTCATTTCCTCTTCATCCACTGGATTATCGACAATGGCAAGCTCCACCTTATCTATTGTCCTACAACAAAAATGATCACCGATACCCTGACCAAGGCATTGCCATCACCCAAGGTCAAACACTTCGCAAACAAACTCGGACTGCGTTCACCTTGAGGGGGAGTGTTGGAATAGCAAGTGTGCCTGCAGCCGAGCACATGATTGTGCGGTCTTGTTGTCAGTTTCGTTGTTGTCTAGCAACACATATGTTTCTGTTATTGTTCGTTTTTCTAATTGTATGCTCTTGTGATACTACCTACCATTGTATACTGAATCTTTTGATTGCTTTGGCCAGTGCTATTTCTTATTGTCTTCAGTTTCACATACTTACAAGATCATTGAATCTATTTAGCTACTGCAGATTTGAGCCATTACCTCAGACATTTGCCTTCACACGCTCGATCTGAGGTAAGATACCTAGCTTTTACCTATGCTTACTTTTTGTAGAGAGTCTATTTGATCTAGACCCCCGCGATTATATTAACCCTTTATACCATTCCCTTCCATTCCAGCGAATTGTCATATTCCAGTTGCGAGTAGCGTCAATGAATGTATATATCTTGATGCATTCACCAAAGCGAGGAAGTATGTAGTGAGGGTGCAGGGAAGTCATCATCACCTATGAAGATTACAGCAGGCGCACATGAGGGTGCATGCCACAGGCCCAATCTCCATGCCCATCGCTCAAGAACTCTCCAAACTTACTCTTTGCTTCAAAAGAGCAATCCACTCAAGCTTGTCCCATGTGTTCACCAAAGTGAGGAAGTGGTGAGGGTGCAGGGAAGTCATCTCCATGCCCATTGCTCAAGAACTCTCCAAACTTACTCTTTGCTTCAAAAGAGCAATCCACTCAAGCTCGTCCTATCTGGTGTGCTGTGGCAGGCTGTCATGGTGTCATACAACTAAGACGGCATGTGTCATATACCAGGATCCAAGCACCTCCAATACCACCTGTGAACATCCCCACCCCTGGTCCAACCCCCTGTTTCCCCATCCACTCCATTCCTCCTTCCCTGACAATGCATGAAGTGCATCTCAGCAGGATTAGCCCTGCTACCTCCGCCCAACCCAGTTCCGCTTTTCCGACACTACCCCTATGTCCTCTGACACCATACACCTTCCATCCGACCCTATCTGGGGTTCCGCTCCTCCGCCCTATTGGTCTGCCCAATCCTACTCCTACTCCCTCCGCTTTTCCGACCCACTCGGTTCCACTCGTCTTGTCCCACCCAACTATTAGTCCGTCCGACTGCCTCACTGGTCCCCTCCTAGACTAGGAACCACTCAACTGGTCCTATCCCCATTTAGTATCATAGTTCCGCTTTTCGGATCACCAGTAATCCCTATACCCTAGTGATTCTGATCTGTCACATACATACTGTTCCCCGAGCCTTATTCTCGTATGTCTCAGTCATCCTATTGTATTCCTGTACACTCAGCACATAGCCTTCTGCTATGCTATGCTCATCACTTAGAGTATATAAACATATGTACATTTGTCTGTAGATACTCAGTCTGAATATTACCTTTTCTAAGCCCTGCTCTCTTGTTCTTTGACTTGGGCCTGATCCTAGTCAACTCCTGTTAGCCGGCCTAGGGGATTGACTCCCTTGGTTGGCCACCCTCCGATCCTCCAATCCTCCACTCCCCCATTCCCCGTTTCCCCATTCCCCCATTCCTCCGCTCGTCCGACTTCCTGTGCGTCGGAACTAAACCCCACACTCTCGCATCTGTCCCCTCCATTCCACTCTGCTTCAGACTTCATCCAAGCAGTCCCTTCCACTCCGCTTCTACTGTTGGTTCCGACCACAGGAGTCTCCCGCCTCCCTCCTGTCGGGCGGAATAACCCCCACCCCGACTTTCCCGCACTCACCTAGTAGTCTGTCAGTCCTCCTTCAGAGGACCCCCATTCCAATGTCCTGTCGGAACTCATAGAACTCGTGTCAGACTACATTCCAAAATTAGGGGCATGTACTCGGGTAAGGGGCGCAGCGTACGAGCTGAAGCCAAGCCCCTCAGACTCCGCTTTACCCCTGAGCATGGTCTTAACAGTAAGCATCCTTTGCGAAGTTGATATGCAAGCATTTGGGAAGCTTGGTATTGAAGCCATCAGCTGCACCTAACAAGGTGATTGAGTCAGTTGGTGTAACTTAGGTATATTGAAGTGTTCTCAAATGGCAAGTTCCTTCAGCACATCTTTATTGGTGTGAAACACAGCCAGTGCAGTCTGTAGGGCTTCAAGTGTGTCCGTTGTGTGAATTTGCAGCTGTGCATAATAGGAAAAGTCAAGAATCAATTCCGCAACTACCAAGACACAGCTGGCACCTCACAACATCAACAAACATGACCTTCAAGACTCTTCAAACATGCACCTGTGAGTAAGCCAATAAATACTCGCTGCATCTCCTTGTGTTCACTTCCCATCCATTGTGTAACAGCAGATATACCTTTCTTGAAGTGATGGAGCCCTGGATAGTCAGGCATCACCTTGAAACACAAGTCCATTTCTTCCTCCCCAACAATATCAACACACCACTTCACAAGATGGTCCTTAAACACTCTTTTATGGAGTTAGTGCAAAAGGTTGGGAGTGAATGCAAGGAAGATATTGCAATGTGGCATATCTGCCCAAAATGGTTTATAAATGGCGTGTAGACCATTTTCCTCAAATTCTGGAGGATGCTGACCATTCTTGCGCCTTTTCAGAATCTCGTTTGTTGACTCTGGATCACACATCACTGAGTTGAGTCTGTCACATCGCTCATTCCCTGCCACCAGACACTTTGGACAATGATTCTCCTTGCAACAGGAAACCAGGCACTGCTCAGGAAAGTTGGCAACATACGTTGCCAGTATTGGGTGGACACAAAAAATCTGTGAGTCTGCGCACACCATTTCAATGCTGTCTTGTCCAGCAGTTATGAGAGGATGGAGGAGTAGAGCCAAGCAGTGATGAAAGAGTCTGTATCCGGCCAGCGAGCATGCATCAGGAGTGAAGCAGTTGAGTTTGCCTGCAGGTAAGTAACCAATAAGAATCATTGCTCGTGCTGATGCCTGACACCTTTTTGCTTTGGCAATGTTGCTAATAGACATATATACTGGCCATGCTGACTTGTCCCCTTGAAACTGCGATAAGCAGGTTTTGTCTGACGATAGAATAATCAGCACCATTGTGGCTCCTTTGGGCAAGGCTTTCTGCTCACAATGTCAGTCCATTTCTTCATTGCTCCCTCTTGAACTGTCTTACTTGTGTCTCACCCCACCAGTCTGCTGTCCACATCTCATCAATCACTCTATGTTGGCCTGCACAGTCCACATATGCTCTGGCAGGTGAGTACACCATATCCGCCTTAAACAAAGGGTTGCCAATTAACTCCTTGACACACTCTACAGGATCACAGCTCCAAAGCTCAACATTTTCTTGCAATGGTACTCCATTATCATCCTCAAGGTTACCCCACACGGTAACCTTCCTGCAACTCCAACCTGGTCCATGTGGAAGATTGTTGACCCTCTGCAAGAAAGAGCAGGTTGTTATGGAACAAGACTTTCATGTGGTTTTGCATCTGGTTGCGGTATCAATATTGTGAGTTCAGTCAACACTTTTAACATACTATTGGTAACTTCAAATATTTGTCAGTCCATGTCTGTCCAAGATTTTTGATGAGCCACTGAGCCAATTCCCACTCCTCCCTGGTGAGTTTAGTTTCCCTTCTCACCAATGCCACATTAACTGCACTTATGTGTCTTCAAAGGGCGCCCATACATGCTCACCCTCTTCCTCCTGATATCTTCTATGTCTTTCAAAAGCTGTCTCCCCCTCATGCAGCACCCAGCTGGCATCTCCTTGAGGTTTGAAATAACACCCAGGGTGGGAGAATGTCTCATCCTCATCCTCGTCCTCGACTTCCTCAATGGCAACAGGATGATTTTTGCTGGGAGTGGGGTTGTTGTTGATATTGGCAGATGGTTGGGAGTGTACATGGCCTGGACATGGAGCAGCATCAACATGGGAGAAGTAAACAGGTGGTACTGTCCCAATCCTCTGCCTCAACATCTTCGATTATTGATGGCCACTGCTTTTGACATTCAGGACATCCTGCAATGTGTCTGTTGAGACCTTTGTGCATGGTTGATACCTTGCTGCAGAACATACAGGAAGGCATGGTTTGAATGCTGTTACCACAACCCACACATGCACTTACTAGCACCCTTCAAGTTTTTTCCAGGAACATTTAATTTCGATGCCACAACCCTAACCCTTCAACAACTATGCAACCCTTAACCACTGGCACACAACTCTTCTACTTCTCCCTTTGCAAGACTAAACTAGGCTAGTGATACCATAAGCCACAAGCAGGAGTTTCAATATTTGAACCTTGCATACCTCTTCACACCACTTCTTCTCTGCATCCCAATGCTGTGTTATCATCTCCCGCATCAACAGTTGGTGAGTTAAGTTTGCAATGCTTGAATGGGTCCTGGTGTTTGACAAAATAGTTGCAATGGAAACAGAATGTCAAGAGTGGGGGCTGGACCCCCCTTAGCCTTAACCTGTCCTGGGGTGCAAACTACATGAAATGGTTGACTCAGAGGTGGTATGGGCCTGCTGGAGTGTCAGAATTTGTCATGGTGGAGTATACGGTTGAGCATCTCACATTGTGCTGACTTTGTTGCCCTCCAGCGGTGGTTTGTTTGACAGTGTTAAGGCTGAACTGCGATTTCAATTAGCATGTGGTGAGTGTTGGACCTGCTGAAGTGACTTACTAGGTGGTCATTTTGCATATGACTGGAGTATTGATCATAAGGTTGAAAGGAAAGTTGTTCCATCCCTCGTACTTATACTGTTGAATTGACACTGCATGGACAGACGAAAATTTAACATTCAAATCAACAAAACTCAAAATTTGTTTGTTGATTGAATGCTGCTGCAGCATTTTTAAAGGTGCATTTGTCACTTATGTTGTCACCATTTCTACTTACCATTAATCATGGCCACAAAAGCAGGTTCAAAGAAGCCTGCCAAAATGTCTGTTTCAAAGGCCTGGAAAGACCTATGCGCTGAGATGGAGTCAACTGCAGGGCGCACTGCAAGTGGTCACAAACACTAACCAACTGAAAGAGAGACCTACAGAAGTAAGTAGGACTCAGCAAGTTAATGTTCTAATGTGACTGACACCAAATAGCTGGACTTGGAGCATCTGTGGTGGACATGACTTTGCAGATGAGGAAGACAATTTTGCTGGAGCAAGAGGAAATAATAGAAATGGGGTTTCAAGTTGAGAAAAAACTCATAAGTCCCACCCAATAGGCGCCGACTGTGGTGTGCGCTCACTAATCAGGGTTTTACCTATAGTATCGAACTTTGTATAGTACTATTACTAGTACGTGTGTTCTGCACTTCAAGTTCTCTGTTTTACTCTTTTTTTTTCTGGATTTTACAGTCAACATGCCCATCGCTCACAGGGACCACAGTTCTCTTCAGTTTCCTTGCAGTTACGTACAGTGCACATGTCATTTCAAGACTCAGGGAGGGCACAAAAAGCACTGGAATGCTTCACACCTGATATTCAGACAAGCTCCTACTACCACCAGCGTCTCACATACCACTACGGTTGAAGATTAGCCTGAAGTACTGGATGGCCACTTCCTAGCAGGTGATGACAACCTCTCTGCAGGTGGTGACAACCTTCCTGCAGGTATATCTGGCCCAGGTCAGGCACTCAATGAGCCTGATGTTCCAGATGATATGAACACAGAATTTTGGGGGCCGGGTGATAGATTATACTGCAACTATCACCCAAAACTAAATGGTATGTTTCATTAAATCCTTCCAGCTAGATACAACTAACACAAATATTAATGTAAGCTCGTCCTTGTGATGCGACAGGACGATTCCTCACAGATGGAGCACCCCCAACACCACCTCCAAGAAAGTCACCTGATGACTGGACTCCATATCGAAATCATGTCGAGTTCGAGACCGCAGAATTTCTGTACATGCACAACCAAATGTCTGCTGGGGACATCAATATCTTATTGGATCTTTGGGCTGCAACCCTTCTTAAACACAATGACAAGCCTCCATTTGCGGACTGCCATGATTTGTATAAAACTATTGACACTATGCCAGTGGGTGATGTCAAATGGCAATCGCTCAAGGTCCAGTACACTGGGGAGAAGCCCAAAACCAATGTACTACCCTGGATGGACCAACCTCACAATGTCTGGTACCGAGACCCCCATGAGGTTATTTGGAACATGTTGGGGAATCCAGAATATGCTACAGAGATGGATTATCGGCCCTACTACTACTACTACTACTACTACTACTACTACTACTACTACTACTACTACTACTACTACTACTACTACTACTACTACTACTACTACTACTACTACTTATTTGCACTTAAATTATTATTTTTTCGCTTTTTTCGCTATCTGGACCTGCGAAATTTGAACACGCACTTTTGCAAAAGTATATTAAGTGTGAAAAGTAATGTCTTAAGTAAGTAAGTGACAAATAAAGTAAGAAAAGGAATTCGGTGGTTTTCCTGATGATGTTGATCTCCAATCAAGCCCCACTAGATCTATCTCCCTTGCCTCCCACAAGGGATTACAATATCTGGGTAGACACCTCCATGGGCACATGCATAGGCCTCCTGTGGAATCACAGATGGGCATTCTGGCACACCTCAGATAACTGGCACGGAGCCTCCAGAGATATTGGTTGGTTAGAGGCAATCACTGTTGAGTTAGCTGTACATGTCATTCATTCCAAAGGGATTTGCAACATGAATGTCTTGATCTGCAGCGATAATCAAGGGGTCATAGCAGCTTTCCAGAAAGGTTGCTGCTCAAATTTCATGACCAATCTGGCAATCCACCACTCAGATGAACTTCATAAGGAAGCATCCAACCACAGCTCAATCATTTACATACATACCTGCATGAACCTCGCAGATCCTATCTCCCGTGGTATTTTTCCCTCAGACTCAATGTGATTATAATCCCCCCCCCATCTCTACCTGCAGCAGCCAATAGTGTTATATAGATATATCTTTTATGGACTATTAGCCAAAAAGTCCGATACATCATCTACTCTAATTGTCCACTGTCCATGGGGAATGTATCCTACATTCTAAATTACAAATCTTGCTGTGTAAGCCCACATGTTTCGCATTTTCAGCCACCTACTGTGGGAACTTCTCCACAACACCCAAAACATAGCCCATTTTGGGTATTCTCCACAATATCAACCTTTCCCACACCCTCCCCATCCATCCCTGGCTCACCAACCACATCACAATTAGATACAGCTTGCATTTATGTAGTATAGGTTATATACACATAATATAATATAATATAATAGACCACTTTTGTTCTTTATTTTTGCACCAATACCTGGTACAGAGCCTCTGCAAGTGTGACATAATAGAAAACATATCAAAAACTGTTTCGCATTTTTGCCCCTCTGGTATTGGGGTACTATAGTGTGTTTAGAATATGTTTTTAAACATATATGTACCTATCCCAGCCCTCATTTTACCTCCTACAGCGCCCTATATCATGTACTGTGCTGTACTAGCATAAAATAAAAAGTAGCTACACATTTTTTGAGCTTTAGGTATATAGACTTGTAAATATGATCCCCAACATACCTTCAATAGTATATGCAACATATCAGGAGCCTAGGTCAACATGATCAGTCCCTGTGGTGCTATGTGCTTACCCTCTCCTGGTGGTTCACCCCATGGAAAAAGATTTCCTGCAGCTCCAGCCCTCCAGGTTGGTAGGGTGCCTGTTCCTATTGATATCTAGAATATATAAATCACATAGCTGTATGAGAATAGCAACAGAATCCTTCTCCAGAATGGAATATCTCCTCCTGGCTATACTACTGCATATTTTCGCATTTTTAAGGTTTTGCCATTGCACAAACTATCCAAACTGTTCATAGTTAACTTCTAGTACATATATCAAGTCTTTTCATGGCAAGGATCAGACAGGAATATGTCAGAATATTAATATCAGGGGTATGTCAGGGAGATTTACTGATAAGTAATGTATGGTCTCATGAGGATATATCTGTGTAATCAGCCACTTGCTATATGGTGGGCCTATACCCATTATACCATCTCTGAATTTGTAGAAAGATCCATTCATATCTGAGTGAGTGATAAGCAAAGTAAATGTATGATTATGGTCTGACCATGTATGTAATAGGAGAAATACATGAATATACTAATATCTAGGTCAAATATTTTGTTAAAAATGAGCTAAATAGAATGTAGACTACCTAAATATCCTGTACCACATTATATTCTAAGAGTGAAGGTAATGTGGAAGTGTTGTAGTGTCAAAGTGTTGTTGCAGCATTACAGTCCTACCACTAACTTAATGTGTTGACTGATTTTCGATGTTTAGACTTTTGAGTTTCCCATGCTCTTGTTCTTATCTACTGGGTTCCCCTGCCCTTATACATTGATGGATCCTTCCAATGCTCGGGGGCTGTGTTCCCCAGTATGTATAGTGTATATTGTGATAGTCCGATTACAATATACCATCCTATACCTGTCTGACAGTCCTAATCAGTGAAAATAGGAGATATATCCTTGATATCAATATTCTGACATATTCCTGTCTGATCCTTGCTATGAAAAGACTTGATATATGTACTAGAAGTTAACTATGAACAGTTTGGATAGTTTGTGCAATGGCAAAACCTTAAAAATGCGAAAATATGCAGTAGTATAGCCAGGATAGGGTTTGGGGAATTTGGGGTGTGCAAATTTGCCTGGCTAATTAGCCTTGCAAATTTACCATAAATGACATGGTCAATTTCGACCCCCCCAAAACCAGGTGTCGATTTCAGGTCAATTTCGGTCTAACTGGTTGGTTTGGCTGGACCAATGTAAAAGTCTAATTTCCAAACACCCTGGCCCATTATCCGCAAGCTAGAACAAGAATATAGGTTACTTATTGTGGCAGGACTTGCTACATAGTTGAAATAAATATGTTAATTGGTTACTGACTTGGAAGATGACCGAGAATCCGAAATATTTGGATTCGCTGATTCTGCTCAGTGCTGAAATATTGTAAAGTCTGATCCCCATCACAAAGCTCCATGCATCAACATCTCAAGGATCAACTAGCTGAACTACGACTCTGTCTTGTGGCATTGCCAACAGACATACCCATCCGAAAGGAGTCGAAGTATAAATTCTCGGACTTCAGCCCAGATGCTGAATGGATTGCAGAGATTGGTGAGGCTGCTGCCATCAATCGAGAGCTAGAGGTTAGGTTGGGCAGTCGAGTCAATGGTCTAAAACTTGTTGAACGAGGCTTGGAGATGGAGGCCATAGTCCATGTTTTTGAAACATGGACTAAAAAATATCCAGGTGATATTATCCTTGAGAAGTGGGTGAATGACACTCTTGAAGCTGCGCGAGGCCTCATTCTCGCAGCTGGAAAAGCTGTGAGTCAGATCTTTTTTTTCTCCAATAAAACAGAATTAATGATGACATAGTTACCGGTCCCTGCCTCCAAATTGAGTTCTATGGAAAAAAAACCAGTCAAAGTCAATCACACTACTCAGATACCTGAGAAATGCAAGCATAAGGTTCAGAAACTCAATACCCATATCTTGTCAACCTTCAATGATGACCAGTACATCAGTGCTGGTGAAGACGAAGACAATCGAAAAGGTGGCGCCAAGATGCACCCACTGCTTCGCAAGGTTTCAAAGCCTTCTCATCTAGCAAGTGATCCCACCGGGGAAAAAGTTGTTCGGTGTATTGCTAGCTATGGCTGTAATACCACATGGTCGTGGCCAAGATCTCGACAACGAATCATGAAGCATGCTGCCAATGAGTGCCTGAGTATGGCGAAAGAGTGGCAGAAAGAAGCCAGGGATTATATGGCTTCCCGAGCGACATGAGGGAAGGCAAAAGGTGTGGTCCCTGAGGCAGGGTCAAATTCAGACTCGGACTCAAATGATGTCACACTATCAGAGGTAACAGACCGGCTGATGAAGAAACCGAGGATGGATGTTTTGAGTTCAAAACAGGTTGTATCATTTGACAAGCGGTATGTTACTGAGGGACATAAAGTGCTGAAGGAGAAAGGTGACCATGCACTCATGCTATTTGTGACGTGTACGGGAATCCCGCCACATGTCATTGATTCAGATGAATTCAAGGCTTTCTGTAGCACCCTGAATACCAACTACAAGCCCACATCTCCAATGACTCTTGCTGATCACCTAATTCCAAATGAATCAGCAAGAATCAGCAAAGTAATGGTTGACTATCTCAAAACACAACTCAATCTCACCATTATGTTTGACGGTGGAAAGATCCGAAAGCCCAAATCATTCTACACTGTTCATGTCACTACTGCTGACAGGCGAACACTTCTGCTTGAGCTCGATGATTCCTCGATGCTCAGTCATACAGCCCGATATATTGGAGAGTTGTTGGAGAGCGTAAGTTTAGTTGTACTACACTCACACAAACTTAAAACTCACCTTGACATTTAATTAGGTCATTCTTGATATCAGGCCCTATCGCTTTTCAGGCTCATCATTGGATGACACTGGAAACACAAAAAATAGCCGCAATATTACTCATACTAGTCAAAATTCAACTCAACAACACTCATTTTACCTGCAGGTCTCTGACCATCTAAGAAAGATTCTAGCATTCATGGATAAGTCCAGTTATGCAATGGAGCACTTCAATTATCAATGTAGTGTTCTCAAAATTGGCCGTGGTCTAGAGGAAATCAGCAAAACTCAATTTGCAAATATTCATTGGTCTGCTGCATCACTGCAACGTTGTTTGCCTGCAATGCAAGCCATAGTTAGCAATCCGAGTTTGGGGATCTATGTGAAGGTACAATATATACATCATCAACTTGAACTAACAGCTAACAAACCTCTGCACAGGGGCGAAATCATTTATTTGAGGCAAACACCACAGATTCACTGATGTTTCAAGTTGCCCTAGCAAAGCTCGTAGCAATTACAGGACCATATGCAAAGGCAATTCAGTGTCTGGAATCGGCACAAACGACATGTGCAGATGTCTATCTGTACTGGCTTGCCATCATCGCACAGATGGAACAACTCCTTCAAGGCAATACAATTTGCCTGCAGAAAGAGACCAAAATGGCCAATTGCGCAACCACTAATGTGCGGTTCAATCAGATGATCAACAACACACCAAATGATCCATATATCACAGCATTTTTCTTGCATCTGGGTGGGTAGACTTCTCATCTCATCATAGTGTCGCCACAAAACTGATACTTGACTTCTGAAGAATATCAAATAGCACTGATCTACAAGAATATCAATCCTCTCGACTTGCCTCCCATCCATTTGACGAAATCAAATGGAATGTACAGTGTTGTATCCCCCAAAGATTCAATTGTCAAGAGAGTTGGCATGAGGCGTCAGCTCATGCTCAAGCACGAGTACGGCGATGTTTATGATGTGGTGAAGTCAGATCAAGCCGCTGCAAAACTTATGAAGGAGAGAAATCCTCGCTTGGCTGGATTGACACCACAAGATGCTCTGCAGGCATTGAAGGTCGAGCTCAAGGAGTATCACAAAGGAGCAGATCCTTTCAACCGCAAGATTTGTAAGCACGAGAACATTCGAGATTGGTGGTTAGCTGTTCAAAAAGATGAAAATGTGCGGGTTCTTGGGGTGACAATGTTATTTGCTTGCTAATTTTTGTCACTCACTCTTAGATTCAGGCTCTCGCAAAAGTTATACTCTGTTGTCCCAGTGTCGATGGCCAATGAGAGGACAGTTTCAACAATAACGTGGCTTAACGGGCCCACTCAGAGCAGGCAAGAGATCTCAACATTAAAAGAACATATACAGATTCGTCAGTGGCACCACTGGCAAGTTGATGTGAGTGAAGTTCAATCAACAGTGGAATTCTAACATACCATACTTCTAATCAGTTAAAAGCGCCAAGGTTACCCCTTCTGTCAAATGGCAAGATATGTATGCGACAATTCACGGTAAACCTGAGCCGCCAACTGTTGTCCTGCCGCCTACTACAACTGTGGACCTTATTTTGAGATTGACCAATGAACATCAAGATATGTATTCAGATTCGGATGAAGAAGAAGGGGATTGGCTTGATGGTGGTGATATCACGGATCATGTGGATTTAACTGGTGCAAAAAGTGATGAGTTCAATGTGGGTAAACATATTGACATATTGTCCACATACCTCCTCAATATTCTATCAGACCACCCTGTGCAACCCACAGCTGCTCGTGGAGGTCCATCAATACCAAAGGCGGTGGCTGATCAAGCTGTAACATTGTCCTCGACACTGATGGATAACGAGTGGAAGGAATGGTAGGTGGTGTAAATTAGGGTCAATTAGAGCAATTTTACCTGCAAATTAGTGCAAATCAGCGTTAAAAAGCCATGGGTCAATTTGGGTCAATTTGATGTTATTTACACCTGTCAATTAGGACCTCGTAGAGGGTTGTGCAAATTTGCCGGTCAACCAGAGTGGGATCCCTAATTCCCCAAACCCTAAGCCAGGAGGAGATATTCCATTCTGGAGAAGGATTCTGTTGCTATTCTCATACAGCTATGTGATTTATATATTCTAGATATCAATAGGAACAGGCACCCTACCAACCTGGAGGGCTGGAGCTGCAGGAATTTTTTTTCCATGGGGTGAACCACCAGGAGAGGGTAAGCACGTAGCACCACAAGGACTGATCCTGTTGACCTAGACTCCTGATATGTTGCATATACTATTGAAGGGATGTTGGGGATCATATTTACAAGTCTATATACCTAAAGCTCAAAAAATGCGTAGCTATTTTCTATTTTATGCTAGTACAGCACAGTACATGATATAGGGCGCTGTAGGAGGTAAAATGAGGGCTGGGATAGGTACATATATGTTTACAAACATATTCTAAACATGCTATAGTACCCCAATACCGGAGGGGCAAAAATGCGAAACAGTTTTTGATATGTTTTCTATTATGTCACACTTGCAGAGGCTCTGTACCAGGTATTGGTGCAAAAAAAGCGGTCAATTATATTCTATTATGTGTATATAACCTATACTACTACATAAATGCAAGCTGTATCTAATTGTGATGTGGTTGGTGAGCCAGGGATGGATGGGGAGGGTGTAGGAAAGGTTGATATTGTGGAGAATACCCAAAATGGGCTATGTTTTGGGTGTTGTGGAGAAGTTCCCACAGTAGGTGGCTGAAAATGCGCCTGTGAGTGGCTGTACTAAGTATTGCATCACATTCCCAAATGGAGATGTCCAATATAGTGGATAACTACAGAAAAGATGTATCAGACTTTTAGGATAATGAGCCATAAAGATACATCCTTCTACCTGTATCTGGTGAGGCAGCAGCAAACACCTTCTGGGTGTCACATCCCCCATCCTCTACACGTGAGTCTGTCGCTAAATCCCTACAACAATCACGCACCCGCATTCCGCACGCACCACGAGCCAGTTCATCCATCACACCCTCCTCACACCGTCCTCTCGTTCTTGCCAGCGATCACCTTCTTCTTTGGTTCACTCCAAGCGGGCCTGGATTGGCAGACTGCCCTCAAGCAGACTTATCCTGACGCATCACTCTTTCGTCTTTTCCAAGTACGCCTTCTCGTGTTCATCCTTTTCTCACCTAATCATCTCTCTCCAAATGTTATGATATGCTCTCTTGACGTTGACACCCACAGCAATTACGGCGCAGCACAGATGAGAAATGTTCTCCTGCATCTGGCCCTTTTACTCGATTCACCTAACGGCCTGGGCAATACTTATATAATAGATAAAGATGAAGATGCAGACGAGGACGAGGAGTTATGGCTGTAAATGTCTTCACTCGATATACTGCCGCTCGGCAAGAACGGGCGGGCCACGCGTGCCAAGGAACACATCTCATCAGCCACAGCAGACAATGAGGCTTGGGAGGTAGGGACATAAATTTGTGCTGCGAGAGTTGAGGTGCATGACGGGTAGTGTATTGTATGTGTTTGAACACCTTTGGGGTGATTCCAGGCCATACTGTAGTTTTAATGCATTAAAATAGGCTAAGTAGCAGACATTTCATGATGCATCAACATTGCTCAATCAAAATAGAGAAGGTGATGCATTACTGATGCATCGGTAATGCATCAAGCAAAATACTTCATCCCTTGCTTCGTTTAATTACTAAGCCCTCTAAATCTCAATAGGGGATACTTCTGCATACCTCCGTCCCTTGCTTCCCCTGCTTTCCTAGCTTACTAATGTCTTTAAATACTTCGTACCTTACCTTCCTTGCTTCCCTTGCATACTAATGCCTTTAAATACTTTGTACCTTACTTTCCCTTGCTTCCCTTGCTTACTAACGCCTTTAAATACTTTGTACCTTGCTTCCCTTGCTTATTAATGCATTTAAATACTTCGTACCTCAGCCACTTGTCCAATATAGGAAAGGAAAGTACTCAGCACCAGAAGACGGCACCAGAATGATGTCATTCTAGAGTTTTTTATTCACCAAGTCCCACTGACACTGTTGGCTTAATTTCTGTCAAGGTTTTTGAGCCGGTAAAATTGTTCATGTTCATTTCATGCATGCAGAGTTCAAGAAAATATTTTTGTTGCTGTATTACAATAAGAAGTGTATAGTACTACAAGCAAGATATGCTAACAAAATCAACAAGTTGATATCTAAACCCTATTCTAACATCATCGTGCCCTTCTGTTGCAAAGAATCTATCAGTGTCACTCACAAACAGAAAAAAAATGTGCGTACTTGTGTGAACCGGAGTCGCCTTCGGCATTTTTCCCCTTACCCTTCGCAGCAACAGTTGAGGTACCAATCTCATTGTTGCATTCACATGGATTGAACAGGACAGTGTTACGTGCACCCAGACACGGGGCTTCTGCAGACGGTGCAGGCGCTTGAGTTCCGTCGAAACGATTTCTGCACCTGGCTTGGGGAACAGCAGGTGAGTTGTTGAGGTCATTGCTATCCTCTCCTTCCTCACTATGTACAGACAGAAGAAAGACCTCTTGAGTCTGTGGAGTTGACGAATATGGGTCGTCCTCAACATCCTGATGCAAATTCATGGGAGGCACCTGAGGGGAACCGAGCATGTTGATGTCGAAGGTCAGATTGTTGATCACAGCTGAGAACGCCGCTGGATCAAACACTGAAAAATCTATACTACCCTGTATGATGGGGTCGTTCAGAAAAGGATCGAGTACTGAAAGGTCCATGTGGTCCATTGTTGTGAGGTGGCCCATGGCTTCAACGTCGAATGATGCATCACTGGTGGTAGTCAGTGATGCATTAATAATGGTGGGAAATAGATCGGCCCCTTCATCGGATTGAGGAGTCATGCAATAGAGGTAGTTCCTAGGATCCTCCTGCAGTTGACTCTGCCCACCCTCGCCACCGCTCTTTCCCCACTCCTCGTCAGAGTCTGTGTCTAACAACAATAGTCCAGCGTCTGACTCTGACTCTGACTCCGACTCAGACTCCCGCGATAATGTAGACTCGAATGCTAGTTTGAAGGTAAGGCGCATCTTTGAATAACATGTTTAAACTCACCAATAGACTTTTTGACAAATTCTAGGAAGGCGCTCTGCACAATGTCAAACTTGTTGTACGCTTGGTCAAACTGTATGCCACTTTCGACTTCTCCTACATGATAGCTTAACGTGAATCAATCATGAGTACAGTTTTCCTAGCACATCAAATTCTTTCACTCACTTAAACACTGACACTTCACCTGTGCTAGGATCATGACCCCCCATCAACACGCTAAACTTCCACCCTCCAGTCATATGTCCAAGGTACTTGAGGTCTCGATCGAGCATGGGGCCGAGCTCGTGAATAGCTCTTTTTGTTAAATTTAGTCAGAACGAATCGTTCGATGATGCAGGAGAGGTACATACTTGATTTTGGACATGTTGTCAATTTTTGGTGGCTTACCTGACTTTAGGTGTTCGTGTTGTTTTGTATATCTTGCCTTTATTGTTTCATACTTCTTGTTGATCTTGGCTTTGATGACTTCACTTTTGTCTGAATACATACGGCGCGTGATCTTGCGGCATTTGTTCAACTTTGGACCTCTATTGGTAATGTGTTCATTTTTGATTGCATCGTCTGCAGCGTGCTTGATCTTTTTGTCGTAGTATTTGTTGGAATATACTGTCGATTTTCTGTGGTGCGTGTGTTCCTTTCAGATTGACACCCCCAGCTAACACGGCGTCAAATTTAAGCACCCCTCTTCAGCAGCTGAGCGACCTAAGCGGGCAGGATTATTCTGCCATCTGAACCAGGACACGATTTGCTGTCAAGATCTGATAAGTACATGCTTGTTTTGCATGGTGAGCATATCCCTGACTTGCCTTTTGACGGGTTTTCACGCGTGTTGCTATATACTCCTCTTCTTCGGCCGTGTAGACATGCTCAGCTGGCAATTCTGGGAACGACACCTTGCGCTCAGGCCAACGTTGGAACCATTCGACTTTGACACACTTCAAAAAATCCTTGTAGTGCTTGTTCAAGGCATGTGTGCGGAATTCCGGAAAATGACTGAGGAGGAATTCCTCTTGTTCTGGTGTGGCCCACTTTTTCTGCGGCATCTGTCATCACACTGATCAGCATACACCAGTGAAAATGTTTCTGGACGCACATTAACACATCCGGGGGACAATGATATTTAGATAGGTAAGCAAAAACACGGGTGAATGTTGTTATGTGCGCCCTCATTCTTCCTAATAGTACCTCGGTCTTTCCTATTTGTGCACAAGGCTGAGTTGTGAGTTGCAGTTCCTGACAATCGAGATACATTTTGCAACTTCATAAATTTAACTACGACCTATCCTTCCCCCCTTTTGCATAACGACACCTCCGCTCCCACCCAATATTTTGCACAGTGCATATGCCGTCTGAGCCTATGTTCTGATATGTATTAAATCCTGCTCTATGTCTATGAGTTGAATGGCAAACCTTCGTGGCTTCCTGATGGGAAAGTACACGTGCAAAGTTGCCTTGTCAGAAGTCATATACAAGTGGGTCAACTGCAAGAACAATCTAATCCTCTTTGCACACAAGGCGTGAATACAGGCAATCAAGTGCAAGTGACTGACTTACCCAGCGACAATACTCAATAGCACCATGTTCAGGCCAGGTTTCAAACCACTTGGAGTAAACAGACTCCCAGAAAATGGCTACGTCTTCTGCTGTTCCTGAGTTGATGAGCACATATCCAGGAAGAAATGTTTTGAGCATATCGCGCTGCTTGTGCATCAGCACTCCCATCTGCATCTGGGACATGTACATTGGGTGAATGGGAGAGAAATCTGTCGAAATATGCACAATAAGCAAGCCAGAGGTATGCTCTTCCAATAAAGATTTGCACCATAGCAACAAATCACCGGTGGAAGCTAGAAATAACATTTGTTGGTGCTCTATCTAACTGCTTAAGCGAACGATGGCAAATCTTCGAAACACGCTCCAAAAACCTCAACATTTTCCAAAGACAGACTTGATCCATCCACCCTCCTAGACCCTATGGCTTGTGCCTCGGATGACGCTTTTCAGCTTATTTATACCATCAGTATAGACCCTAAATGCACTCATCAGTAGTGTGTTCATTGAAGCGTGAAAACAGTATATTAAACCTTCTCTTTCCTTCTCAAAGAACGAGCAACGGCGATAGCCTGCTCTCCAGAGAGTTTGGTGACACCAGGAAACAGTCTCTCCTCTTCTGGCCAGCGTGCAAAATAGCACACATAAAAGTTGTTAAAGAAAACAATACAATCTGTGTCATCCCGGAGCCTGAAGTATTCAGCTGAAAACGTCTGCAGAAATTTGTTAAGGATATTAGCGAGCATATTCATAGGGCTTACATTGCAAAGATTTACACTATTGTCTGGTATAACAATCCTCTGCGAAAGAATTTTGGATTCATTTCTTCATCCATCTCCCTCATAGCTGAGTAGCACCATAATTCCTCTGTGGCCATTGTTATTGCCTTGGACTGACACATCACACCAGCAGCCACTGCATGACCCAAATTGTCGTCCAAAGTTTGCAGGTATTCATGAATGTGCTCCAAAGTCTTGAGATGTTTGGAAAGGCGTGACTGTACCGCTTCTCTGTTGTCTTGAAAGTCCTGTACCATCTTGATAAACAGAGGTTTAAGTTCGGTAGAAATCACCACAAGGTTTGATTGGGCGTCCTCAATATCATATCTATGAAGAGTACGGTTGAAAGTTAGTAAAATCAGTCAATATATCAATTAAAAGTCGCACATATCACAGTTCTTGTGCACTGCTGGAGACGGTGGAGTAAATGATGACTCAGATACACTCTGTCTATAGCAGTTATAAGAATTGGCAAGTGAGCTCAGTGTAAGATTTTTAAAGTACACACTTGGGGGTCATGGGTGCACTTGCGAGATTTCTACACTTTGACTTAGTAGTGTTGTCCCTCTTGTGACAATAATTCCTGGCCATCTTGAGCCCAATCTCCCTCTTGTTCCTGCATTCCTCAGTATGTAGTCTAGAATTTGTGCAGGAAATGTACTTCACATAGTATTTACGATTAGAGGTGCAGGCAGCTTCGAGCCGTGCCTCTTCAGTCGTGTATAGCTGTGGGCGACCCATGAGTGCGTGACTGTGAAAAGTGGTGGGCCAGATGTGACAGTAATAAACTTCAACTTGTCCAAACATATTCATCAGAGATTTATGAAATTAAGTATCAGTATCACAACAAATCATATCTTCAGACTCAGATACAACACAAGACATGATATGTATGATACCTTAAGACAAGCTGTAGGCAATAGTGTTACGAGCCGGCCTTGCACATAGAGATACCATGGATCATTCAGTCTTTCCACTTAGTAGTAAGTACATGGACGGATGAAATCTCAGGACAACTCCTATCACAATTCTGCCAGTACCGTTCCTTTCATCTTTAGCTTAGCTCACTGCTTTCGAACTTGTTCCTTTGAATTACAAAACTTCGATAGCGCAAAGTAGTACTAGACGACCTCAGTACTAAACATGTCATATTCGAGCAACATATCCTGTGTGTTGCCTGCTTCACCTGTACTCAGACTCTTCAGTTTCAGCCATACTGCAGTTTGGTTGCATGTCCACTCATTCCGTGGTGTCCGATGCTCCGCCGATGTCATCGCAACCTTGCTGTGTGCTTCAACTTCTGGTCTTCGAGATCTCGCGCTGTTGTTCTGTCAAAATCACCTTGCTGTGTGCTTCAACTTCTGGTCTTCAAGATCTTGCAGTGTTGTTCTGTCAGACATTGGAAGGTTGCGGGAAGAGTACATAATAGCGACCTTGTTGGCTTCAATCCTCCTTGTTTGAGTAGACACATCTGATTCTACAAGCACAAGTGCAATGTAACTAAGACACTATGTGTATAATAGCTCTCAAATCAACAACTTAATGTCCCCTCGATCAATTGCGTTGTTCATCAGCTGCATGCCTTCGGCAAGCGAACGAACCTTGGAAAAGGAAGCCCAACTAACACCAATGACATGCAAGGAAGTCTGTTGCCTAAGTCAGGAAATTGGTCAGCTAACCAGCAAGAAGCAAAGTGGATGCAATGCACCAAGTAGAAAAGATACTGACACGGCGACCGTGGGTGACCCAGTAATAGGGCCCTGAAGCGTTGGGAGCAGGAACATCATATCTAATGTTCCTATATACCTGGGTATGCACAGTGGCAGCAGGAGAGCTAGCAGCCACACCTCCAGAGCCAACAGGTACACTAGCTGTGTTGGCATCAACAGACGCAGTGGCTAAGAAAGTGTCAACAGGCAGGCTGGTTGTGGTAGCGGCAGGAATCATCAATCTCATTGGGAACAGGTGACACATTGACAGTGTCCTCCGCAGTAACTTCACGCACTGTAGCCATGACAGTGTCCTGTATGAATTCCCAGAGGGCAACCATCAGTGCAACTGCGTTGGGCCCTGAGATATTCAACTGCTCAAAAAGAGCAGAGAGAGAATCTACAGTCAAATATTCAGTATTGTCAATTTTAAAAACTGATATGACTTACCAGCAGTATCACCAGGACCGTAAACAATGGTCACTACAGGTGCGGGAGGAGAGTCAGAAGCATCACCGGGACTGTCAACAATGGTTGCTGCAGGCATGGGAGGAGAGTCAGCTACACTTGTGGTCAATTTATAAAACTAATAAGACTTACCAGCGGCATCACCAGGACTGTAAACAATAGTTGCTGCAGGCATGGGATGAGAGTCAGCCGCGCTCGTGGTGGTCATTGCTGTCATCCAAATGAGTAAAGGACGATGTGTAGAATCTGAAATGAGTCAAGTAGGACTCACTGAGAACAGGCACGGCTTTTAAGCATTTCACAGCCACATCGAAGGCATACTGAGCCTTGGTGACTCAACAGAGGAATTTTCAGATGGGGAGTTGCATTAGGGAGTTGCAAGATGCGAAGAGGAAGGGTTTGCGAAGAGGATGTGTTTGGCTTTGTTTGAGTTGTCTACAGTCTACTGGTAAGTGTATTGCCTACTGAGGGAAAGTTTTGCTACACTGGTTTGGGCTGAGTCCAAGGCCTAAACCAATCTCTCCGTGCCAAGGTGATACAATTGCACGACAAGTTTGAAAGGATGCTGCAGTCTGAGGGTGAGTAATATTACAGTGAATGCAATATATGTACCGACACTGACATTTTTAGGTGGCAATGAGCAACCTCCACCTACCACAATTCAGGTGGTTCGCTTGCCTTGGTCATGGCAGGAAATCAATCAACGGAAGAAAAGTCACAAATGCCGGAAGCGAGCTCGTTTGAATGCATATATACCACCCACTGCTTCACAGTCACGACAGGCAGTGCACACCTCAGTAACCATTGGAGGGTGTCATGATGGGCCAATGCGGATCAAGTGTCGCAACATCACAAGCAACCTTCCATCAATTCTATCTATGCACGAGTCTACTCTAATGTTTTGGGGGATGATGAGGCCTTGCCTCAAAGGCACAGGCGGATGGCAGCAGTAAGACTCTCACTCTCAGGATACTCATCCTTACTTACTAACTGGTGCCTAGGATAATCCTCTCCTTTCTTGGAAGGGGGAACGAGACACTTATCTCGCTGAACTGATCCGGTTAGATGGACGCGGTGATAGCTCTAGCAATGTGTGGGGGGAATGTTGTGCCCATGCACAATTTCGATGTCTGGATTGTGACGACTTGCAACTGTACTGTCGCGGATGCACTGTGGCCAATCACTCGTGGTCTCCTACCCATCGAATACAGGTAGGTGTCATCATTTCAAAAACGGAAAAAATATCAAGCTATCTGCAGGAATGGACTGGTGTTTTTTTCCAGGTCGTGTCATTGAAGGCTCTCAGCCTTCGTATCCAGCTTGGGCATCCTGTTGGCCAACACTGCATTCTCCCTAGACAGGTGTTTAACAGCAAGTTCGTGCTAATAGACACGAATGGCATTCATGAAGTCAGGTTGGATTTCTGCGGATGTGAAACTTCAAACTCGCATGTCAGACAGCTTCTTCGCCATGGATGGTTCCCATCAACATCAACCGACCCGAGGACTGCAGCTACCTTTCGACTGCTGCGCCATTTCCAACTTCTATCATTCGAATCGAAGGCGTCTGCCTATGAGTTCTACCACTCACTAGTTCGTCTGACAGATAATACAGGTCTCACAAAACCAAGGTAAAGTACTTCGTCATCTTGTCCACTTACTTGTTTGTCTTAACCTTTGACTTTAGGACCGTTACAATGCGTTCTTACGAATGGTTCGTGAGTGGCGACATCTCAAGATGTTGAAACACTTTGGTCGTGGACATGAAGAGGGCGGCGTTAATGGCACATCACAAGGTGAATGTGTCGATATCTGTCCAGCTTGTCCGCAGCCTGGTAAGAATTTGCATGAAGGCTGGGCACTTGCGATGAAAGCCAACCAGTGAGTATCAGAATTTTTTTTGAGTATGGATATGGGCTCATGTGATTCAGGTGGTTGTACACCACATTTTTGGCAATTGACACAAACTTTCGCTTAAAAAGACGCAATGTATCGAGCGACAAGGCAGATCCCAGTTTGTCTACAGGGTGGTCATATTTTGTGGAGGAGGCCGACTACAAGTCCTATCTAGGCCAACATCTTGGAGAAGTACAGGAGGTACGCAACCCCGATCTAACTTTTTGCATGTTTCTGACTCCATTTCACAGAAAAGCACATGCTCCAGTCATAATGCGGTGAATATGGCCGACACTAAACTGTCACAGGGACTGGCTGCCACTGGTGTTGGCACGATAGACTGTGCACATCATAACATGAAGCGTGCTAATGGAGTCGGTGATCTACAGAAGGGTGAGAAGTATGTCGAGTGCTCACAATGCTTATGTGTCAATGTGTCTGACCATTTTACAGGTATATCAACATGGATTACCTTTTCTTCTCCAGCTTGCGCGACAATTCAGTCAAAATGTTAAACGTGTCCTATGACATCGCGTGTCAGTGGCATAAACACCTCTGGTCACGCATGGAATCCCTCCCTCATTTGCATCATTTAGATTATCTTTCAAAGGTCATCCACTTCTTTGTGCCAAAGTTTCACCTTCCCGCGCATGTCGCAAAGTGCCAGACTATATTCTCATTCAACTTCACTCGTTTTGTTGGCCGCACGGACGGCAAAGCCCCAGAAAGAGGATGGTCAAATATTAATCCTGTGGCTGCAAGTACAAAGAACATGGGCCCAGGGTGTCGGCGAGACATGCTGGACGACCATTTCAGCGACTGGAACTGGAAGAAGGTGGTAGGGTTGGGCGCATCTCTCCTCCACAAGATGAAATACGCTCGTGTTGAAAGGGCTGAACACCAAGCAGCTTTCGAGGAGTTTGATACCATGATTACCCCCAAACATCGTGCAACATGGCTAAATGAAATTGAGGCCTGGGAAGAGAATCCTAACAACTTGACACTGGCCAATCCGTTCAAAACCAAATCTATTGGTGGGTGCTTTACTTGCTGGCAATCTCTCACTGACAGCGCATGTAGCAATCACACAGGTGGGCACACGGCGAAAACTAGCCGAGCTGGAAGCTGACGAGCTACAGCGTGGGGTAGATGTCTCCCTGCACCCAGAAATATTACCTAGCATACTCATTGCATCTGGCCTAGATCTCGAAGATGAACAGTAAGTGGTTATCCTGCAGAATATCGTGATCCTGCTAACAATTTTCAAGACATTGTCTTAGTTCTCTGATTGACTCCACAGGCCCTCATGCCACTGATATACAGTGGGGCAGCCTCATTCGGAAGCGCAACTCTCTCCGGCATAAAATTGAGACCTGGAGTGGTGTCCAGGTCCTTTACATGCCTGCAGGTACAGAGTCTTATTCAAAGAGGGCGTGAAGACCACAAGAATGCCGAAGATCTTACATTGTGGCTACCTTCACAGCTATGGAACAAACCTTGCGATCAGCACCTCCAGAATGACGAGTGGGAACTACAGTATGCACAAGCTCACGATGCCCTCGAAGAACTCCATCAGTGTCTTTGGATACACTGCTCGCTTCTGACATTCAAGCGTGAATGGATGCGTGGTCAAGGTGCCAATACATGAGGCCAGAATGCCCTTGCTCGCGTCCACGCTCGGCGCACTATGTGCGTCAATTGCTACAGGTCAGCTTGGACGGCGTTAAAGTCTCTGTCCATGCTATTGAAGAAGAAGGACTGGCATGGAAAGTTGCAGGAGCTAGTGGATGACCATATCAAGCTGCTCATGGATCCTTTCGGTGTCAGACAAGGACAACGTCAGGTTTCGTGGATCTGGATGATGGAGGGCATCAATTGTAATGGCGATGAGAGTACTGATGACAGTAAGTATCCTGAATGTGATTTGGATGTGTCTTGAACTAAGACATTACCAGGTGTGCACATTGAATGGTGCAAGAGCCATGCAAGAGCCCTACGTTGGACAGAAGAGATAGAATTGTTGATGGAGGAAATGGGGAGAGTCGTCCATTTTTTCAACTGGGAGGTACAGCGGTGGGAAGAATGGAGAAGTCACTGTGTGGGGGGGAGCTCAGCTGATACTGAAGGTTTACAGGCATATGCAGCACGACAGGCTGATATCCGTCAGAGGCTCGCCAATCATTTTGGTCGTCTTTGGGCGCCTTACCTGCCCCAGATGCTGGACCTATCTCTGTTTATCATATCCCCTGAGCGCGAGCTGCAATTACCTGACTTGACGATCCCTGATGTCCCCCTTGATGGGTACTGATGATTGCTTCTGCGACATTCCGGCCTGATCAACGTAGTGCCTTATTCTTGTCCCATGTATTATATAGTGCTGCCGCGGTCCAGTTTGGTCCGGTTCATAGAGGGTTGAGCAAGAACCGAGAACCGAACCTAGGTCCAGTTCTACTAGACTTGCCGAACCTCGAACTGGACCTTTGCGAACAGTTCAAAACGGTCAGGTTTGGTTTTTTTCGGCTTGAACCGAACCCAATTTTTTTTGAAGCTAGCAAAAAAAAACATAGATGCAGTATAATTGGAAGGAACTTTCAACCATGCTTGCAGTACTCGCTAGCAGCATGTAACGACAAGAAGAACTCATTTTCTGGGTCTTTGTCATGCAAATCTGCGCAGGCTGCCGACTACAACTTCAGAGTCATTCTCGCACTATATGTTGACAGCAGGCAAGTCTGCCGTGTGGACCGTTCGCGTGCCAGGATTAGATGCATGAATGACATGTATTATGATATCAGTTACTTGTATGTCCTGCAAGAGGGAAGCCCATAAGGCGCTGCATCAAGCACAGCAGATTCATCAGCGCGTGATGCAATCTCTAATGAACATGTAGGCTCGAATAGCCAAAAAGGTAGAACAGGATGCTTATTTGCCAACAGCTGCTTAGCCACAGTTGAAATCGTGTTGGAGTTGATAGCCTTGACGTGTCCAGCTTCCTTCCAAAGTTTAGCCATGTTGCGCTTGTCCTTTCTGATATTCCCTCCAGTGCTTTGAGGTCTAACAGAATATCCCGCAATCTCGACTCCAGCTCTATTCCACACGAAGTACACAATATGCTGACACTTACAGTGCTGCCGCGGGCACACAATATTTCCCACTGTGTTGGTTTCGGGTGCTAGTCCTCAATTGACTCTCGGAGCGAATGCTATGTAGGCCATGACCAGGCCAAGTTAGAAACTGAGTAGAGGCCTTACAATCGGCAAGTGCCGAGATATTACTTCGGACAAAGAATCCATGTCAAGTAGCTGATTCTATTTCCTCTGAGCCCTAAGAACTGGATTTCGCTATATTTGCACATGGCTGAGAGCAACTTACTGCGATGTAATACCCATCTCCCAGATGATCAGATCCTGATACCGGTACTTCTCATTCGTTCTTTTCTTCATACATGATCAACACCTTGCTGGCAGGTCCACCTCTAGTCACAAACACGAACTCCGCTATCGCACCGTCCGAGTCCCGTCTCAATAATTTAGCTCATTGTGTGTTGCGAGAAGCTCCTACCTCGTCGCCTGGTGGCACGAATCACCATTGGCATCCATCCAAACCTCAATGTAATATATCAATCAGTCTATTGAGTTTATTGCACTTGATTTGACGGTTAATTCGTACCTTGAGCTTTATTGGACAGCAGGAGGTGCGGGATGCAAGCCTCCGGACAGAATTCAAAGTCAATACAAATCTCAAGGATCCCAGAAGTCAAAGTGACCATGGGGAACCAGACAGAATTCAAAGTCGGTGCAAATCTCGAGGATCCAGAAGTCAAAATGACCATAAGTGTGTGCCTCGCCAATGTTGCAAGGAAGCTTCGGTTCGGGGTTCGGACCGGTTCGGGAACGTCCGAACCTATGTCCGAACCGTTCGGGAGACAGCAGACCACGAACCTCATTCCGGTTCGGTCCGCACAAAATTCAGAACCATGGACCGAACCAAGGACGAACCTGACCATTGGTCAGGTTCGAACCGTGGTTCAGGACCGGACCACGGCAGCACTAGTATTATATAATCTTTGAATTGATCAAGATCGCGATTTAACAGTACTCTGAAGTGGCCGGGGAAAAACTCTTAATTGCCGGGCTGGTGGGTACAATCCTATCTATCTAGGCAGCCTGAATTATGTCTGCTAGTTAGCATCAAATCATGCATCACTGATGCATCATGAGAGTATGCTAGTAAGCACTGTTGATGCATTACCTGTGTCTGCTAATTAGCAGACTTAATGCATTATTCTTACAGAGAGTGGTGGCGATTCTTCTTCGTTGGTTTAGCAGATGGCGTTGAGGCACTTAGCCTGGCATATATTACCACGGAAAAGTGTGGCATAGCCACGTCAAGCTCCTTAGCTTCAAAGTCGTCACGTCATGTTCTTGATGTATGCCTCACCTCAGTGTTCAGCAGTCATTTTCTCTTTCCATTCTGTCTCAGCCAGATACAAGATAATTCTCTGCTATGTCTCCACTTCTTTCAAGCTTGGTTGCTCCCGATGTCCTCCGATTCAGAGTCCTCCCCCTATAACTTGCTACTAGTAACTCACGCGTTGGGGCCGGACTGGGCCTCGCATAAAAAGAGGTACTGCCACGCCAGTGAGTCATGTGGTTCAATATAGGACGCAAACCACTCATACTCACACACAGCTTAGTAATCGAGCAGTGTCTGCATTGTTTATTAGTGACGCAAGCGGTAGGGCATCCCTGTGGTTCAATGTCGGCAGGGTCGCTGGCAAGTGTGGATGCTGCAGAGATTGATGCTGTCAAAGCAGCAGCAAGAAGGAGGACGAAGGTAAAACGCATTGTTCAATGTTTGTGAGGGAGGATGTGATATGGGTTCAAATCAATCTGAAGGGGACAGTAGGAAGACGGCTTGTTTTTATGTGCTGAATATTGTCATCCGTGGCGATGAAGGAAGAACCTATCTACACTTTCAAACAGATGCAATGCCAGCAGACTGCCACTTTAGATTGTGCGCATCTAGTGACATTTTGGAACGTGGGCTGACTTTACGAACGTGCACATTTGCAGTGCGTCAGGGTCAACGAATCCACACCGTTTTCCGCGCGAGTATTGGACCAATCTCACGAATGTATCGACCCTTTCCGTGCTCGAGGTGGAGATATGGCGTTATAGGGGTGGTGAAACGATCCCACCAAACAAGGTAAGAACGGCAAGACATACCAGTCGATCGTGTTCAGCGTCGAATCCCACTTTGGTCTCGTTGCGCAGGAGTTTTTGCATCACGCCCTCAGTCCGTCGCTGCCTCTCGCACTGATTCTCTTGAGTTGCTGATATCAAACACCAGGACTCCTCGTGAAGCCTCACGCGCACGTTCATAGAAGTCCAAGAGCGTGGCCAAATGAACGCCGTCACAACTCAGTGATCCGCTTCCAAGGCCTCCGATACAAAGGGCCTACGAATTGCGGGAAGTGCATGTCATCAAATTATCATAGATCAGATCCAATTTCAGTGGGGGGGAGGGGGGTGTCAAGATAGTCGTTTCTTCTTGATTGGTTTTTCCTGATGTTGTTCTCCGTCATCTGGATTCGTCCAGAACGCTGTGTTCAATGGTTCCCGCGCGCTCAGCTTATTCAGCGCACAAGTATCGGCGGCGTCGCGGACAGAATCGTCGATGTTGATCGGTTGATAATTGATGAGATCGTCCCTTCAGCAATTGTTTTAGTCCCTCGAGGGTCAAGACAGTGCATAATTATTTTCCGCACTAGAAGTGTCATTCAACAACACTTTCTCTCTTCTTCCCTCGACACTCGACAATCTCGTACTCCAAGCGCTATACTCCTCAGCATCACTCATTCATGCTGTAGAAGACTCGGAGTTCATGCAAGGTTGTTATAATTAAAATTGTGTGCTCGTATCTTCTTTTTATCTCATTATCGGGAGGTGGAAGTGGGCCATGCCGCGCCGTTCAAACAAAACAATTCACATTATCATAGCCATGTTTGTATCTATCTAGATACATCGATTTTATTCAAACTGTCCTGAACCAGTGGCTGTGTCCATTCATCCTTGTAGTTGTGTCCATTTGTCATACTTGCACGCTGGCTTAACGAAGTTAACGTTCCTCACAGTCTTGTCACATCTCACTTCAAAATGTAGCACTGTGTATATACGTGTGGTGCTCGACTCAGAACATCCTACAGTTGACGAGGGTACACCATGAAAGGACTGGAAAGAACAGAATGAGGACAAGTAAAACAGCACGCCAGTAAATTAACACCTGCCGTGGGGCCCAGAGAACCTTCTGGCCGCCGTGATAAGAAATATACGGATCAGTGGCTGGCAAACATATGTCGTGGATAGAAGGCTCGAATCTAAGACATGGTAGCTATTTTACTTGCTCGTCAAGTTGGTGCTGATCAAGTTGGTTTCAGCGTCGTGCCATAGTTTAACGCAGTAGCACACATGTAAATCAAGTAACATTGAAACAACAATTCACGTATCCAGCGTGTAATACTATGTACATCAATAATTACACGTCCATCGCAATAGACGAAGTATACGTATAGGGGTATGCAATATAGAATAATGAAGCGGTGCATGTATGCAGCGAGTAGGGTAGGGTATATCGCACCCCGTCCCCAGCGCCTAGGCCCATCGTCGTGAAAGCAGCACTTAAGCGTGCGGTATGAAGTCGTGCGTCGTGTCTGATGTGAGAATCTGTGTTGTATGCGGTAGAGATCGTGCGTGGTATGCGTAGGGATCGAATGCGTAGTATGCGGTACAAAGCGTATTTGAGGTAGGAATCATGCATCCTGTATGAAGCAAAGAGTGCGCGTGGTATGTCTGACACGAATCGTAAAACTCGTAAAACTACCCAAAAACGACGCAAACCCACCCAATAATCCAAACAACAAATCTTACAACTCGAAATTAAGCGAGTCTCTATCCTCGCTCATAACTCTTGCATACTCGAGGAATAACCTGAAGACTACGGTTGACTTTGCGTGTATTGAAAGGGTCGCAAACTGCACTCACCTAAACAAATAAGCAGTCATATCCTCCTTCCTCCAAAACGCCCTACTCCACTCCCTCCCACTCCTCGCGATCTTCGCTCCAAGCTCTTCATGAGATCCTCGGCCTGAGGGGTCACCGCGAAAGAAGAGGAGGGCGTCGTAGAGGTCGGAGTAGTCGATTTGGATAGGAATGTAGTGAACACAAGGGGAGAGGCGGTCTGTGAACCTGTTTGGGGTGGGACACGAGAGTAGGAATACGAGAGGAGCAGGAACATAAAAGTAGTGATGTTGAGTTAGACTGGAGCGAGAGAAGGGAGGGAACGAACCATTCAGGATATACCGTAGACTTGAACACGAGCGAGTTGGTCGTGATAAGCCGTTTAAACCGACTCGACCACCCATTGCCATCCACCTAGCGAACAAACACGTGAGCCGCTCCGCAGAAACAACGAGAAAGCTACAAGAAACTGATTGTAGCGCTTCTGTAAAGAGCCAAAACCAACGTAGAACCCAAAAATGTAAACTCACATCAAGCACATACATACATTTTCCCGCATCCCTAACACTCATCCTCCTCCTCCACTCAAATCCCTCCTCCAACTCCCTACATGTTTCAGGCTCGCACTGGCTAGGACTCCCCGCAAACGCAATATCGAGCATCGCAGGGTTCATCCTCGCCTTCTTCATTTCTTCCACCTTCATCCCCTCCCCATCCCCATGATCGTCCATGATCAACACCTTAATGCTCCCATCTGTCCTCTGCGCAATCTCCACTAATCGATCCCTCTGCGAATCCCTCCAAGCCTGAGGTCTATCGCTCGCATGATGAATGCCCGTATTAAGCCCCCTCCAAAGAAGCCGCTCATCTTCATTTTTCTCCCATGCACCTTCTTCATCTCTTTCGCCTTCGACGTCATCCACCCATGATAAAGGTACGGGTACTCGGATATCAGCGTGTAGAGGACTGGAGCAGTAACTGAATTGCGGGACAGGGAAGGGGTTGGCGGAGGGTCCTGTGCCGTGAGCGAGGAATTGGCCATGTTGGGAAAGGTGGGAGGGATGTGCGCAGGGGTCCATTGCTTGGAGGTGGTCGTAGATGAAGGTTTTTGCTTTTTGAGTGGTGGATGGGGACCGGAGTGGGTTTCGTGCGACGGAGTCCAAGGGACATGCATGGATCCAGCCGCTGGTGAATGGTGCCGGATCTTCATTAAGAGGATCGATATCTAAAATGATGAAATGTTGGTTAAGGCACTTGCGACGGAAACGGAAATCATACATTCTCCCCTTTCGCCCGCTTCTACGGCTCTTCTCATATCGTGTGTGATAAACACGTTAGGGTTATCATGAGGGCTGAACACCGCCCTAAATGTGGGCAGATCATCCAGCCGATAGTGTCATATAGATATATCTTTTATGGACTATTAGCCAAAAAGTCCGATACATCATCTACTCTAATTGTCCACTGTCCATGGGGAATGTATCCATAATCCTACATTCTAAATTACAAATCTTGCTGTATATATATACAGTGTACAACCACTGGTTGACACAGCAAGTGTCAATTGCCCTCCTGTACACCAAACACCTCGAAAATCGCAGTTTCTAAGCGCTAGAATGATAATAAATAGTTCAATATATACGACTGAGGTACTAGAATTTTAATAATTGACGATAATAATGTATGGGAGTGTATTTGAGCTTGGGCAAGTAATGTCACATGAAACCTATCGTTGACACACCTGTGACCAGCGTGACATATCACTGCGATAACGCTATCACACACACGATCCACTTCGACACAAACCTCGCTAGCTCTCAAATTCTTCTCCTGAATCCTCAGACTCTGTTTCATCATCCTGTGTCATATCCTCGAGGGTAACAGCTGAGCTTGATGCCAAAGCACATTCATTGTTGATGCGTCAATACAAATTGATGTGTTTTTGGTTCCCATGTCCCTAAGTGCCTTGCTGTGTCACGCTTCAGTGGCCTCTGCATAATCTACGTTCGGACACAGCGAAATATCAATGCTTTTGCCACAATTTATGGTCTACACTTTGGTGAATGTGTCACCTACTGACTGATGTAGTTTTTGTAGCAACATGATAACCTGTATTGCCCAGTACACTGACTTTACAAAGTTGATGCTCCATTTTGAGCCACATTTTGGTAAGAATCCATTCATATATGAAACATTGCTCAGTGAGATTGGTCAAAAAAAATTCCATGCCTACTAGATGTACCTATAGACCTAACTACAGAATCACAAGGTTGATCAAACATGAATTTAATGAGTTATGGCCGAGTGTGTCAAGGAATGATGGTGTGTCAACCAGTGGTTGTACACTGTATAAGCCCACATGTTCGCATTTTCAGCCACCTACTGTGGGAACTTCTTGTTAAGACCGTGCTCAAGGGTAAAGCTGGAGTCTGAGGGGCTTGGCTTCAGCTCGTGTGCTGCGCCCCTTACCCAAGTACGTGCCCCTAATTTCGGAGTGTAGTCCGACACGAGTTCTATGAGTTCTGACAGGATGTCGGAACGGGGGTCCTCTGAAGGAGGACTGGCAGACTACTAGGTGAGCGCGGGAAAGTCGGGTGGGGGTTGTTCCGCCTGACAGGAGGGAGGCAGGAGACTACTGTGGTCGGAACCAACAGTAGAAGCGGAGCGGAAGGGACTGCTTGGACAAAGTCCGATGCAGAGCAGAACGGAGGGGATGGATGTGAGAGTGTGGGGTTTGGTTCCGACGCACGGGAAGTCGGACGAGCGGAGGAATGGGGGAACGGGGGATCGGAGGAATGTAGGAATGGGGAACAACGGAACAGTGGAACCAGCGGGACGGAAGAACGGGGAGACGGGGAAGTGGAGGATCGGAGGACAGCCGACCTAGGGAGTCAATCCCCTAGGCCGGGAAACAGGAGTTTGACTTGAGATAAGCTTTAAGTCAAAGGGCAGAAGAGCAGGGCTTAGAAAAGGTAATATTCAGACTGAGTATCTACAGACAAATGTACATATGTTTATATACTCTAAGTGATGAGCATGGCATAGCAGAGGGCTATGTGCTGAGTGTACAGGATTACAATAGGATGACTGAGACATACGAGAATGAGGCTTGGGGAACAGTATGTACACGATGGATCAGAATCGCTAGGGTATAGGGATTACCGGTGATCCGAAAAGCGGAACTATGATACTAAACGGGGATAGGACCAGTTGAGTGGTTCCTAGTCTAGGAGTGGACCAGTGAGGCGGTTGGACAGACTAACAGTCAGGTGGGGGAATACAAGCGGAACTGAAGGACCCCCGTGGGTCGGAAAAGCAGAGGGAGTAGGAGTAGGATCGGGCGGACCGATAGGGCGGAGGAGCGGAACCCCAGATAGGGTTGGATGGAAGGGGTATGGGGTCAGGGGACATAGGGGTAGTGTTGGAAAAGCGGAATGGGGTCGGGTGAAGGTAGCAGGGCTAATCCTGCTGAGATGCACTTCATGCATTGTCAGGGAAGGAGGAATGGAGGGGACGGGGAAACAGGGGGTTGGACCAGGGGTGGGGATGCTTATAGGTGGTACTGGGGGTACTTGGATTCGGTATATGACACTTCTCCACAACACCCAAAACATAGCCCATTTTGGGTATTCTCCACAATATCAACCTTTCCCACACCCTCCCCATCCATCCCTGGCTCACCAACCACATCACAATTAGATACAGCTTGCATTTATGTAGTAGTATAGGTTATATACACATAATAGAATATAATAGACCGCTTTTTCTCTTTATTTTGCACCAATACCTGGTACAGAGCCTCTGCAAGTGTGACATAATAGAAAACATATCAAAAACTGTTTCGCATTTTTGCCCCTCCAGTATTGGGGTACTCTAGCGTGTTTAGAATATGTTTGTAAACATATATGTACCTATCCCAGCCCTTATTTTACCTCCTAGAGCGCCCTATATCATGTACTGTGCTGTACTAGCATAAAATAGAAAATAGCTACACATTTTTTGAGCTTTAGGTATATAGACTTGTAAATATGATCCCCAACATCCCTTCTATAGTATATGCAACATATAAGGAGCCTAGGTCAACAGGATCAGTCCCTGTGGTGCTATGTGCTTACCCTCTCCTGGTGGTTCACCCCATGGGAAATTTTTTCTTGCAGCTCCAGCCCTCCATGTTGGTAGGGTGCCTGTTCCTATTGATATCTAGAATATATAAATGCAAAAATATGCAGTAGTATAGCCAAGAGGAGATATTCCATTCTAGAGAAGGATTCTGTTGCTATTCTCATACAGCTATGTGATTTATATATTCTAGATATCAATAGGAACAGGCACCCTACCAACATGGAGGGCTGGAGCTGCAGGAAAAAATTTCCCATGGGGTGAACCACCAGGAGAGGGTAAGCACATAGCACCACAGGGACTGATCCTGTTGACCTAGGCTCCTTATATGTTGCATATACTATAGAAGGGATGTTGGGGATCATATTTACAAGTCTATATACCTAAAGCTCAAAAAATGTGTAGCTATTTTCTATTTTATGCTAGTACAGCACAGTACATGATATAGGGCGCTCTAGGAGGTAGGTATTGGTGCAAAATAAAGAGAAAAAGCGGTCTATTATATTCTATTATGTGTATATAACCTATACTACTACATAAATGCAAGCTGTATCTAATTGTGATGTGGTTGGTGAGCCAGGGATGGATGGGGAGGGTGTGGGAAAGGTTGATATTGTGGAGAATACCCAAAATGGGCTATGGCTGAAAATTTGCCTGTGAGTGGCTCACCTGTGTGACACCATTAATAACCCTATTTAGTAATGGACATGTGATGTGATGTTTGTTACTAACTAGGGGGGTAAGTCTATGCTGCGGTACTTCAGCGAGTTCCGCAGCACTCAGCAGTCACTTAGGTAGGGTAGAAAAACCTGTAAGATAAGATATAATAGATATACTAGATAAGGTTTATCTCCCTTATTGGACAAAGCCAAGAATGGCGGCAACTTCCCGATGCTTCTCCCACGTGATGCCATGTCCTTCAAACCTTCATGCTCATTGTGCCCAATGATGAGCACAAAATACCCTTCAAATTCAACCATTTTCAAGCGGCTCTTTCTCTAACCTCGTCTATATTGACATATGTAGAGTTTTACATGTAAATGTAAGTATTTTTATAGCTTTACTTGAAGAAAACCATCAAGTTTGGTATACTATGCTACTCGCTGTCACTACTAGTGTCATCATCACTGCTTGAATCAACTATCTCGTTGCTCTTGTGTTGCGAGGCGGCAGTAGTCTTCCTGGCCTTTCTGGCAACATATATGGGTTCCCCTCGTGCATGGTGCTCTCAGTTATCCTTCATGCACGCGACACGCTCTTCGTCTGTGAGCTTGACCCACTCACAAGACCGGGACTTCAGCGCATCAAGTAATCTCTGCACTTCGGCTCTTCCACCGACTTTTGAAGGATTCTGAATATGACTGGACAAGGGCCAGTTCACAAGCGCAAAGCCGTGATGCTCAACAATGTTTTGTTCATAGTTAGTGTAATTCATCTTGACCTTGCCCTTAATGTTGTTCTCCAAGGCAATTGCCTCTGGAGAATCACGTCAATCATTGAATGCACATCGGAAGACAATGAACCACTTGCCAAGTTCCTCCTGAATCAATGTACGGCAGTCACTGACGAGTTTGTTCAATGGACATGGACGAGTAGTTATTGTGTGTTCATCTATATCAAATATTAAGTTATGTATCGTGAATTCAAGGAAAAAACTTACCGAGGCCGCTGACAATGAATGACTCGAGCTTGAGACCAAGATGACGAGGTTCTACCTTCAAAACATCTTGGACAAATTTTTCTGCCTTCTGTGTGAAAAAAATCTTCGGTTCAGAGAGGTCTTCGATACTGCCATGAACAGCCATGTGGAAGCCTATCCACTGAGAAAGATATTAATGAATATTCATTTATGAATGATGCAAAGATGACTTACTTCATGGTCCATGGACGTAAATGTCGCATTCATATTGTGTCGAGTAGCCTTGGGGTTAGCGCGTGCTGCCTGACTTTTTCATTGCCTCGCTTCAACAACTTCTGCATTGAGGGCTTGTTTCTCTGCTGGCGTCAGCTGTGAGTGCTCACGAACGAGCTCATCCCTGTTTTCAGCAATGAACTTGGTGAGTTTGATCCTATCACCCCTTTCACAACCTTCAATTATATCAGCTGCTTAAATTCAAACGGGGTGCGTAAATTTACCTTCGTTGGCTTCCATATGCTTCACTCTGACGAAAGTGTTCCATGAATTGACACTTCGCCGCTGACGGAGCATCTGACTCTTCAAGAAGAGTTGGCTCCGTGTCCATTTCAGAGAACTAAAAAAATTCAGCTGGAGGGGATAAAACAATGACCAACTTGAAAACTTACTGCCCATGAGTCTCCACGATGTGAGCAGCTTCTTCTATGTAGGCAGATTTTGCTTCATTGATTGCAGTCATCAAAGCTTCTTGCCAGTGACGACGAGCTGCTTTCTGTTCAGCGGATAGTTTTGGGCATGAACGACAAACTTGAACAACTGGTATTCATGGCATTGTGAAAGAAACAGAGCCAAAAAAATGCACCTGCTCTTATGACATTACTAGACTTGCAGCAGCCGAGGTCAGGGAAGAACCGGTAACTGTATTCAACAAAATGATGGAACCAAAATACAGGCCAACTTCGAGGCTAGTGAGAAAACCGAAACTTCGTAACCATATTCAAGAAAACATTGGGGCCAAAACACAAATGAAGTTCCAAGATAGCGAGAGAACCGATCTGAAAGAAAACATTGGGGTCAAAACACAAATGAAGTTCCGAGCTAGCAAGAGAACCGATCTGATCCTGAATCATGTACTAACTGCGAACAACATGATTTTAGTGTAGTTAGACAAAAAATTAATGTAATCACTCACAACGTTCATTACTCATGCGCGCCATCACCAAAAGCAGCGGCTGCATCTTCTCCTCTGGAATGTCCAATTTGACCAGGATAGATTGCCATGAGAAAGGTCCATAGCCATCATGTTGGCAAATGCATTTCCAGATCTCATCCATGGTGATAGGATGCAAGTTGAGGCCTTGAAGGATAGAAGCAATCTCCACACATGCATGCCAAACACTAGCAGTGTCAGGCATGTCAACACGTGGATCCGTCGACAGCAAAAAAATATTATTGGTGATCGAGACACCTTCATTCCCGCTATGTGTCACCATCTCGATTCTCACAGGATTGATCCGATCGGCGGTGTCCTGGTGCCTGTTGGATTTCACACCAGACAACACCTAATCGGCATAAGTCCAGCACAGCCCAATTATTTAAGAATACGCACAGGTTTACAAGTCTCCCCTGTATTGATGATGGAAGATTAGCCAGATTGTGAAGCGAGGGAGTGGTTGCGGGTTAATGATACCAAGTTTCATGTAGAAGTGGGCATTGTGGGAGGTATCGGTGCAGACTTCAAGGGAGGTGACAGTGGTGAAATAATGAAAGGGTGCGACACTGGCTGCGGAAGCTTTACGAAGGGAGACGACATAGTGTCGTTAGACTGCAATGACGTGGCAGAGGGGGGCATCATAGTTTGGGTTGACTGCGAAGTGGTAGATGCTTGTGTTTCACGTCTGGGATGGTGACGTTTGCGCTGAGTAATACTAGAGCGAGGAGGCGCAGGGCTAGGAAGGCACTCTGAACTGGTGACTCCATGTGGCTGGGTTCGAGTGGGTACCCTTATGAGTGGTTGGGACAAAAGGGCATGTTCCTGGGTATCATCTTTGGACAGCGAATGAAGAGAGGAGCAAGTGGAATAAGGCAATGTAATTGTAGAGCACGAGAGAGATGACACCAACGTGCGGATGGAGCTGGTGGAAGAACGCCGGTCCGCTATTACATATTCATCTGCCAGTTGTGGCAAGACAACTGCAGGAGGTAGAGGGTCAGGAAATATGTACGAGTCACTGATATTGGTGTCCGCCAGTTGTTTAGAGAGCACAGTAGACAGAGGACTGTCTGGAATGGGTGAATGCTGGTGTTCAACCTCGTCTAATGCTGCTATCTCTAACAAATCACTTCGTTAGCAAATCCAGTAGAAACAAAGAGAAACCATCATACTTTTAAGCATTGCATCTGGGAGCTGAATGCGGTCCCATCTAAATTTGCGACAGCAAACTATACATGCAAATGAATCCGCGAAGACTGAATACATGTCTTCTAAAATGTGTTTCTCCTTAGCGTCCTCGATAGGCTCAGAGGCGAGCAGTGCTGAACGGATACTAGGAAAGAAGGATAAAATGCCATCTTGGTGGTCGAAGTTGAATTCAGCTGTCATCTTGATTTCGATGAAGTGGATCTTGTCAAATGATAGCATGAATGTTTCAACTTAGATTGTAAGATTCAGACCCACCGGTTTGTTGACCTGCACATCCAAGTAATCAAGGCGGGATATATGGTCATTGTTGAGTTCTAGTGGTAACATTTGACGGTAGTGTGCAGGTGGGAGGTTGAAAACTTGGGGCGTTGAAAGCTCGAGGCAGAGTCAAGTACTTACTACTATGACTCAGAGTTGTAACTCGTAAGTGAGCCTCATGGATTGGAAGCGAGTATGACTTACTACATACGGATCAAAGCAGTGAAGTCAGAAATGAAGTAAGAATGGACGGATCAGTAAGCATAGCGGAATAGGACATAACCGGTTACCAGAGCAATAGCTAATCTAAAAGGAGTTAGGGGTGAGTGTGGAGATGAAGACGGAGTGCCAGGTGGAATAGTAAGACTGGAGGACTGGACTTTAATGAAGTAGATTCAGAATTCTGGATCCGGAGGTATGGGATATGACATATTGGAATATAGTGGATAACTACAGAATAACATGTATCAGACTTTTAGGATAATGAGCCATAAAGATACATCCTTCGACCTATATCTGGTGGATCATCTTCAACCTCAACCAAGAGATCAATCAGCTGGTTGGCGCCAATAAGTAAATGATCCCTTGCAGCCTTGTCTTCAGGTAGTGTCTCATTTCTGACGTGCAAGGGCCCAAGCAGACTAGATTTAGCGAGGGTGTATGAGTGGACATGTGCCTCCCAATCACATTGGATTGCCTCCAAGGGCATGGGGTCTATACCCCAGAATGGTGCGAAATTGAGGTGGATCTGGTCATATTCATCCAGTAGCTGGACATTGTGTTTTTTGACATAGGCCCACCTGTAAAACCACTGTCAGTTTACACAACATTTTGGGCCCTTACAATGGACAGTTTGACATGGAGATGATGAAGCGAGTAGGAGAAAAAAATGCGGCAGGAAAGGTACCCGAAACAAGGCAGAAACAGGAAAGAAAGGCGGCTGAGCTTGTGTGACAGCAGGTAGAAGTTGGTAAGACTTTAGATGATGGCACAACTCAGAGACTCTATCGCAAGTAACCAGATACCAGTCCGGATAGATTGGAAGAATACTAAGTAGCTTTCAGTACAGTTTTCACGACTCTAAATACTATTGTGATGTATGAAGCTTGTGATATAATAGATAACAAATAGATAGGTAAAATAAAAAAAGCACAATCACTTGAAACAGCGATGCTCGGGCCCCAAGACTTGGCCGTCTCTTAACTCTATCAATCCCTCAAGTCTGGGTGGTCCTTCGTTGTTAGGGAGCAAGCACCACATACCCCCCTCCAGGGCGTGCAATGCCCTTACTTCTTCTTAGGGCTCTTAGGGTTTCCTTGCTGCTGGTGTTGTAAACCTTAGGCACAGGAACCCCAACAGAGGTGGCATCTTCCTCATCATTGATCTCCATGTGGGCCAGAGGAGTTGGAGTCTGGACAGAGGATGTCCAAGTGGATGAGCTGTTGGTCCCACTGAAACTGGGTCCTTCCCCGTGGTTGTATGGGTATTTATAGGGTTTAAAAAGTCCGGTTAAGTCCGGTCTTTTGACCAATTTTCAAAAGACTGGACCTAAACCGGTCTGCATAAACTCAACCTTGTACTGCAACCTGGACCGAACTCTTAGAAACCGGTTGAGCACAGTAGCAATGAGGTTCGCAGTCAGTTGCCGACCGGTTGCAGATGCAACCGGTCCATAACTGTGTATGACTGGTTAGGACTGGTTAGGACCGCTCCAGGAGTCTACATAGGGCAAAATCGGTAACTACTATACAACATGTTTGCAGGCAATGTACAGGTGCTGGGTTACATAGCCTGCCAGAGTATCCCGGCACCACACATCCAGCTGAGTGGATGTGCAATTTTCTTCTTCATTCATTTTTTGTTCATCCACCAGTGTCGAGTTTGGCATAGCTCGTGCATCCTCACTCGTACTTACTATCGTTCTTTGCTCCCACCCACCACTCCCCTTAATTATGAACTGTAGTCTCTTGCTTTGTTTTAATCTCGTTGTCAATGGGATATAATTGTCAAATGTCAGTTTATCGATTACCTTGGCCTGTCGCTCAAGAGTCAATCCACAATCTGTTACAATGGCGCTATATTTTCTTTTCTCTTTCTTTCTTTACTTACTCATTGAGTCTCATGACTGCTTATCAACACGTCCAACACATGAACACTTACCTATATGCTTACTCATTATGCTTATGCAGATGATTACTCATACTATTCCCTGATTAGTTGATCCAACATCATACCATTTCTCATCTCCTTTTCTGATTGGCTGATATCGTCTTCCTATTCTCGCTTACCTTTCTTGATAGGGTCATCTACCTACAGACTGGCCCTAAACTACCTTCTTGTTACATATATATATCACACTTCCTGTACTTGTATTCCTTAACTTGAATCTACTAGGTTCTCTCCTGATCCTTTGAGTTCACTGATCTAGCTGCCTTTCAGCAGACTAGCCTGAATACTTGATCTAGCGAGCCCTTGACACTCGACTAGCCAGAACCCTTGATCTTAGAACTCATGATATGCTTCAGCCTTGATCATCCTTTATTGGAACGCTGAAGAAGAACTATCCTAGCCATAACACGATCAAACTCATAAGCAGGTTTTCCCGCCCTCCCAGTGGCTCCACCTGCTTGCGTCCCACCCTGAGCTAATGCTCAGACCAGCCCAACACCTCAGATTGTGTCACCCACTCTTTATAGCACCAGACAAAGCTGGACATTATCTGTACCCTGCAAACAACTTTTTTCAGGTGGTGCAGAGACCACCACTGACCATGGCTCCTGTCTCGGTGCTGAACACTTTGAAAAATTACAGATGCTCAAATTCTCATGGCGCAAGTCTCTTGCTGACTCTGCTCAAGCAAACTCAGGTATTGTTGAGGAAGTTTTGCTATATGAGTACAAAGATTTCCTTCTTGTGGATGAGGGCATGGTGCAGTGGGAGAACGAAGCTGGCGAAGTCGAGACCATTTTGTAGTAGTCTGTACTATCCAAGTCATGTTCATTTGCATGGGTAAATATTTGTGTTTCATGCAACCGGTCCTGGTATAGACCGGTTGTGGTCGACTTTTCATTGGTTTGATGTTAGAGGTCAAACAAGGCAACCGGCAACTGCAAGATGTCAAATAAAGGGAAACCAAAACCAAAAATTTGGTCTTAAAAAGTTGCGGTACAGTTTGGTCTGCTGGTCTTTGACTGGTTGCACAACTGGACTTTTAAACCTTAGGTATTTGTTATACTTGTCCCCAGAGCTGAAGCTTGGATGGGTACATTTGCCCTTTCGCTTGGTGATAGCGCACTCGCACCACTCATGCTTTCTCTTGGTAGTCTCAAGGTTCTGCCACAACACTTCTTCTAGGAGTTTGATGTGCTGGGGGTTAATCCAGTGTCTGCCCTCAGGAAGCTGAGGAGTAGGGTGATTGTTGGGCTCTGCAGGTATGTTGTCCCTGACTAAGTCGGTGAAGGATGGTGATGGGCCAGTGATTTCAGGGCTGTGGGTCCTTTCCTCTGTGAATCGTGAGGTACCAGAGGCAAGAGATTGCATGGTGTTGAACGCCAGGGCAAACTCTCCATACCCTGTGGGCATAGCACGATCCACAGCAGTGCCAGCCCTTAAATGAGCATTGTATTTGAGGTACACGTGGAGGAGGTCAATTACAACCATCAAATCTCCCTCTGCGAGCACATGGGGAAGGATGAAGTGACAGTTGCTGACACAAGTGAGTAGTGGTACCATGATAGCTGTGATGAGGAGGATGCGAGGTGATATAATGAGGCCGAACATAGTGGAAGGAGTGAATGGGGGAAATGATGAGGGAGGTTTGTCGATGTGGGTTTTATACATGTTGACGTCAAATGAGAGGTGCCCTAACAACACCTGGGGTTCTTCTACAGAATGACCCCCACTCCCTTCCCGAAGATCTGAAACATTATTGACCCTGCGTAAGCTAAAATAATCCTTTAGTGCATCCAACTCAGCTATCTGTTCATAGGGTAACCAAGTAACATCTCCAGTTTTCCAGAGTATTTCAAACTGGGCGTCACTGCGGGTTCTGGAGTGAGACAGGATTTTATCGATCGCCCATTCTGACTCGCCATCTTCAAATTTGGCCACTTGATTTTCCATTCATCCAGGGAACAATCAATCATTGTTAGGAACATGAATCCTGAGGTATGATGAGTGAAAAATGGGGTGTACCCCGTTGTTTAAGCTGAGAAGGGAGTTCGAGTTTGAACGTGTTATTACGATAGTCTTTGATGATTTGGTAAGGACCAATGTATTTGGGTTCTAGTTTCCAGGCGGTCCCTTTGGGTAAAGATATGTTCTTGGTCGATACATATATGAGATCACCCAGCACTAATGGGCATATCCTTCTGCATTTATTCACATCAAAGGTTTGCTTTACTCTTGCTCCCAAGATGGTGTCATGGGCGGCCATGGTAGCCATCTTCATTCATTGAGTAAATACCCTTACTTCTGGGTACTCATCTGACCCTGACGTTTTCCATATCATGGCTCTAGGTAGTTGTCTGTAATTCACTACAAATAGAGGTATGTTTGTAGAATCAGACTTTGCTGAGATTGATTGCAAACTCGATAGCGGGAAGTCTTGACACCCAGTCCTTCTGATTAGGGGTAATGCAAGATCTCAACATCTGCCCAATGGTTCGATTAGCGCATTCGGTTGCCCCATCTGTTTGTGAGTGATAAGCACTTGACATCTTCAGTGTCACTCCTATGAGCTGGTTAAAGTGAGTCCAAAAATCACTTGTAAACAGTATGTCCCAATCACTGACTATGGCTTTTGGCAGTCCATGATACTTATATACTTCCACGAACATCAGTTCAGCTATTTCCTTAGCAGTGTAAGTGGTTCTGCTTGGTACTAAGTGAACCATGGCAGTTAACAAGTCAATTATGACGGTTATAGAGTCATATTTGCCATTGTGATTGTATGAGGTAGGTAAGGGCTCCATGAAGTCAACCCCTATTGCTTCCCATGGATATGATGGGACTTTCAATGGGTTTAACAACCCGTATGGTCGTTGGTTTGACAGTTTGCTGCATTGGCACGTTCAACAGGACTGACAAAAGGCTTGTACATCGGGTACCATTGTTTTCCACCAAACATGTTCCCTTAGGTACAATAGGGATTTATCAGACCCCAGGTGGGCCAGTAAAGAGTGCACTTGATTGATTACGACCTCAATGAGTTGTCGGTCACCAACCTTGATATCAGGTATGCACAAAGGCTTCCTATCGTTCAGTTTAACTCTAATTAAACCATCTTTTACTTCAAAGTTACGGTACTCTTTGGGAGAGGTAAGTACTTTGTTGAACATTACATCGCCCTCATACTGGTGTCTCATGTTTTCCAGTAATTCTGTTTCATGTGGGTAAGTCACGGGAATTACTTCTGGGTGAGCTATTCCTTCAATTGCCATATTGCTGCTGACTGCTTTTGTTACAGGTTCAGGTTCTGTGCTCGGTACCCCCCCCCCCCTCCATTTGTGAGGCAAGGGGTGGCACTGCAACTGCCCTTGGGCCCTTCAGCATGAAGTGTCCATGCATTAGCCTAGCGAATTCTGCACTTGACTCCGTCCTACCAGGCGCTACCACCATAGGGTCTCCCGACCCCACTGCCAGCGCAGCAGGTGAAAGGACCCCCAGAGCCAGTATCACCATAGGCATCCCCACAGCTCCTGGTTCCTGACCCTGAGGTACGGGTTCCTGATGCACATGGCCCCATCATTCCAAAACATGGGCGCTGCGCTGAGGACCCGACGTCCCAGCCTCAATGCCCACCAAGACTGGCATACTGACCAAGTCTGAAGTGTCAGTAGGTGGCATGTTTTCATTGAACATTACGTATTTGCTGACAGCATGCACCATCCCCACAGCGTCAAAGTCATACATCCTGGACAATGCATTGGGCAGAACATTGTGCACCCCAGGCACATACTCTACTGTAAAATCATATTCACCCAGCTTCTTCATCCACCATGCCTGATGTCCAGACAGATTCTTTTGATTTAGAATATAAATCAAACTCTTATTGTCCATCAACCAAACAAATGGGCATCCCTGAAGTATGTCCCGGTGTCTGAGCATAGTTTCCACCCCTGCTAACAATTCCTGTTCATGTACAGGATAATTTTGCTGTGCTGAATTCAACTTCACAGAGTAGAAGGCGGCGATCTTAGCCATTCACCAGTCCGCCCCCGACCCCTGTGGGGCATACATCAGTCATCATCCAGACCTGAGGCATGTCCAGCCCATAACTCAACGGGACCTGATTATGGGTCACACAGGCCGACACGTATCATTTGATCTCATTGAAGGCACGTTCCTCCGTCTCTGTCCAGCAAAAAGGCATGGAATCCCTGCATATTGCTGACAGCACCCCTAGCGGTATGCAGACCCGATGAATATCATCCATGAGGTATCCTACTGCCCCAATAAACCCTCAACACAAGTCCCAATTCACCAGTGTTTTCCAGTTGAGTACCTTGTCAACTTTATCTGGATCCATGCGAATACCATCATCACTCATGACACACCCTAGGATCCTCATCACTGGCTCTAGAAATTTCAGTTTCTTTTCACTCAAAAAAAGCTGTTCACACTCAAGGATTTGCACCACCTTCTATACGTGTTAAATATGTTCCTCCAGTGAGTCCAAATAAATTATTATGTTGTCAAGGTAGATGTTCATAAAGATCCCAATATATTCCCCGAATATATGATTCATTACCACTTGGTACATTGCTGGTGCATTGCAATCACCTTGTTGCAACACGTGACTGACCATGTTACCATCAGGCATTGTCATTGCCATCCGTGGCACATGCTCTGGTATCACTCTGATTTGTTCATAGGTGTCCTGCCCATCCATCAACAATTGATATGGTTTCTGAGCCACATGTTGCAATATCCCCTCCATGTCAGGTAAAGGTGATGTCAGCTTCTGTGTATTTTTGTTATGCTCTCATGGATCAATGACGGTTTGGTCAGCTAATGACCCTGTATCAATCAATGCACACACTGGACATCTGTTGATGTGTACCACTACCATGACAGGCTTTGGTATTGCCTGTGCCAAATCTCACGTTGTAGTGGAATTTTGCTGCAGAGATGGGTAGGTACCCTGTGGCACCTGCACTCCATTAATGCTAACACCTTCCCACAGCTGATATTCATCTATCATCTTGCACGCTCACACTGGCTCTCCACAGTCGAGTATTCCTCCCAGTGCTCAACTCAACATCTGCTGGGGTTCCATTAATGGGTCAAACATCCCATATATCGGCCCCAATTGTTAATGTCGTGCTCAAGGGAAAGACTACTCAAAGGGCTTCAGCTTCAGCTCATGCGCTGCACCCCTTACCCGAGTATGTGCCCTTAATTTCCGAGGGGCAGAGGGGAAGTCCGACGGAAGTCTGGAGGTCAGATGTCAGGGGAGTTTGGCGGAACTCTGGAAGATTATGAGAAAACAGAGTAAGGCTACTACGGACAAGTCCGGAGTAGAAATGGAACAGAGTTTAGACTACCCTAAGGTAGAGCCGGAGATTTAGTCCTAAGGTTTAACCCTAAGACTCAGAGGTAGACAAGAGGTGAGACTCAAGTCCGGAGAAGCAGAAATGAGCAGAACTAAGATGATATTCAAACTAAGGAGTACCGGAGTACTACAGGAGTTTATATACTGTAGGTACCATGTAAGTAGATCAGTCAGCAAAGTAAGGGCTATGTATGAAGCATGTGGAAAGTCTATTAGTAAGTGTATAACAGATCAAAGCAGTGAAGTTGGAGATGAAGTAAGAACAGATGGATCAGTAAGCATAGCGGAAAGGACATAACCAGTAGCTGGAGCAATAGCTATTCTAAAAGGAGATAGGGGTGAGTCCAGAGATGAGAGTGGAGCGCCGGGCAAAATAACAGGATGGAGAACCGGACTTTAGAGGGGGAGATCCAGAATTCCGGATCCAGAGGTATGGGATATGACATCAATCAAACTCCAGCAGCTCATCGTTTAGCTGCAGGGCCACCCACCACACTGGACATTTATACCAATGATCAGGGTTCCATTTCTTCTGATGGACCATCCCTCATGTTATCTGTACTTGAAATGAAAGTGCGGCATCTACTACCTCATAATCTCCTCCCTTCAATCAGGTACAGGAGAATCATTGTGATGGCAAACTTCTCCATTCATCTTCTGTTGGTTGACTGAACATATCTAGCCATCGTATCACCTTTTCACTGATGGGGTCCCCCATGGGGGTTTTCTGATAGTATGTTTCCATTCCCTGGTCTCCATCTGCCGTTTGTTATGACCCAAGCTCACTCCTTGGTATATCCAATATGCTTTGTTGATACAGAAGTCAGGGTTAAGCCTCCTGGGAGCAGGTGATCAACAATCTGATACTTGTCGTCTCCCTGATTCCAGACACAAAATCAGTCCGGGTCATCCCAAGGTATTTGCTGGTCTTCACCCTTAAGATCCCCGGGATACTGAATCCCAGCCAACAGTTCCCCTGCCCGCCTGGCCAGAGGGTCTTGAAATGTGTATGACAGGCTGACATTCCCTAGGGGTTTTCTAATTGTTTCAACAGCGGTTTCCTCTAGAAAAATCCCAACTGCCTCTAGGTAAGCCCCCTCGGCAGGTTCTGTTATTTCTGATAGTCTCCTCATTCGCTCTTCATTGCTCTGGGCAATGTGAACCCAAAAGCTGGGTATTCCAGGGGATCTGTTAGGTACATCCGATTTGACATGTATATTCTTGGGGCACTGTCATGAGACATGTCCTAGTTCCCCACAAATAAAGCATCTGCCCTCTGCCCAGCGATGGTCCCGCTCTGCTGGGCTCAAGGCATCTCCTGTTCTATTGACATTCTTGCCAGCTCCTCTGTCGAAACCCCCTCCATTGGGCTTATGGGTCCTGTTATTATCCAGGCAATTCACTTGCCTTTCCCTTGGTCTTCTAGACGACCCTGCGGGTCCATTGCTCTTAGCTTTGAACAGTGGTCTCACAGGAGTGACGGCATTGGATCCTACTGTTATGGATGTTTTTTCCTCCCAACTGATTTGTCTATCTCTGTCTCTTCCTTGAGGGACAGAGTGAGCTATCTCAATGATTTCTGCTGTGGCCTGGACCTCCTTAAAGGTAGATATTTCCGGATTTAACTACTTTTTCCAGAGTTCCTGCTGAATCTCAGTGTTCAGCCCAGTCCATAGACAAGTCACCCAGTCTCAATCGTCAATGTCCCCAATCATATTCCAGAGCTCGTTGAGTTCATATATGTAGTCTCATACAGGTTTGTCATTTTGAAAGCAGCATTTCAACTTCTCTCTTTGTTTTGTCCTGAAATTTATGGGAAAACAATAATTGAACATTTCAGTAGAGAATTCCTGAAGCTGCCAATGGTAAGGGTCCCCCAACACCTCCTGTATGTAAAACTCATGCACTTTGCCTTTTAGATAGTGCGAAAGCACAAAGACACACTTTTTCGACTCCACCTTACTATCTTCCACATAGGCTGTTCCTTCAGTGATGAACCTATGGAACACCCTAGAGTCTATGGTGCCATCATATGATGTAGGTGGGATGGGCTTCAGGGTAGTCTCACTCTTCCATTTGGGTCTTTTTTTCTTCGATTTTTTCCTATCCCTCTTCCTCATAGCATTGCCACTGGCTGAGCTACTGTCCGTGCTTGAGTCATCCAAGCTGTTTGACGAGGTTTCTGTTTCAGAATTGGAGGGATCTGGGCTTCCTCCATCTCTATTCCCAATTCTCCCCAGAGCCTGACCTATGTAAGACTTAGGCACCACCTGGTGAACTGGTTCCATTGCCTGGGGGGTTTGTCTCCTTTCGCATCTGTTTGATGCAGGGTTGACCACCTTGTCTACTAACCTTTTGACAGGGTCTGCTAGGCAAGTCCTCTTATAGGGCTTTTCAGCCTGATTCTTACTTTTCATAAGTTCTTTGATCCTTTTCTCATATTCTTTGAGCAGCCGATCTTCTACTTTAGCAACTGCGGCTTCAATGGCCTTCTTCCTTTCGGCCACTTGAACAAAGGTGTCCCCCAGTTGTTTCCCCTGATGTGGTTCTCCAGCATGTCTCAGTTCCTCTGCCTGCATCTGACACAGTTGTGGACTGCCTTCTCATTCCTTTTGCTAGCTTATAGGATGCTAGAGCCGCCCTTTGCTCCTCTATATCTATCTCCTCTTCCAAGGTAATAGCGCCCCAGTTCTGAGGGTTCACCCCCTTTCCCTTTGAGGGTCCTTCTCCCCTTGACTCTGCATCTGAGGTCTCGGGACTGGTAGTATTCTGATTAATACTGCCTCTTCGTTTTTCTAGTCTCCAATGTTCTGATTTTGTGAGTCTTCGTTCAGCTTCAGCTAATTACCTTCTTCTGTTCACTGGTCAGAGATTCAGGTGTTTTTGCCCCTGGCTTTCTCTTGCAATGGACCGTGGTCCATGTGTGGTTGTCACCACTCTCAGCTTCACTGGACTGCTCACTTCTTTCGTTAGCAGTCTCAAACATCATATTCCCTGTTCGTTTTTTCAGCAGGTGAGCTAGTCTCATTGCCATCTGCGAGTTCTACACTTATCACAGCATCTACAGCTATGTTATTCTCCCTGGTCAACCGAATGGTTGTTCCTGGGGCTACACACACTAACCACGTCGCTATACGAGCAGATGGATTTAGGTATGAATAAGGTCTCTCTTCCAGTCTCACTTTATGTGGACCACCCCACTGAGGACAAGGGGGGTACCCCAGAGTTGGGCAGCACAGCCTTTAGGCTTGGGCCCTCCACTGGGGTCTTCATGCTAGATAGTAGGTTAAGGACAAGATTGCCTGAACTCATTACTTACCTTAAAATTCTTTTCTTCTGCAGGTGTGCCAACAGAGCTGGCTCTAGCGCATGTTCATAATCAGAGATTATAGGTAGAAGTCGAAGTCATTATTTGTGTATTTGGTTTGTTCGAGTAATGTGGTGGGCCAGACCAGTTTGTTGAAGGGTTATATATAATTTTTTGAAAGAGTCAAGCAGAGGAAATGGGTTGGTTGAAGGTTAAAAAATATGTGACGGCAGGTAGAAGTTGGTAAGTGTTAGAGACCATGCTTGGACTGGAGAAGTGGAGGGGTTGGGGCTTGGCTTCAGCTCTTGTGCTGTGCCCTTAGCCGAGTACATGCGCCAAATTTGGAGTGGGTCTGACAATGTCCGATGATAGGATGGGCAGACCACTTTGGTCCGCTTGGTGGTTCAGGAGGTAAGTGCTACTAGCGGTAATCTGACTAGGAGCGGAGTGGGGGAGGTGGAGGAAGTTTATTGGGATGGAGGGGAGTAAGGGGATTGATTGGTGGGGTTGGAGAGGTAAGGGTGAATACTTAGAGCAGTGGCTCTATGTTGGAGCGGAGGGTTGGAGGTGACGACAAGGTAAACCTGTGTCCAGAGAGGGAGCAAAGTCCTATGGACAATTCCCACTAGTAGAGATAGTGGGAAGACAAGTAATATTAAGACTGGGGGGTAGCTAAGTACAGGATATGTTTTTATATAGGCAGTGACTAGCTAGTCCTTGGTATGAGGCTATGTACTGAGCATAATTTGTAAGTAGACACAGGTGAAAAACATAAGTCGGAGTGGATATCAATATGTACGCATTGGATCAGTTAGTCAAGTGGTTATAGAAAGTACCGGTGATCTGGGAAGTAAGTGTTATGTGCAAATGGGGAAAGTGTATACCTAAATGGGGAAGGAGTTTACAGTAGAGTGGAAATGATGTGGAAGGAAACCAACAAGGTGGTCAAGTGGAGCCATAGGAGTGGATGCGGGAGCCGACTGGGAGGAGCAGAGGGCGGATGGAGTGGAGGTGGTAGGAAAGTGGGGAAAGTATGAGGTCGGGCGGAGCAGATATTGATATTGTTGGAGTGGTTGGATCAGGTATATGACAGTATCCCCCCCTTAGGGCCGAGCCCTCGAGGCCAAGAGGACCAAAGAACTGGAACACAAGGTGATGAGAAGAGTTCTGAGAAAATTGCACTAGTATAAAAAATGGTAAGGAAAATTTTCTGAACCCCACTTCCCATTTTCCTGGTATCAATACCCTCAACTCTATCACTATGTCCAAGAATGCATCTGGAGACAAGAAGTTGACCTGTGAGCTCGCGGAGGAAATGGTGGCCCAGCTCACGGTGCTGGAGAGACAAGCTGTGGAGGAGGAGGCTGAGGCTGCCGCCAGCATGTGGAGGAAGAGTGGAGGATGCAGGAGGAGATGGAGAAGAAGTGGCAGGCAGAGCTGTGGCAGAAGGTTGTGGAGAACTGCTGTGTACTGCAGGAGGTAATGAGTGTGAGCGCAGTGGTGAGTGGTTTAGTTTATTTTTTTATTTTATTTTTGTTATTGATTGACATTCTGAAGGGTACTCCCTCAATGGCCCCCATCGGAAAAGTGCCTGCCGACTGCCAGTGGTGCTTTGCCTCCAGGGTGGAATGTACTTGGGGTAAGGTGGTGGACGGCAAGGTGAGTTTTTCTTTTCTGACTGGTTGATTCATGCTGAATTATCCCATCTTGGAGAAGCACAGCGCTTGTGACTCCTGTAGTACCAAGAAGAAGCAGTGCGATCCGATGGGCGAGTCTGGCAGTGGTTCCTTGGGGCAAGAAGTGGGTGCGGCACGGGAACTCCTTCTCCATGAGGGAAGGGAAAGCAGAGGCACGTGAGCCCAAGTCCTGATGGGACGCACGTCCTCTGGGCAGGGCACCATGCTTGGCGAGGACAAGGAGGAGTACCAATACGACGACCAGGCCTGGGTACGAGTTGCCAACAATATTGTCCTCGAGTTGAGTTGGACCAACGCATTCCTGGAGTGGAGCATCCTGATGTTGGAGCGGAGTGTGTGGGTGGTCGAGGGGAGTTGAGCTGTGATGGAGTGGGGAGTTTCCACCATGGAGAAATTCATGGAGGGGAGTGGGAGCCGCGGGGGTGACTTTGGTGCAGAGAGTGCAGAGGAGGCAGTGGGATTGGACATGGAGATCCAGGAGATGTGGGAGTGGAAGCAGAAGCGGCTGTAACTCTAACATGAAGGCGGAGTAATTGTCCATCCAGTTGGGGCAGTCTCTGGGGGAGTTGGAAAGAAGGTCGGGCTCAAACCATTCCAAGGCCATGCCCTTGAGGTAAGACTGAACAAAGGTGACCTTTGTTTGGTCAGAGCAGTAAGTGTGGGGGCGGCTCTGGAAGTTGAGCTCGCACTGGACAAGGAAGGTGCAGAGCTGTCAAATGTATCGGGCTTGCAAACCCTTAACTTGGATTCCTTGGGGGCAGAGCAGCATTGAGAGCTGCGGGCGAGGTTGTTTATTGCCTGCAAAAGGCAGAGGAAAATGAGGTCACAGGCATCATTGCCCTGGTACTTGCTGTCATCGGAGCCCCCTGAGGGTTCATCATCTGGTTCTCCTCCTTCATTGTCCGATGGGGGACTGCCTGGACTGCCGGGGCCTCCTGAACTGCTGGGGCCTCCAGACCCGACAGACCCGCCTGAACCTCCTGGCACTCTAGGGGTGTTTGGGGTCTGGTTGCAGTCATCTGCTGTGGGTTGATTGTCGGAGACATGAGTGTGGGTGGGAGTGCTGGGGTGTGGGCAGTTGATGAGGTCAGAATAGCTTCAGGCAGAGCCATGTGTACTGGCAGTACGGCGGTGGGAAAAACTGGTGAAGGTAGTGACAATGTCGGAAGGACTTCACCTCGAGGGCAGGAGTCCTGCAGCATGGAGGGAATTCTGGGTGGTGCGGCCCGGTGGTGGTTGTCACGTCGGACATATGTTTTGTTATTGGGGATAGGGGTTATTTCTTATTAGTATACTTCGGCTAAGAGGAAGTCTTAATATACTGTTAGAGACAGTGCTCAGACGGAGAAGCAGAGGGGTCAGGGCTTGGCTTCAGCTCTTGCGCTGCACCCTTAGCCAAGTATGTGCCCCAAATTTGGAGCAGGTCCGATGATAGGACAGGCAGACCACTTTGGTCCGCTTGGTGGGTCGGGGGGTAAGTGTCATATACCTGATCCGACCGCTCTAATATCAATATCCGCTCCACTTTCCGATCACCTCCGCTCCACCCATCCTCCACTCCATCCAATCATCATCTGCATCCGCTCCTACATTTCTGCTCAACTGCTCAACCGGTCCCCTTCCATAACATCTCCATTCAACTGGACCTCTTTCCCCTTTTAGATATATACTTTCCCCTTCGGTATATGGACCCTTACTTCCGGATCACCAGTAATTCCTATTACCACTCGATCACTGATCCGACGCGTACATATTGATATCCACTCCGACTTGTGTCTTCACCTGTGTAAGTACTTACAAATTATATCCTTGGTACATAGCTTTACAACATAGTTATCCTGGTCACTGCCTCATACATAGAAGTATATAACATATCATGTACTTAGATATTTTCCTCAGTCTTAATATTACTTGTCTTCTCACAGTTACCTCCTTTGAGAATTCTCAGTAGGACCTTGCCTCCTCTGGACACAAGTCTCAACTTGTTGTCACCTCCGACCCTCTGACCCTCCGCTCTGACTTAGAGCCATGCTCTAAGTGCTCCCCTCAATTCTCTGCCCCTACCAATATTCCCCTTATCCCTCTCCCCATCCTCCGCATTATCCTCCGCATTATCCTCTGCCTTCCCCGCTCCTACCAAACCTTCCCCCTACTCCTATCCACCCTCCATATCACTCCCCGCCTTCTCTGCTCCGCTCCTAGTCAGCTCGCCGCTAGTAGCTCTTACTTCCCAACCCTCAAAGTGGACCAAAGCGGACCACTTGTCCTATCATCGGACAACGTCGGACCTGCTCCAAATTCGGGGCACATACTCAGCTAAGGGCGCAGCGCAAGAGCTGAAGCCAAGCCCAGACCCCTCTGCCTCCTGAGCCGGCACAGTACCTAACAACACTCAATGGTAATGGATGGGCCAATGTAGCCACTATGTGTAAGGGATTTGATAGAGATAGGAGGGCCAAGATATTTGAATGATGTAGACTAGTGGGCTGATGGATCTGTAGATTATACAAATGGACGGGCCAATAGAACTGTAGATTATACCAATGAATGGGCTGATAGAATTGTCAATTGTATGGACGGATGGGCCAATGAAACTGTCAATCATATAGACAGATGAGCCAATGAAACTGTAGATTGTGTGCACAGATGGGCCGATGAAAGTGTAGATTGTATACACAGATGGGCTGATGGAACTGTAGATTATATAGATGGATGGGCCGGTGAGACAGATGGGCTGATGGAAGTGTTGAGTGTATAGACCAATGGGCTACAATATGGTACTTGGTGCTCAGTAGTTAGGACTGAGTGGTTGGTGGTACATGATCATGACCTGGGACCTGGGACTGACTTGGGACTTGGGACTGACTTGCTGTGGGGTGCTCAGTGCTTGATACTCAATGCTCACTACCTGATCCACAGGACCCTAGTGCTCAAGATTTGGTCCTTGGTTCTCCATACTGAAATTTTACTACCTGATGCTCGGCACTCAATGCTCAATACTGGGTGGTCGATATTCGATATGTGACACTCAATATTGTGTGCTTGGTGCTCAATCGCTTCTGTGGAGGGATGGGATTCATCAATATACTAATGACCTGGCTTGTTAGATGTTTCACCAAATGGAATCTTTACTGAATCCATCATGGCCCATCCACATGAAGGAACACCTGCATAAATATGGACAGAATCCCACATATACCATGCCCAAGCAACCCGATCCCTTGCTACTTCATGAACCCCATGCCTCACTATCCTTCCTGAAAATGCAATCATGACCCTGGTATCATACATGAACTCCAGCTGAAGGCTTGGCATGCTCATGCGAGCATTAGAATAATTCCCCTACAGTTGTGAGAATGTCAAACCACTTGGGAGATGATAAGTGGTCTCTATGATATGGGGTTTGCCGATTAGAAATGACAGAGAGGGTATTGAAGATGGAGGCCCAGAGCTTGAGGGTCTCTGACATGTTCGGAAGATTCTTGGTTTCAGCTGACTCACCGAGGCTTGAAAAGGCTCGCATGCCTGCCCAGTACTGTCGAGGATGCATGACCCTGAGTGCAGCTGATGCAATAGCTGCCAGCCTCACAATAGCTTTGAGAATTTCCTCGGAGTGTGGACCCTTCAATGATGCGGATACCTCTGGGTCTGAGATGGTCTACAGGATTGGTGAATTTGAAATACTGAAGAACATCGGCATGTCATTGCATCACACCTCATGCCCCTGTTGAAACCAAGTTGGGGATATATTGATGCATACGGCAGTGATGTCACTATTCCTGGAGCCTTCACCGAACCACTCTTCATTAGTCCACCAACTGCCAGCGACTTTTACACTCTTTTCGAGTGTGGGAGTCAGCAATTGGGTGGCCTTCCAAATTTCTTCCTGTAATATATTCAGTATCCTGTAACCATTGGGCAATAAGGGAGACAAAATGCCTGGGTTGTGTCAGTCAGTGCACCTGGGAGATACCATATGAGGATAGCACTGGTGACGTCAAGGACTGTGGTGGGTACGTCGATGAACATAGTACCCTCATTGCCAGGAGGAGACCTGTCAAGCAACATCTTCTCTCTCTCTTCATTATGTCCAGTGTCCTTCGGGGATATCAATTTGCTGTATCTCACAATATTGATCTGCATCTGAACTGTGATCAAGGCATTTAAATGATCAAATGGAAGATCCAAATTGGCATTCCGACTCACTGGGATTGTGATATGCTTTAATGAGGCAATCGACCAATCAATCACAATCCATCACCAGATCTGTGTCTAGGTGAGGAGAAGGTATGACCAGGTCCCCTCCTGTCTTGTCCGCATTGAATTTCTGTTCTGTATATTCACTCGCCTCATGAGCGATGGTAAGGGCCCAAGCAATCCAGAAGGATATCTCAATCTTGGAGTCTGAGGACACATTCATGGTGGAGGGATGTATTTGATGGTGGGAAACCCGATGGTGAGTACTGGATGATGGCAACACTTTGGTGTTCAGGCGGATGTCAGATGCGGCTGGTCAGAGATTGCGAGGATCAGATAGGGTGGACATGATGCATCATCTTGGGATGGAGGACTGAGGACCAAATACCATGTATCAAGTATTGAATTGGGACCGAGTACCATGTATTCAGTGGGTACTGAGTACCAAGGCATCAGGACCGAGTATTCAGTATCTCAGTGCTGGATACTGAGCGGGGACTGACTGCCGACTACCGAGCACAAAGGATTGACAGATGAGCTGTCAGGATTGACTACCAAATACTGAGCACCGGGTACCAAGCACTGAGTATTGAGCACATGGACATTTGGTGTCCTGACCACCTAGGACCATGAGCCATTGGTGCTCGGTGCTCGGTGAACCCCACTGAAGGCTCAGTCCTACATTCGAAAGTATATACAGGATATACATATTGACGTGGGTCCTTGGTGCCCACACCATCTGCTCGACACAGTAATTCTGTACATTTGAAAGTGTCTACAGTATATACATATTGACATGCTCATAATCAACCCTGCATTCCAGTGTTGCACACCTCCCTGGCTTTCTGCAATCGGGTCAGCATACCAGTGTATAATTTGATCTCACCCATCTTATCTCGGATGCCCTCCCGCTGCTCCTTGATCAATGTCAGCAAGCAATCTCAAATCCACCAAAGTCCCATCAGCGATGGAACTGAGGTTTGATCCACCCTCTTGGGAAGAATCAGACCATCATCCTTAACACCACCCTGGATGTCTTGAGTCATCAACTGTCACGGAAATTGTACTCGGTGCTTACCAGCCAATGCTCATAGTGAAATCCACAGCACTCCATCACCCTGTTCCATCACCATGGTTCGGTTGGAATTGTGGTTTGCTGCATCCACCATGGAGTGTCATAGTTGGATATGATGTGTGAGGGATCGCCAGGATCTGTGCAATCATGAAGCCAAGCAAGGTGGTCTACAAAGACATAGTCCAGAACCTTGGTCCAGGTTTTCTGGGGAATAAACAGCAGCATATGAGCCACCAGGATCGGCATAACTGAGATGATGTTCCAAGCAGCTGAGTAATGCAGGATCGGGGTCACAAAGGTCTGTGGGTGATGCCAGCAAAGACTACAATGTAGCCACCATTGACTTACCAAGATCTCCCACTGAAGCCTGGTTTTGAAATCAGCAATTCAAGAGGAAGACAAGTCCATGTCAGCTGCCTCCCTCTGACATTGAGCTATGCAGGCTCGGATGCAGGATGCAGCCATCGACAATGTTGCTGCGATATCTGCCATGCTGAGACTGATCGGATGATATTCAAGATGTTGAAGATCACTGGGAGGAGATGATGCAGAAGTTTGATGTGAGTCAGGCATGTTTGATGGAACAGTAGGTTGATGGAAATGAGTATAAAAGTTGTTCAGGGAGTAGAAATATGAGTGTCAATGATAATGACAGTGGATCAGGGTGTAGATGTATGAGCAGCTGATCAATGGATGTCATTTTGAAACTCCGACATCATTCCCATGACACAACCAAACACCAAGCCACACAATGATTCACATTGTCCAGAGGGATGCTGGACATCCTTGGGGGTCAATATTTATTCATCTGCGGTATCTATTGTCATCTTTGTAAGATCCTGAAAAGCGGCCTGTGCATCCTGTGCAAGTAATGAGACCATTCGAGATTGTCTTGCCACATAACACGCATGACCCCGAAGCTGGTTCTCCAATGACTCCCTCATATGTTCATCCCATTGAGCTGCTTTTTGCAGGAAGAAGTTGTATGTCCAGTCCATCTCCCATTCCACCACTGTAAGTTCTTCAATCCATCAATCCCTCAGGGCCTTCGCCCGAAGTAAATGAACTCAGTAAACTTCAGATCGGTTGGGTTAAATCATCATCACATTTGGAACGGATACCCAAACTCACATTCGTCATTCCATGACTCACTTGGCCCTGATAAATCAATGTCAAGAGACCAGAACCAGGCGAGGGACTCATTCTGCTGACCTCGGGCATTTGGATCACTGACTGCAGTGCTCACTTTCAACTGCTCCCACAGGAGGGGCTGGTACTTTTGAAGCTGGAGTTGCCCTGGACCAAGCTTCACCATCTGCTTCCATGTCTTGTTGTATATACTCGCATTCAGAGACACAGCCTGCTCCACCGACATCACCTGGGACCATGCCCGAGTCTTCAGAGCTTGGGACTTCACCTGCCTAACAGTGGTTCAGAAAAGGACCGCCTTGTTGCACAAGTGAATTCGGAGATTGTGAAGGGCATCGTTGGCTTGTCCTTCATGAAGTGACATCTCTAGTGGAATCAGATCATCTGCCGAGCAGCTTCTGAGTCAGTCGACCCCAACATTGGATGGCAATGGGATGACAGTGAGTTCAGGGGTGTTTTGGTGGGCATCAAATGTCTTGGTGAAATCCTCTGGATCATCATCGAGATTGTCGAGAATTTCTGGATCCAAGTCACCGTTAGGCAGGCGAAGTCCCAAGCTCTGAATACTTGGACATGGTCCCAGGTGATGTCGGTTCAGCAGGCCGTGTCTCTGAATGCCAGTATATACAACAGGACACGGAAGCAAATGATGAAACTGGGTCCAGGGCAGCACCAGCTTCAGAAATACCAACCTCTGCTCTGAGAACAGCTCAAGATCAGCACTGCAGTTGGTGATCCAAATGCCCGAGGTCAGTGGAACAAGTCCCTTGCCTAGTTTTGGTCTCTCGACATTGATCTATTGGGGCCGAGTGAGTCATGGAATGAAGAATGTGAGTTCGGGCATCCTTTCCAAATGCAGGGATGATCTGACGCAACTGATGTGAAGTTTACTGAGTTCATTGGCTTCGGGTGAAGGCCCTGAGGGATCGATGGATTGAAGAACTTATGGTGGTGGAACTGGAGATGGACTGGACATGCAACTTCTTCTTGTGCAAAGCAACCCAATGGGATGAACATATGAGGGAGTCATCGGTGAACCAGCGTCAGGCTCATGCCTGCTACATGGCAAGACAATCCCTGAATGTACTCAATACTTGCACAGGATGTGTGGGCTGCTTTTCAGGATCTTACAATGATGCCAATAGATCCTGAAGATGACTGAATATTGACCACCACGGATTTCCAGCATACATCCTGACAATGTGAATTATTGTGTGGCCCGGTGTTTGGTTGTGTCACAGGAATGATGGTGGAGTTTGAAAATGTCATCCATCCATCAGCTGCCCATATATCTACACCCTGAACTACTGTTATTCTAATTTCCATTGTTCTACTCTTTCATTGGACATGCCAGACTCACATCCAAGTGGTACATTGACTTCTGCCAGTCATGATAGAGATCTTCCATATCAACTGATCACTCTCAGTGCCACAGACATTGCAGCTACATTGGTGATGGCTGCGTCACACATCCGAGCATGCATAGCTCAATATCAGAAAGAGGCAGTGTCATATACCTGATCCGACTGCTCCGATATTGATATCCGCTCCGCTTTCCGACCCCTCTGCCCCATTCATCCTCCGCTCCGTCCTATCACAAATCCGCATTCTGCCCTATGCTTCCGCTCAACCGGTCCCCTTCCATAACCTCTCCATTCAACTGGAGCTCTTTCCCCTTTTAGATATGCCTTCCCTATTGGTACATGGACCCTTACTTCCGGATCACCAGGAATTCCTATTCCCGCTCAATCACTGATCTGGTGCGTACATATTGATATCCACCCCGACTTATGTCTTCGCCTATGTAAAATACTTACAAACTATATCCTTGGTATATAGCCTTACTGCATAGTTATCCTGATCACTGCCTCATACATAGTAGTATATAACATATTATGCACTTAGATATTTTTCCTCAGTCTTAATATTACTTGACTTCTCGCAGTTATATCCTGTGAGAATTCTCAGTAGAACCTTGCCTCCTCTGGACACAAGTCTCAACTTGTTGTCACCTCCGACCCTCCGACCCTCCACTCCGACTTGGAGCCGTGCTCTAAGTCTTCCCCTTATTACTCCGCCCCTACCAAAATATCCTCCTTCGCCCCTTCACATTATCCTCTGCCTTTCCCGCCCCTACCAACATTCCCCTGCTCCTATCCCCTCTCCTGCATCACTCCCCACCTTCTCTGCTCCACTCCTAGTTGGCCCACTGCTAGTAGCTCTTACTCCCCAGCCCTCAGAGTGGACCAAAGCAGTCCAATCATCCTACCGTCGGACAGCGTCGGACCCGCTCCAAATTCAGGGCACGTACTCAGCTAAGGGCACAGCGCAAGAGCTGAAGCCAAGCCCCGACCCCTCTGCTTCCTGAGTCAGCACGGTATCTAACAGGCAGCTGAAATGGATTTGCTGTCCGCCCGCATCACACACTTTAAAACTGGGTTTCAATGGGAGATCTTGGTGAGCACAGTGAATGATGGCTATGTTGTAGTCAATCCTGACATCACCGGCAGACCTTTGTGATGTCAGTCCTGCATTACTCAGCTGCACACAACATCATTTCGGTCATGCCAATCCTGGTCGCTCATCTGCTGTGCTTGATCTCCCAGCAAACCTGGACTGATATTCTGGACCATGTTTTTATAGCTCATCTGGCTCAGCTTCAAGATCGTGCAGCTCCCGGCGATCCCTCGCACATCATTCCAGACTATGATACTCTGTGGTGGATGGGGCACACCACAATTCCGAATGAACCTTGGCGATTGAATCGGGTCATGGAGTGTTGTGGATTCCACTATGAGCACTGGCTGGTAAGTACCAAGTACCATTTTAATGACAGTTGATGAATCAAAACATCCAGGGTGGTGTTGAGGATGATGGTCTGATTCTTCCGGAGACAGTGGATCAAACCTCAATCCCATCTCTTATGGGACTTCGGTGGATTCAAGAATGCTTGGTGACATTGATCAAAGAGCAGTGGGAGGGCATCAGAGATAAGATGGGTGAGATACAAATGTACACTGGTATCCTCACCCGATTGCAGCAAGCCAGGGAGGTGTGCAGCAATGGATCACAGGACTAATCGGGATCCATAGGAAGGTTGTATCACTTCAGTACCCCACCATGTATATACCATAGACATATTCACATTTAGAGAGTCACTGAGTCCCACATATGGAGTGAGCACCGAGGACCAACCCATCAGCACTTCTTACCAAGAGCCAAGAGCCAAGGACTCTGGGTCCTGGATCCTGCTCCTCAGTACTGATCACTGGCACTGAATGCCTCAAGAATGAATATCCGACTGCTCAATGCTTGGTGCTTGGTCCTTGGCACTTGTTATGGCAGACTCGGGTCTGATGACTCGGTACTCAGTGCTCCATCCATACTGAGTACTAAGTACCAAGGAGATGACTGGCACTGAATGCCTCAAGGATGAATATCCAACTGCTCGGTGCTCGGCACTCATTACTGCAGACTCGGGCCTGATGACTCAGTACTCAGTGCCTGGTAGTCGGTCCTTGCTCAGCATTTGGTCCACGATCCTGGAGATCCTGGTCCTTGGTATGGAGCATCAACTATGTGATCCAGTGTGAAAATACTCAATTTGTTGGAACTTCATGGTTCTGAATTACCAATCCCTGGTACACCTGGGATACTTGATATTCAGCCATTGGTTGAATCACTGGTACTCAGTGCATCTTTGATACTCAATGTTCGCTATTCGGTCATTGGTGCTTCATACCAAGATCATGCATCATGTCGCCCTATCTGATCCTCGCAATCTCCACCACCCCAGATCTGATATCCCCCTTAAAGCCGAATCATAGGTATCATCTTATACTTGACATCGGATTTCCCACCATCAAATACATCCCTTCATCATGAATGTGTCCCCAGACTCCAAGATTGAGATATCCTTCTGGATCTCTTGGGCCTTGACCATCGCTCATGAGGCGAGTGAATATACAGAACAGAAATTCAATGTGGACAAGATGGGAGGGGATCCGGTCATACCTTCTCCTCACCTAGACACCAATCTTGTGATGGCTTGTGATCGATTGGTTGATTGCCTCATCAAAGCATATCACAATCCCAGTGAGTCAGAATGCCGATTTGGATCTTCTGTTGGATTATTTAAATGCCTTGATCACAGTTCAGATGCAGATTGATATTGCAAGATACAGCAAATTGATATCCCAAAGGACACTGGCAATAATGAAGAGAGAGAGAAGAAGCTGCTTGACAGGTCTCCTCCTGGCAATGAGGGTACCAAGTTTGTCGACATGCCTGCCACAGTTCTCGATGTCACCGGTGCCATCATCATGTGGTATCTCCCAGGAGCACTCACAGACACCACCCAGGTATTTCAGATCCTCTGTCACCCGATGGATCCAGAATACTCAATATACTACAGGAAGAAATTTGGAAGGCCTCACAATTACTGACTCCCACACTCGAAAAAAGTGTGAAAGTCAGTGGCAGCCGGAGGACTAATGAAGAGTGGTTCAGCTAAGGCTCTGGGAATAGTGACATCGCTGCCGGATGCATCAATATATCCCCAACTTGGTTTCAGCAGGGGCATGAGGTTGGATGCTATGACATGCCGATGTTCCTCGGTAGTTAAACTCACCAATCCCATAGACTGTCTCAGACCCGGAGGTATCCGCTTCATTGAAGGGTCCACACTTCCTGAGGAATATCCTCAAGCTATTGTGAGGCTGGCAGCTATTGCATCAGCTGCACTCAGGGTCATGCATCCTCGACAGTACTGGGCAGGCATGCGAGCCTTTTCAAGCCTCGGTGAGTCAGCTGAAACCAAGAATCTTCCGAACATGTCAGAGACCCTCAAGCTCTGGGCCTCCATCTTCAATACCCTCTCTGTCATTTCTAATCGGCAAACCCCATATCATAGAGACCACTTATCATCTCCCAAGTGGTTTGACATTCTCACAACTGTGGGGAATTATTCTAATGCTCGCATGAGCATGCCAAGCCTTCAGCTGGAGTTCATGTATGATCCCGGGGTCATGATTGCATTTTCAGGAAGGATAGTGAGGCATGGGGTCCATGAAGTAGCAGGGGATCAGGGTTGCTTGGGCATGGTATATGAGGGATTCTGTCCATATTTATGCAGGTGTTCCTTCATGTGGATGGGCCATGATGGATTCAGGTAAAGATTCCATTCAGTGAAACAATGGCCAGGGCGGGTCATTAGTATATTCATAAATTCCATACCTCTGACAAAGTGATCAAGCCCTGACTGAATGTTGAGCATTGAATACTTTGGATCAGGTCGTAAGTATTGAGCACTGAGCACCACATGCTGAGTCAGTCCCAGGTTCCAACCACCCATAACCAACCACTCAGGCATGAGTACTGAGCACCGAGTAACATAGTCCTACATCCAGTATCACCAAGTTAATATTTGCCTTCCTAGCTCATCGGTCTATACAATCAATAGTTCTATCGGCCCATCTGTCTATACAATCGGAGTTCCACCGAACTCCACCGACTTCTGTCCTCCATAATTCCCCAGACTTCCGTCAGACTTCCCCTCTGTCCCCCAGAAATTAAGAGCACGTACTCAGGTAAGGGGCACAGTGCACAAGCTGAAGCCGAAGCCCTTTGAGTAGTCTCCCCCTTGAGCACGACCTTAACATATACAATCTACAGGTTGATCGGCCCATCCGTCTATTCAATTGACAGTTCCATCAGCCCATCTATCTATATGATGTACAGTCCCATCGGCCCACTAGTCTACATCATTCAAATATCTCGGCCCTCCCATCTCTATCAAATCCCTTACACATAGTGGCAACATTGGCCCATCCATCACCATTGAGTATTATATACACATCGGCCCACCCATCAATATCGAGGATATTATGACATCGGCCCATGGTCTGCTGGCCCGTTTAATATGGGATATTATGTCCCTCAGTTGGTCCGTCTAACATGGAGTTGTACACTGAATGGGCTCACATTTACCGATACATCAATTTCAGAATATGAAATTGATTGGACTGCACTAACTATTGCCCATGCAATGGTCAATCCCAGTGAGTGTCCCAAAATATTTTTAACTGTCATGAATTCTAAAGCAGAAGTATAGTCAATGTTGATTGGGATGTGGATCAATATGCTGACAGGGTCAAGTTGTTGCCACCGAATCAGAAAGGCTCAAGAAGTACTTCTCTGAGGCAGTGCTTGGCAAAATTTCGACTCCGGCCACCATTGTAGATAGGCATGGCAGAATCTTGATGGTTTACCTCCCCAATATTTTGTCACCTTCTCATCTAGTATGTTTCTGGATGGGATTTTCCCTCAGGGGCTGATTGATTAATTAGGATTACATTAACAATGCCACCTCAGGCTTAAGAAATTCTCTTCTTGATACCCTGCCGCCCATTTCAGATCAAAAAAAAGTTGGCAAGATGATAGCTTTGTGGTGCCAGAGGGAGGGGGTGAATTTGGGGCTGGTAGGATTACTGTGTCGCCTGCATATTTCATGCAAAGACAAGAGGTATTGTATTTTCAGTGCTGAATTTTCCCAGTTCTCACTTGGTGATTAGCGATTGATAGATCCTCTCGTAATGTCGGAGTCTTACAACTCAAAGGAGGTCCAAAAATGGCTAGGAGCTTTAACAACATCAGAACTTCTATGGAACTCCATTACCGCAGCAGTGGCACCAGAACTTTTTGAATCAGGCTCCTCTGCATTTTCCAAGGTTGTCAAGGAAGTTAGGCGGCAAAACAATAATTCGGCTCCAGTGGATTCTTGGCCCTCTATCTTTTCAGGGTTGGAAATCATTGCCAACCAAACAACCTTCAGCCCCAGAGATCCTGGTGGATCTCCTTCACTTTTTGATCTTCTGGTCAGTTTAGGTCAAAATCATCATGCAACTCTTTCTTTGGCCAACGTCCATGCAGAGCTAGACTATTCACCTGGTGCAATGGTCTACATTGCCAGTAGGGTACTGGAGCACTCTGTGGGTCCTTGTTAGGTACCATGCCAGCTCAAGAGGCAGAGGGGTCGGGGCTTGGCTTCAGCTCTTGCGCTGCGCCCTTAGCCGAGTATGTGCTACAAATTTGGAGTGGGTCTGACGTTGTCTGATGAGTGGACCGCTTGGGTCCACTTTGAGGGTCGGGGAGTAAGAGCTGCTAGCGGTGGACCGACTAGGAGTGGAGCGGAGAAGGCGGGGAACGATGTGGAGGGTGGATAGGAGCAGGGGGAATGTTTTGGTAGGAGCGGAGAAGGCAAAGGATAATGCGGAGGATGGAAAAGGGTCAGAGGGGAATATTGAAAGGGGCGGAGAAATAAGGGAGAGACTTAGAGCATGGCTCTAAGTCGGAGTGGAGGGTTGGAGGGTCGGAGGTGACAACAAGTTGAAACTTGTGTCCAGAGGAGGCAAGGTCCTACTGAGAATTCTCATGAGAGGTAACTGCGAGAAGACAAGTAATATTAAGACTAAGGAAAAATATCTAAGTACAGGATATGTTATATACTTCTATGTGTGAGGCAGTGATCAGGATAACTATGTAGTAAAGCTATGTACCAAGGATATAGTTTGTAAGTACTTTACATAGGCGAAGACATAAGTCGGAGCGGATATCAATATGTACACGTTGGATCAGCGATTGGGTGGTAATAGAAATTACCGGTGATCCGGAAGTGAGGGTCTATGTACCGAAAAGGAAAGCATATACCTAAAAGGGGAAAGAGGTCCAGTTGAATGGAGAGATTATGGAAGGGGACTGGTTGAGCGGTTGAGCGGATGCATAGGGCGGAGTGTGGACTTGTGATTGGGCAGAGTGCGGACTTGTGATTAGGCAGAGTGCGGACTTGTGATTGGGCAGAGCAGAGGGGGTTGGAAAGCGGAGCGGATATTGATATGGGAGTGGTCGGATCAGGTATATGACAGTCCTTGGATTAATGGAGAATGAATTGTGGTTGCCCATTTCATGAAGGATGCTGTGCATGATAGAGTAAAAGTACCAAGGCCAAGTTTTCCTATGCAGAGGAACTTTTTAGAGTTGGTAGGGAGGAAACCCAAACACATGGGTCAGGAGAGCCAATAAATTACAAATATAGTTAGGATAGGAACAGGACTGTTCTGGGGTGTGTGGGCGGTGGTGGTGGACTGCCCCAATAATGCCAATGTTCTTGTTGTTTTGTCCCCTTTGACAGACTCTCAATTTCATGATCTCGCAAATCACACCGAGGAATAGAAACAGGGTCAGAGTCCAGCCATCTTCATCTGGAACTCGCCCATCAAAAAGAAAAAGAGGCACTTATAAATATGCATATATCCCTTCAAAAACACGGAGGGGAAAAGATTTGTGGAAAGAAGCTAATGCATCATTTGTCTATGAGGACTCTGATAGTGAGATAGAAGTGGCTTCACCGTCAAAATAAAAGAGGCATCACCATATTGAAGATCATATACTGGTGGAATATGACCAAGAGGTTCATGGTGATTTTTGGATGAGAGGCTTGGATGGTATGAAAAGAAAAACAAAAGTGAGTTCATTGAATTTTGAAGTCTCAAGTTTTTTAAAAAAAAACATGTGCAGACCCAAAATGATTTCCTTCAAGATTACTTGCCTTGGCGCACTGAATATCTTTCAGTGTTATTGGAGTTAGAGCAGCTGGTCAACGATGGGAAATGCAAAGATTGTGGAGAAGGAGAGGGGTTGATCCAGTGTTTGTCTTGCTCAGGAACACATGCTTGGTGTCCTTCTTGTGTTGTTAAAGCTCATCAACACAACCCCTTCCACAACCTTCAACTCTGGAATGGCAGGTTCTACGAGACTACTACCCTGCAGGCTCAAGGGTATACAATGTATCTTGGCCATGGGGGGGAACCATGCCCCAATATCTCACATCAGCCAGACCCATCTCCCTGGGAAGATCTTGGGGCCATGAAAGATGTGTTTGCACAGGAGGAGGGGGATACAATTAATGACATGCAGTTAGGAGTATCTAACCTAGTCATTGTGCACTCTACTGGTGTTTACTCACACAGTGTATCATGGTGCCAGTGTTCTGGAGCTGAGAAGGCCCAGCATCTCCATCTCATGAAAGCAAGGTTATTTCCTGCCAGTATCACTCGCCCTCAATCTGCTTTCACATTCGATGTCCTGGATAACTTCCTCATAGACACTTTGGAGTGCAAGACTTCAGCCATGAGTTTCTATCAAAAGCTCCATCAGTTCACAAACAATGCATTCCCTGATAAAATACTGGTGAGTAATTTTATATGATTGTGTGCCCTGCTGATAGGACAAAAAGGACTGTTACCGTGAACTTATGCAAGTGTCACATATATGGCGGGATTTGGTTAATAAAAAAAGGTTTGGGTTTGGACATGACATCAAACGATCCCCTGGTCCAAGGGATTTAGCCCTTTATTGCCCAGCATGTCCACAACCTGGAATCAACTTGCCAATGTCTTGGAGATATGACTATGAAGAGTAAGCTGACTTGTAACTATTGCAGTAGTATGTCACTCATTATTGGTCTGTGGTAGGTGGTTAGTTATGCAAAGATATGTGGTCGATGGAAATTTCACAGCACAACATATGAAAATGAAAATTCCGGAAGATGATGTTTCTCTAGCAGATGGAAAGGGATACATGGTAACAGAGGGACCTTATCAAGCTCACATTCATGATTCTGTAGAAGAGAGAGAGGCAAGTGATGATTTTAGGATGACCAGTTCCTCCTGACTTATAATATTTTTGAAGAAATCCACTTGCAACAATCATCAGGCAGTGAATGAAGCAAACATCCAAAGAAGCAACCTAAGAGCTACAGGGGTTGGGGCACCAGCATGTGCTAGGCATGGATGCTTTGTTCCTCATGCAGTGGTAGACTTCCAAAAGGGAGAGTGGTTTGTGATTGTTTTGCTATTTCAGACAATGGACTGACCCTGTAGTCAGGCACATGAACATGGACTATTCCATTTGCAATACAGTGAAATATATGCCCGAACATATTGGCAGTGTGCTCATCATCTATGATGTTGCATGTCAGTGGAGTATTCACTTTGCTGAACGGGTGGACCAGAGCTATCATCTGTCCCTTCCTGAGGGGACTGAAATATTATCTGCAATTGGCAAGTTCCATTTGAGCACACATAAGTTTCAATGCTTTCCTAGGTTCAGCCTGAATTTTATAACCAGAGCTGGACATATTGATGGGGAAATATTAGAGATGCTCTGGGCTCCTTTCAACAAGATTTCCCCCACTGCAAGATCCATGTCTTTGGCTCACCGAAAGGAAGTATTGGATGACCATATGTGGGATTCCAATTGGAAGAAGCTGGTTGGCATTGGCAAGTCCCCTTCATTCTGGTTTCTGTGACTTCGCCTGACATAAAATTGGCAAAAGTCAAGTCATTACTCAAAAAGTATTGTCAAGCCCTACAGGGTGTTAGTGACACTCAGGGTCCATACGAGGAATTAACTAGATCACTTGATTTGGATGATGTTCAGGAGTGGAAAAAGGCAGTCGAAAAAGCAGCTCAGGACCGTGGAGAGCTTCTTGACATCTATCAGCCTAAAATGGATAGGTCTTGTGTTGTGGACAGTTAATTTTGCCCTGATGGAAAATAATTTAAATCACCCTCTATGGCTGAAATACATCTCAGATTGACTGAAAATGAACTATCTGCTAATGGTAGGACTGGGTCTGTTGCATGGTTGATTGAGGGTATAAATATAGAAAATGCTCAGTAAGATATTTTAACTTTGGGATTGGATTGACTTAAATTGTGTTACTAGAGATGCCTTGAGATTGTCTATAAGGCAGCTGCCCCAGGATCTGACTGCTTCTCAGGGAACTGGAATAGAAGAAAAAAAGGCAAAAGCTCATGGCATGGATTATTAAGTTCTATGAGGCTGCAGAGGTCATGACTAATGGTATGGAATTGAAGGGAGGTGAAGGAGCACCACTGGACAACCCTGAACTGTGCCTGGAGGAGGCTGACATATCCAGTATGGAAGATCCAGAGGAAGAGGACTTTTTCAACTTTGAGGGTAATATTGACTCACCTGCAGAAGTCACCGAGATTTGGATGCCATCATGGGCAGCCTCTGGTCACATCATGGATGATGTCATCTTGGCATTACATCAAGAAGAACTCGAGCTTTGAAAGGGTCAAGCAAACGACTGCCTGGAAAAGCTTTGTCAAGCCCTGGGTGATAGATCAGTCGTGTTTCGGGAGAAAATACACTTCAACAAATCAGTCCATCACCAGGGCACTAGATCTAAAAAGGAACTTCAAAAGATAACTCTCTCCATCAACAGACAGGCGCGAGTTTACAGCCGGGCAAGGGCTGCAATGCTCCGCCTAGGGGCTGACTCTGATACAGTGGCAGTGTATCAACCCCTAAAGCCTCAGGACCTAGTGGTGAGTAAAGAAGTCACAGAAGAAAACAGGCATGGGCAGGGTTCAGATAAATTGCTTGGTTTTGAAGGATAACAATGCAGAGGACAGTCAGAAGAATGTATGGATGAATGAGTGTAAGTTTTATTGTGATCTGCTTTTTATCAAGTCAATTAGCTTATATTCCCCATTTCCAGTTTATCATGTGAATTGGTTGAAAGTTAAAGCACGGTATGACCATTGGTCAGAAGAACTGAATTGGTACAACATGAAATGTTTTGGACCATATCCTGGTTTTGGACACAGGAGGAGAGGTGGAGAGTTCAGGCAGATGAAAGCATCAAGAATGGGAATAGGGCATATGCTGAGAGGCGGGCATCTATGTGGGCAGAATTTTCAGCTCAGGGTCTCAAGAATTTTGAAGGAAAATTACATATAACAAGTTGATAGTTCACGAGTTGACATGCTAATGTAATTTTGATCTTCCTGACTTGTAAAAAAAAGTGTGATGTGAGTATTCAGAATGTAAACATGGTGTAAAGGGGCTGGCCGACATGCTTTGGGCTTCTGGCCTAGTAGGCCTGCCCACCTCTGCAGTATGTGGGGGGTGGCTGGCTGGCCTAGGAATGAAATCTTACTGGGCCAGCCTCCCTTTGCAGCCTGCATAGAGGGGCTGGCTGACATGCTTTAGGCATCTGGCCCAGTGGCCTGCCCACCCCTGCAGTATGTGGGGGGTGGCTGGCCAGCCTAGGAGAGAATTCTTGCTTGCAGGTCCAGCCTCCATCTGCAATCTGCATGTCGGGACCAGCCAACATACTTTGGGCATCTGGCCCAGTAGGCCTGCCCACCCCTGCAGTATGTGGGGGGTGGCCGGCCAGCCTAGAAGTGAATTCTTGCTTGTAGGGCCAGCCTCCTTTTGCAATCTGCACTAAGGATTCACTCAAACTCATCCATCCAGTATCCTGGATGGGGGTACTCTATGTAAGCAAATAGATATGTTATAAACCGAGTGCACAACCAACTGGAACTTGACTTAGTGTGGTTAGGTGTGATGATAACGGGTACTCCATAAATGTGTTATAAAATGAGTGTATAACCTACTGGAGCTTTACTGAGTGGTTGGGTGAGGATGGGGAGGGGGTGTACTCTATACAAGTAAATAGATGTGTCATAAACTATAAATTAAGCACACAACACACACACTCCAATAAATATCTCTCCAAACTTACTCAAATTTGCTTCAAAATGACAACTTTAAAATTCATGAATGCTATTGTCAAATCTGTCTAGAAGTGTCCTAATATTTACTAGCTCTTGTCTCACATGTATGCCAGCAGTATGTCCCTCCATGCAGACCATAAAAGGAGGCTGACCCAGCAAGAATTCACTCCAACGCTGGCCAGCCACACCCCACATACTACAGAGGTGGACAGGCCTGCTGGGCCAGTTGCCCACAGGATGTGTTAAGGTTGTGCTCAAGGGAGAGGTTACTCAAAGGGCTTTGGCTTCAGCTCATGCGCTGCACCCCTTACCCGAGTACGTGCCCTTTAATTTCTGGGGGACAGAGGGGAAGTCCAACGGAAGTCTGGGGAGTTCCGGAGGACTTAGTGTCGGTGGAGTTCGGCGGAACTCCGGAAGGTTTATACTGGGACGGAGTAAGGCTACTACAGAAGTCCAGAGTAGAAACTGAACAGAGGTTAGACTACCCTAAGGTAGAGCCGGAGAAGTAGTCCTAAGGTTTAACCCCTAAGACTCGGAGGTGGACAAGAGATGAGACTCAAGTCCAGAGATTGCAGGAATGAGCAGAACTAAGATGATATTCGAACTGAGGAGTTCCGGAGTATTACAGGGGTTTATATACTGTAGGTATCATGTAGGTAAATCAGTCAGCAAAGGTGAGGGCTATGTATGAAGCATGTGGAAAGTCTATTACTAAGTATAACAGATCAAAGCAGTGAAGTCAGAAATGAAGTAAGAATGGACAGATCAGTAAGCATAGCGGAATAGGACATAACCGGTAACCGGAGCAATAGCTAATCTAAAAGGAGTTAGGGGTGAGTGTGGAGATGAAGGCGGAGCGCCGGGCGGAATAGTAAGACGGAGGACTGGACTTTAATGGAGTAGATCCAGAATTCCGGATCCAGAGGTACGGGATATGACAGGATGCCAGCCAAGCTCTCCATGCAGACTGCAAAAGGAGGCTGACCAAGCAAGAATTCACTCCTAGGCCGGCCGGCCACCCCCCACATACTGCAGGGGTGGGCAGGCCACTCTATGCAGGCTGCAAAGGGAGGCTGTCCTAGCAAGAATTCATTCCTAGGCCAGCCAGCCGCCCCCCACATACTACAAAGGTGGGCAGGCCTGCTGGGCCAGATGCCCACAGGACACTGGCCAGCCCCTTCTTGCAGACTGTAAGGGGGGGCTGGCCTACTCAGCCAGATATGAGAAGCATGCCCAGCCTGCCCTCTCCCGCAGACCGCTAAAGCAGGCTGGCCCTGCAAGCAACAATTCATTCCTAGGCTGGCTGGTAGCCCTCCACGTACTGCAGAGGCAGGCTGGCCTACTGTGCCAGATACCAGCAGCATGTCGGCCGGCCCCTCCATGCAGCCTGCATGACCAGGCCTACCCACATATTCACCACAGCCTGGATAGGTATACAGGTAGTGCAAGGATCTGCATCACTGGCCTACACAGATACTGCAGAGATATCATTCTGTATAATAGGGCACCAGCCTACAAGGGTTCTGCAACACTGGCCAGATCTGGTTCTGCATGGGCCAGCCACTGTCCTGTACACCTGGTTTTGCAGGTCAATGTACACATCCTATCACTAGGTTCTGCAGTACATATGACTGAAGGGTCTGTCCTTCAATATGTTGGACTATGCCCTCAAACATCAAGACACCGTGAATACCATTACTCAATGGTGGGAGGTGGGTTTGTGGAAGTTTGAGTTGGAGGATCATGAGTGGACAATGCTGGGACAGCTGCGAGATGTACTCAAGGTCAGTGCATTCCTTTTTTGTCACAACTGCATACTAACATTGTTTGTTTGCATCTGTTAGATTCTAAAGGATGCAACACTGTACTTCTCGCGCGCAACACCCAACCTTACAACAGTGATCCCAGCAATGGATCACATCTACAATATGCTCACATCCTACTCTCACAACAAAAAATATATGCTCTCAATCTGTTCTGCAGTTCAACTCACCAAAAATACTCTCAACCGCTATTACCAGCTCACAGACAATTCTGTAACATATCAAATTGCAATGGGTATGTGATTTTTTTTTGTTTTAAAAGACTGACATTTATATACTAATTCAAGTCTTACATCCACAGCATAAACTAGCCTACTTTAAGGCCACACAATGGGAAGATGACTGGATTGAAACAGCTGATAGACTTGTGCATGAGGAATTCAAATGTTTGTACTTATCAATCAATGACAACTCTGATGTGGAGTCCAAGGATAATGTCTTCAAGTCAAATGACAATGTACTGATGGTATGATTTGCTTTATTCTTTATTTCACATCTGTACTGAATAATTCTTACTAGAGTGATAATATCTTTGACAATCTCCCAGCGCTCGCACCCCCAAAACATGTTAACGCAGACTCCAAACTTGACCGGTACCTCTGTATGGACGTAGAACATGTCACTCACCCTATCGCTTGGTGGCTATGAATGTCAAAAGTCTTTCCCCCTGGCTTTCACACATGGCTATCGACTATCTAACCATCCCTGGTATGTACTAACTAACTTTTTTAACACACTGCAAGCTTATATTTTCCCACAGCAACATCCATTGATGTAGAATGGTTGTTCAGTCGCAGGCGTCTCATCTTGTCACACATCAGAAATTGTCTGTCAGCTCAGTCAACACACGCACTTCTTTGTCTTGGCCTATGGAGTGAGTTGGGCCTCGTCGAGTCTGACGACGTGATTCAGGTATCAAAGCTTCCAGATGTTGTGGGGGAAGATGAAGTCATGGCTGACGGTGTTGGATATTTAACATCATCACTTAGCTTTCACTTAGCATTTATTTCCTTTTTTGTTCACTACTTATATTGTGTTCAGTTCAAACCTTATACCTCAGCTGTTTGTTCACAACACTGAGGTATGTATAGCATCTCGTTGATCTCACCGCACTTCTCTTACAATCATTTCTCTCTAGCTCTCTCATATAGGTACTTTAGTAATGATTAGCTGTTTGTTCACAACACTGAGCTCTCTTGTATAGCTTTCTACAGACGGATGGGACAGCATTTCAGACTACTAGAGCCGCTGTTGTCAAGGGAGCACCGACTGCTGTCGAGACCAAGGCAATCCAGTGAGTGGCTCATCGAAGATCTCAAGGTGAAAGCCACCGTCACTTCGCTGACTATCATCTACTGTACAACAACTTATATCCGTCCTCTCACAAGGTCACTGCTTGCGGACACCTGGAAGACCCTTGAGGAACATTACGGCCGCATTGACGTCAGCTCACAACATGTCGTACATCAAAGCATCTACTCACTTCAGATGAAAGATGCACAAGACACTTCCAATTATGTCAGATAGCATACCACTGCTGCGTGAGCGCTTACTTCGGATGGGAGCTTCCTATTCTGACGAAGAAGCCATGTTTCAGCTGCTTCACAGGCTTCCAAAGACCGGCCTATGGCCAGCAGTTCAAGGCCCAATTGACCTTCTTCGCCTCTGGCGCATCCCTCTTCAGCTCATCTGCAACCCCACTCACCTTCGATAACTGTGTCACCTGCATATCTGCTGAAGCTGCCCTATCAACTCGACAAGGAGATGCTCATCAGCGGTCCTGGGTCAGAGTATGCCAATGCCACAGCTGTCGTGCCCGTCAGTAACGTCAACCCAATCACCTGGTCTCCGCAAGCACCGTCATAACCCTGATGGTGTGCATTGTACCACACTGGGGTATAACAAAGGCGATCACGACCATGCTGCATTGCTATCACAAAGGGGGGAGGCATGGAAGGCCAGGCTCCTTGGCTGAAGAAGAAGAAAGAAGCCACAGCAGCTGCCGCGGTTGTGCCTCCAGCCGCACCGCCTGCTCCAACAGCCATTGCTGCCAGCGACCAGCTCTACTACCACCTTTCCAGAGGATCTGTCTTGTGTGTCCATCGTCGGGATCGCAGAGTCTCCCTCTCTGCCCTCACCGGACGTGATCGCATGCATTGCATCTCACGCTCTGTCTACCATCCTCGATTCTGGGATTTCAATGACTCTGATCAAAAATCATGAGTATTTCTGGTCCTACTCCCTAGCCAATCCCATCACTGTTCGCACTGCCAATCATGGCAAGCTGCCTACCTCTGGCCGTGGAGACTGTGTTGCTTGGCTCATGGTTGGTAGGGACATGTTGCCGTGTTTGCTTCACCAACTGCCTTCATGCTCTGAGCGCCATGATCAATCTACTGTCTGTCGGGTGGATGGTGAAGAAGGGATGGGAATGTAACTTCCGCGGGGACCCTGGTCATTGTGAACTCGTATATTGCAGGACACAGCTCGGGGGCATCCCCATGTCCAGCCCATCTGAGACCTTAGTCTTTGTAGATCTCAAGTTCATTCTTCCTCCACCCACCTCGATTCCCCTTGTTGCCCAGCCCGCAGAGCTCTCTGCATTCATTTGCGTCGTTCAGTCCCTTGATCTCTGGCATGCATGCATTGGTCATGTCAGCAGTGATGCCATCAAATGTCTTCCCCGCATTGCCAAGGGGGTGACTATTGACTCAACTCTCCCTCTCTCACGCTGTGAGTCATGCATCATGGGTAAGCACCCTTGGCAGCCTTTCCCACCTTCGGAAACCCCTTGAGCTCCTCACTTCCTGGCGCTGATTCACTCTGATCTGTGTGGGCCAATGCCCATGAGCACTCCTCACGGCAAGCGCTACTTTGTTGTCTTCCTCGACGATCACACAAATGTCTTGGATGTCCAGCTCCTTGCCACTAAGGATCAGGCCTTGGATGCTTAGACTGCTGTCCACGCCCGATGGGAAAACCAGTCTGGTCTACGGGTGAAGATTTTTCGCTCTGACAATGGCGGTGAATTCATCAGTGCTGCCTTCTCTGCAGCTCTCACAGCTGCTGGAATTGAGCACCAACTTGCCACTCCTTTTGCTCATCAGCAGAATGGGACTGCCAAGCGAGTCATTTGCACCCTCGAAGGGCGTCTGTACTGCCATGCTTGCCTTTGCACGTCTCCCTGCGCATACTCTGGGGGGAAGCTGTCCTCATGGCATGTTATCTCTTCAACCGCTCCGAGTCCAGCACTTTGCCGTCTGGGAAGACCCCATATGAGATGTTGCATGGGGTGCAGCCAAACTTCTCTCACCTACGCATCTTCAGTGCTCGCTGCTTCACACACATTCCCCCGAGCTTCAGGTGAAACTTGGTCCACGTTCCTGCAAAGCGATCTTCATGAGCTACCCTCCTGGTGTCAAAGGTTGGCTGGTGCCACAATGTTGTCTCTGGTGTCTTCTTCAACTCTCACAATGTTGTCTTCGACGAGAGCTTCGGGGGGCGTACCTTTCCTGATAGTGACGACAAATATGACAACCCACCAGCTCCTGTGGTTCCTGCAGCACCCACTCCTGCTCCTGCTCCCCTTCCTGCAGCCTCTGGTCTTCGGCGGTCAGGTCGCACACGTGATCTTACTGAATGCAGTGTCCTCTTCCAGTCTCAAATCTCTGACAACAAAGCACGTCTAGCCCGTCAGCGCAAACTTCAGTAGGCCAGGATCCAGGGGGTGCCTCCTCCTCCCGCAGTTGATGCTCCGGCTCCTGCAGATGAAGACGCCATTGTGGCAGACAATGAGGCCATTGGGTTTCCCAAGGTACTGGCTAACCTCATCATTGCTGAGATGGCATGCATTAGTGTTCGCAGTGATTCCCGTCGCAATCCCTCCTCCCCTGGGTATGACCTCAAGGTCCCACCAGCCACTTATGACGAAGCGATGTGTCAACCCGATTGTGACCTCTGGCTCACTGCAATGCACAAGGAGATCACCCTTATGTCCGAAATGAACATGTATGAACTCCTTCCTTTGCCAAGTGATTGCAAGGCCATCGGGTGCCGCTGGGTTCTCAAGTTCAAGGAGGATCAGAAGGGTGGCTCCGTCTTCAAAGCATGTCTTGTTGCAGGGTTTTTCGCAGATTCCTGGTGTCAATTTTGGTAAGACCTTTTCACCCGTCGCCAAGTCTGCCTCTGTTCATGTCCTTGCTGCCCACGCAGCCGCTAATGACTGGGAACTGGACAGCTTTGATGCCAAACACACATTTCTCTGGGGTAAACTCCAAGAGGATGTTTATATGTGTCAGCCTCCTGGATTCGAGCACACTGATCCTTCTGGGAAGCTTCTTGTTTGTCATCTCCTCTCTTCTCTCTATGGCTTAAAGCAAGCGGCATACAATTGGTATGAACTTCTGTGGGAGGTCCTTGCATCCTTAGGTTTCGAGCGCTGTGCAGCTGACTATGCCATCTTCATCTTCGATCATGTCAACGGCATGGGGGTGAGGGTCATCTGCATCATTGTGTGGCACTGTCGACGATGGACTTGCAGGACTGTAACTGATCCGACTGTTCCTTGACAGTGCAAAGGGGCAAATTGCTCAATGCTTCAGGATCACAGAACCTAGGCCCAGTCGCTAAGTACCTTGGTGTTCAATTCGAGTGTAATCACACCTCACACAAACTCTGGATGCATCAAGCAGATTATATCACTTACCTTCTAGAGGAACATGGCCTCACTGATTGCAACCCTGTCTCATTGCCTATGGATCCAAAGTTTCCCTTCGGACGACCCACAGACATTTATCCCCATGTCAAACACCTTGAAACTGAGTATTGCAAGCTCGTTGGTGAACTTCTTTATCTGGCAATGTATACCCATCCTGACATCGCCCTGACCGTCATGCAGCTCGCTCAACACAACTCCAATCCCAAATCGTGCCACTACTCTGCCGCAAGGCAAGTCCTCCGCTACCTCACAGGCACCATTCACTCCCATATTCATTATGGGGGTGCCAATGTGAATCGCGCACTCCATGGCTTCAGCGACTCCAATTGGGCATCATGTCCAGAAGACCGCATCTCTATCACCAGCTATGTATGGTTCTACAATGGTGGCCCAGTTTCGCACTCCGCGAAGAAACAAGCAACCCAGGCCCTCTCATCAACCAAGGCTGAGTACATGGCATTGACTGCTGCCATTCAGGACAGACTCTGGCTACAGTCCTTCTATCAGTGCCTTCACATTCCCATCACACTGCCTCTTCAACTCTTTGCCAACAATGCTGGGGCCATTGCCTTGTCCACTGAAGCCGCAAATCACATTCACACCAAGCACATAGATTTATGTTATCATTTCATTCGAGCTCACATCAAAGAGGGCACTTTCATTCCAATTTGGCTTTTTACTCATAGGAACATGGCAGATATCTTTACCAAGACACTTCCTCGTCCTCTTTTCACTCATCATAGGTCCAGTCTCTCTCTCGTTCCTCATTAAGGGGGTGTGTTGGATATTTAACATTATCACTTAGCTTTCACTTAGCATTTATTTCCTTTTTTGTTCACTACTTATATTGTGTTCAGTTCAAACCTTATACCTCAGCTGTTTGTTCACAATGCTGAGGTATGTATAGCATCTCATTGATCTCACCGCACTTCTCTTACGATCGTTTCTCTCTAGCTCTCTCATATAGGTACTTTAGTAATGATTAGCTGTTTGTTCACAACACTGAGCTCTCTCGTATAGCTTTCTACAGATGGATGGGACAGTATTTCAGACTACTAGCTAATACATTCTTTATCTTGTAGTTGTAATTCACAGAGATCTGCAGGTCTGTTTTGCAGGTACCTGTCGAAAAACCCGTACCCGCTGTGTGGGTATGGGTATATCTCAGGGTACAGGTACGGGTTTGACTATTGATACCCGGGGGTATACCCGTGCAGTTCCCTAATGACAAATCAATAGGATAAGCTGTTTGTATTACATATCCTATTTACCTGCCCTCTTAATATTCATGAAGTCACTGCTAAGTGCTGCAGCTATTGCTGAAGTACTGCAGGGTAGGTTTACCCCCCTCATTAGTAACACATATGTTATACTATATACATTACTAACAAGTGTGGGAACAGGTGTCACTCAGGTGATACAATTATATGTATACCTTGAAAAACACCTTCTCGAGTCTCGACGTATCCCCACAACCCTGTGCTATCTAGGAAAGAGGTCTTCCCAGACTCCACATACTTCGTTAAGGACCCGTTTGTGTTTCCCACATGTCCTTTCGGGTAATCTCCTCGATCCCAGTACTTACTTTGCTAACACTCTCTATCTCACAAGGTCACAGGTTCGTTATCAGCTCCACCACTACACTTTCCCCCCGCATATCATGTCTGATTCAGTCGACACACGTGAAAATTCCTAGCTTGTACTGAGGAAGTGCAAACCTGTGGTCATTGTCACAACGTATATGATCATGCAAGCAGTCTGTCTGCCCTCATCAAGAGCATCTGGATATCGTGTGTAGGAGTTCTTTGATGAAATCTCGTGAGACACGATCCAACAAATACCTAATGGGGGACTGGCTCATCTGCCTTGCACTGTTATAGACAGTGGACTTGGCCCCAGAACTCTATGGCATATCATTGACAATAGGCTACCGCACTCCTCCACAGGTACCATGCTACATTATTGCCTTCATGAACGTTCTGGTGAGAATAGCCACATCAGTGTTCGGACTCGGGAGGTAACAAGAAGACCCAAGCTCACCCCAGGCACTGTGCTGTCATAGAGACACAGTAATAACCATGCTCATTCTTGCCTCTCATTAGCAATGGCCAGTCAGATCACCAGTCACTGTGCAGCACTTCCTACAATCACATGGTATGACACTCAGAATTTTCCCATTTGTTGAACAAAAATACAAGGACGAATTGTCGTTGTTAAAACCTAATTCAAGATTGCACCCCACTTTGCCTGCGAGCATGTTAGGTACCGTGCCGACTCAGGAAGCAGAGGGGTCGGGGCTTGGCTTCAGCTCTTGCATTGCGCCCTTAGCCGAGTACATGCCCTGAATTTGGAGCGGGTCCGACATTGTCCGACAGTAGGACAAATGGACCACTTTGGTCTGCTTTGAGGGTCAGGAAGTAAGAGCTACTGGTGGTGGGCAGACTAGGAGTGGAGCGGAGAAGGCAAGAAGTGATGCGGAGAGTGGATAGGAGCAGGGGAATGTTGATAGGGGCGGGGAAGGTGGAGGATAATGTGGAGGGGCGAAGGAGGATATTTGATAGGGGCAGAGTAATAAGGGAAGAACTTAGAGCACAGCTCTAAGTCAGAGTGGAGGGTCGGAGGGTCAGAGGTGACAACAAGTTGAGACTTGTGTCCAGAGGAGGCAAGGTCCTACTGAGAATTCTCATGAGAGGTAACTGCGAGAAGACAAGTAATATTAAGACTAAGGAAAATATCTAAGTACAGGATATGTTATATACTTCTATGTATGAGGCAGTGATCAGGATAACTATGTAGTAAAGCTATGTACCAAGGATATAGTTTGTAAGTATTTTACATAGGCGAAGACATAAGTCAGAGTGGATATCAATATGTACGCGTCGGATCAGCGATTGAGCAGTAATTGGAATTACTGGTGATCCGGAATTAAGGGTCTATGTACCAAAGGGGAAAGTATATATCTAGAAGGGGAAAGGGATCCAGTTGAATGGAGAGGTTATGGAAAGGGACCGGTTGAGTGGTTGAGCGGAAGTGTAGGGCAGAATGCGGACTTGTGATTGGACGGAGCAGAGGATGGATGAAGTGGAGGGGTCGGAAAGCGGAGCAGATATCAATATCAGAGCAGTCGGATCAGGTATATGACAGAGCAACCGTAAGCATGCAGTCTAAGGTTCACACATCTAGAACATGGTAGGCTGTAAGAGTACTCACCACATGGTCTGCAGTCTTGGCCGACGGGGGTGAATCTAGATTCCCCGGTAGCTGCGCCAGCTATCACTGTGGCAGACATGAGCAAAGTGGCCAGTGAGATGAATTTCATAGTTGCAAGCTAAGAGAGGCTAAGGCTTGATGGGGTTTTTCTATTGAGTCAAAAGCTAGTACTTTGGTTTATATACATGTGGTGTAGGGAACACCTATCTAGCTGTGCGTCTGCTCGCATAACCAGATGTTCCTCGGTTTCTGAATCAGGACCTCAAAAGCATTGTTACAGTGCTCCAAGATGGTGTCTCGTGACACCTCCAATGACGTTGAGCTCGTAATGGAATTTCTGTCAGAATATGCCAAGTTGATCCACTCACCTGACGATCCCAATGACGTTGAGCTCGTAAGGGAATTTCCGTAAGAATATGCAAAGTTGATCCGCTCACCTGACAATCTCCTGAACGACCAACTTCTGGTCGTGTTCTTGCTTGCTTTCCGAGTCACTGGACGTGTTCGCATCAAGACCACGCATGTATCCACAGTCAAATCCCTCGTCCAGATCAATGTCTATGGGGGAACTGCCACAAGTTGGCGGCAACTAGTAAGTAACCCGCACCCTAGTGGAATATTGTGTTGATAGTGAAATTGATGAACCGGACATTTGCCAAAATGTTGTTGCTGGAGGAAATGGATAACCTTCATCCATAAGCGTGCAACATGGGCAAAGCAGAGCATGCTCACCTCCACAGTACAACTCTGAGTTTTGGTGTATTGTAGTGCTACACAATCCCAATGTACGAGCCAGCCCCAATCGTGCAATTGAAGTAGTATACACGAGTGGTAGCCAAAGACGAAGGTCATGCTGGCAGAATTGATGAGGTGTGAATGGTCTACAGTTTTTACCGTGTAGGACTTGGGTATTACGAACTGGCGGCTGAATAATGTGGCCATGCATGGGAACTTACCAGTGATGACCCAGATCAATTTCTATTGGGAACTGCCAAAAGTGGTAGTGACTAAGTGATGCACGCCATAGGAGAAATTCGTGAAATCTATGAACCAGACATATGCCGAAAATTCAAGAGTGAGCATAATTTGTCACCAGAGGGATAGATAACCTTCATCTTGAGCTAGTTAAACAGGCCTGTACAAAGTAGAGTATGCTCACTTCCACAATACAACTCTGTGTTAGTGCAAACATATGGTAGTTGAAGGCAAAGGCCATGCCAACAGCATACAAGTTAATGTCATTATGGGATCATGTGGACGGTCTGTAGTTTTTTCCCCATGCATATTACGAGCTAACGACTGAAGAGCGCGCCCATGCATGAAAACTTACCAACAATGCAAGAAACTTGCTGGATACATGCTAATCAAGCACCCGATATGGAAATTTGATTTACAGAGCGCAATCTGGACATTGATATCTTTGGTGAAGCGACAACAGGGGAGGTCGGCACGTTCTGTAAACGTGAATAACTGATTCAACGGTGGCAGTAGAACCAACCCTTTCCTGTCGCTGCATACAGCGCTGCATCTTCATCATTATCATCACTGGCTTTGGGTTTGACCTTGTTGTCAATCTAATTGCACCAGTCCCTGTAGCTATGATGCATCAAGCCTGCTAACTACAAGTCACAGGTGATGCATCATCTATGCTTCTTAGCCTGATTTTTGATGCATTAGAACATGCTAAGTAGCAGACCTATAGTGTATAGCTTGGTCATGTGATGACCGCAATTTTGGCTTCCAAAAGCGGAAATTCACTCATTTTGGTCACCCCCTCATGTCAGGCCTCCCCACATTATTCCCACACACCATACCTCCGCATTTTTCAGCCACATGGTGTGGGAATTACCCCACAACACCTCAAACATCACCCAATTTGGTATACCCCACAATTATAATTATTCTCACACCCTCCCCACCTCACTGCAGCTTCACCAGCACACTACAATAGGTCCCTGTTCATATATAGGTAGTAGTTTAGTATATATATGTATAATATAATATAATAGACCGCTTTTTTTGTTTATTTGTGTGACAGCTCCCCCTCCAGGCCCCTTTCAAAATAGGGAATAGGGTAGGGTACAGAACACTTTCGCATTTTTGCCCCTTTGATAGGGAAGTGTCCCAGGGCATTCAGAACATGTTTATTAGTATATATGAAGAGATTCCGATCCTTATTTGACCCCCTGAAGCGCCCTACATCAATAGATATGGTATATATGCAGGAAATCACAAAATATGTTCTCATTTGATTATTTCTAGGTGGACAGACTCATAAAAATGATTCCCAGCATCTATTTAACAATGGGAACAATGTATAAGGAGCCCGGACCTGCAACTTGTCCGATGTGGAAATTCGGGGAAATACGTCCTGTGAAACTTTGACCTGTAACTCTGGGCGGTAGACTTGCGGGGGTCGGGCTTGTGAAGTGTGTGCGCTTCCATCGTGGTAATAACGCGCGTTCAGTAGAGCCATATAGGAGTTCACATATACTAAGGGCGTCGAATAAGCTTTCTGCGTGCAATACGGAGCTAACAAAGCGTACATTTGGACAGTAGCCACTCGATTGCAAGGTAGATGAGGTTGTTTGGCATTACTGCGCCCTGTAGGAGGCGATAAGCCACGGTATTGTAAATGCCATAGGGGGCACTCACTGTGATTATGCACGCCATCGATAACACACTGAAAGTTGGGAATCAGTGGCAGGATGGCGAAAGAAACGATACGAAACGCATACCTTGTCAAGCATCCTGTATTGATAATGTCTCTCACGAGCGTCTGAAGTGTCCTATCTGTTCTACAATACTATCTATCAGCCAGAGAAGAAAAAACACTAGGAAAAGCCATACTTAGTGAACCCCATCTTGGCAGTAGCAAGGAGGTGACACAATGAAGTGGCGATGAGGATGTCGATCAACGTGACCGCGCCCAAACCCAGGTAGACGGTCCACCGAATACTATCCAGCTCCGAAAAAAGATGGCACTTGAATCTAGATTAATGTGTTAGGTGAGATAGCCAATCGGTGCAGCGAGGCTTTTATTTACATTGCCCTGAGCAGAACTGGTGAAGAGGAAGGGTCAGTAGCAGATCAAGAAAATGCATTCTACTTCACCGATGGCAACGCCTGTGGGATACAGATGGGTCAACGTCAGTCAAAAAAAATTACGACACTTTGTGTTTACTTGCCTAAAACCGAGACAATGGGTACCGTCTTATGGTATTCTCAGATCGACAGGAGGCCAGCTGCGATATGACCGCTTACCATGACCGCAGGCAAAATTCTAGTTCTCCCTTTGCTAACTAAGATGATCAGGTAAGCTCAGTGTCATTGTAGCCTCAGTGGATGCATACGTATCCATATCCGCTGCAGATATAGGCTATGGTACGAAAGTATATCAGCAGGAAAATCCACTGGCCGAAGTAATACTCACAGGTGCACAGTATACACAATAAGTGTCTGAGAAGTCATGAGATGAGGTACATCACGCAATAGCTCGCTCGTGATAGCTTACGTCGATGATCATCATCACCTACGCGTGATGAGATCAAAAGGGAACAGTCCAGTATAGTTGCGATCATTGCGCACCTTAAAGCTCCACACAATCTCGGGAAGTGCTAGCGGATTTGCATAGTTGACGATAAGATAATAGTATATGATGTGATTGACCAAAGCGACATGCAAAGCATCGAGAAAACTGCGAGTGCGATCGTCAAGTCAACTGTAGCACCAGCGAACAAGCGCTAGAAACCTTACCAGAGCCAGCATACCTTAACATTGTGTTAGATCAATGGGGGCTTTCCTTTCATTCTAGTACACAGGGACTTACTGCAATTTTGTAGAATGTGATTCCCTCGTCCCTGTGTGCCTGGAAGTAAAGAAACGCTTGGACATTGCTCAAACCGAAAAAACTATCAAGATCAGTCGGAAATGAGCGACCCTCATATTGAAAATTGGACTGACATTGCACCAATAGTAGCGCCGATATATAGTGCACCAAAGGAATTATTCAGATCGATGTTGAATGCCATGTTGGATGCCATGCTAGAATGCAAATCTCTCGAGCGAGAGCTATAAGGCGGTCATGAAACACTTCGTGGTTTATACCTGTTCCGAGAGTGGTGCCCGCATCAAGAAGAGATCTTTATTTTGGTTCATAGTATGCAGCCCCCTGATCAGACCTATGCACCAAAGTCCCACGGAAACAGCATATGTGCCTTGATGTAGCTGGTCTCTAATACTATGCGGAAGATGAGGCCTTGCGATGAGTAGCAAGAGGTAAGGCAACATGCATACGTTTATATGGCATCGACGGGAGCGTCAGCATCACTCATGACAGTGATCCTGAGCGACGCTTTTCAAATTGCGGAAGCCGTTATCAAGGTCAGAGGAAAGGTGGGTCAACAGTAACAGCACTTCGCCTGGGAGGAAAATGGCATATGCGTCTCGAAGAAGTCGTCAGCACAGCTCATCCGGCAGTTCATCAACGATCCGCGTGTATAAGATTCGGGAGATTTATGATATGCGCGATTATGCTAATAAATATCCTCCAGATTCCCAACAGCATTATGCGTGATGCACCGTGGTTGGGACGGGCTGTGCGTAAGAGAGTCCCTTGTTGAACTCCAGAAAGTAGACCTCGGACATTATTATATAGCCGGCTGTACTAATTAAAGGATATACATCAATAGAGCGGGCGTCACTGGATATGCTGACCTGCCTCGGAGGCCTGGATGATGATGCCAACAGACCTTAAATAGCTGATACAAGGAATTGCAGGAAGGATTTAAAAAGCGCGATTCCGGTAGCTGGGGATAACCAAGGTGAAGGAGTGTATCCGTCATGCGCGAGGGTCCAGCACCATTGGTCTCGACAGTAGCGTCAGCATCACTCGCAAACGATTTCGAATTGCGAAAGCTGAAATTATCAAGGTCAGGGAAAAGGTGGGTCAACAGTAACAGCAAGCACTTCGCCTGGGATGAAAATGTCATGGAGCCGATCAGCACAGCTCATCCGGCAGCTCGAGCGCTCATCGTTATCGATGACCCGTGTTTGTGACACGCACCGCTGTCCTCTTTCCCAAGTTCGTTCTCCAACGTCTTGCTATTCTCTTCGAAATCTATCCTCTCACCTTGCTAGATCTGAATAAAATGACTCAGAGCCAAAAGGGTCAGAAGAGGCACTTTCCCTGGCTCAGAAAAGGATTTGAGACAAGAATCATCCCGATTCGATTATTGAGACTGCCAACGAAGAGCGGACAAAGCACAACATAGTAGGAAATCCAAAGAAGAGCCGGAACATACAAA